TCACGCTCATTCTGTAAGACCAAGTAAGAATGCCTCCACTAACACAGCACGATGTCTTCCAGACGATCCAGGACGAAGCCAAGCGTAAGAAAGACGAAGGTACAATACTGACCAAGGCCGACATTACTGAACATCTGAAGGAGTTGTACAATCCGTACCTGAGAGGTCGGTTATACTTTTATGCTCAAGACCAAGATGGTCTACCAATTTGCAGAGTACCTACATATCTAGCTGGTAACAAGAGCTACTGCTCTGTTGCTCGGGAAAACGTTTTTGGTGTCGAAGACTGGCAAAGCCAACCTGGGCCGACAGACTTCATAGGCAATGTCTGGCCGCCAAAGGTGATTGAAGATCTCATTGGGAATGTCGACGAGACTGAGTACGCAGTTATGAAATGTTACGTATGTAAAGAAGTAGGAAAAGTCTTCTGCACATGTGGATACAAGTCTTGGAGAGATTACTGGCCTGACTACTGGCTCACCTGTCTATTGTTGCGGAGAGCCGGTGCCCGCGGTTACGGCATTTTTGCACGCGAAGCGATTCAAGGCTCAACCATCGTAGGAGAGTACACAGGCCGTATCAAACCAGTCAAACCCAACGAGGAAGATGGAGAGGACGCTTACTGTGTACCGATCTCGATTGGACGACGTAAGATTAAACAAAAATCACAACCCACGGCTATACTTAGTGCTCTTCATACCGGGTCAATATCAAGATTTATCAATCACTCGTGTAACTCAAATGCGCGATTGCAGGAGTTTCAATGCGGTTTGGAACGCCGCGTCATCTACGTGGTGACAACACGCGACATTAACATCGACGAAGAGCTAACGATAGACTATGGTCCAGAGTGGCTTGTTGGCGACTGCCTTTGTGGCAGTATTGGCTGCAAAAATCCACCAAAGAGTCCTAAGCTACTCGATACGCCCGTAAATGATCTTAGTGAAGATCAGGCCACGGATGAGGATGAGGAAGACTCCTATTCGGATGCCTGGGATACGGGCTACAGGTCTTCTGACCTTGAATACGAAGAAGATTCTGAGTACGAAGAGAATTCGGATTGCGAGAAGCATCGAAAGAGAAAGGGAAAAACTCACTAAGATTGGTTCGATGACTGATATAATCGACTTCTCCATATTGGCACTGATCTGTAAGAAGATCATCTGATACTTTTAATCATACTACCACCCTGCCATTCCTCCGTTGACCATGAGTGTATCAAGAACTTCCCCTCCAATCAAAGCCTCAGCTCCAACCAGACCAGTTGGAACATCTTGCAAGACAGTGAGACCATGGCAAAGCGTATAGTCGTCTAACACTGTTGTTGCCTTCCCAACAGCTATACTGGTCTCATGCATCTTCGGTGCTAGCGTATCGTGTTGCACAAACGGTGCTGCGAGACGCACTGCTAGGTCACTGCAAGACTTCGACTCGGTTATGGCAATCGTGACATTGATCGACGAACCCTCTAGCGCTGTCAAACTGGGTACGAAAAAGGCTTGACTAGTGATCGGGAAAGTCGATTCTGATATGCCCGGTCCGTACACCAAGAACGATGTTGCATCACGAATGGTAGGTCCAGATAGCGAGAACGGAAAGTACGACGTGGTTCCGTATATACTGTTGCTTCGACCGAACACGGAGCTTCCAGTCTCGGCTTCTGGCTCAATCTCTGTCTCGTGTTGGTTGATGCGGATATTCAACGATGATGGCGGAGAAGCACCCGCTGGTGTGAGGATTCTGATCTTTCCGCTGAGCATCAATTTTCCGTCTTCTTTGAAGTCGTATGTCACATTGATTGGCTTGACAAGGATTGCCGTAACTGGCTCACCTAGCTGGACACCAGCAGGTACTGTATTGATGGCTCGACTCATAAGCTCGACACACGTATCCAGAAAACCCGTGCCTTGGGCGAACAGCGCATGCATAGTGGCGTTCTTGTCGCTTTCGTACAACCGCAGATCGGAGTTCATAGTGTCGTTGTATGAGGTGACCAATGGTCCTCCTTTATTCCCTGTTCCATTTAGATATTCGCCGAGGACATTGGGATCAAACACGCCACGTGTAGTGTCGAAATTGCTACCGCCATTCGTGTTCTCGGGTGTAACGAAACTCTCATCTACGACTTCAGGGAAACCACCCTACAGGGGTCAGCAATTGAAAGCTAGTCCAAGCGCTTTGTGTATACGTACATGGTGAACAGATCCTAAAGTGTGCCCACAAGCTGTAAGACCGATAGCATCTACCTTGTCGAATCCAGCGCGCTCGAAGAACAGCAAAGTTTCTTCGAGATCAGTCTCTGGTGCGGGTACTCCAGTAGTACGTCCAGCCTCTGTCGCATCGGTGCGTCCAGCGCGGTAAGGCATCTGCGCACCTCCACACAAGTTATTAGACATGACGGTGGCGAGCGCGATAAGATCCGCCACTATCAACACATCAGCACTATTAGTTACTCACGATCGGTTCCGAACTTACTAGAAACTCCATCGTGAACGAATGGCCTCCAAAATGCAAGACTGTCGTTGAAAGCACTCCCTTTGTTTTCCACTCTTGCTGTTTCGAACCCGATGCTAGCATCGATACCACCCGTGCCTGCGCTCACATTCGCAGTGACGAAGTCATGAAACATGACGCGCATCCATTGTGCCGACGTCGTGCGACCGCTTGTCAGCGCCATAGTCCCAGTCTGCGAGACATAGCGTGTGCAAGGGGTTATTGCGGAAGAGAAATTCGATGCGTATGCTCCCCAGTTGTCGACGAGGACGTGTTCGATGAAGGAGAGAGCCGGTGTAGGGTGATAAAGAGCAGCGTGCGTAAGTGGAAGCGCGTACAAAAGGGAGAGGATATTAAGTGGGAGCATTATGGCTACTACCGCGAAGTATGTGCTAAAACTAGGAAAGAGACCGACGTTGGATGCGCAGAGGAAGGTTCATGTTATATCCGCTTGTACTCCTGGGTCATATTGGGAATATTTCCTATTCCGTATTTTGTGTTACACTGCAGCTATCGGATGTTCTAGTCTTCAAAGTAGCGTCTAATGTGCGGCCACAACTGGGACCTGATTGGCGGAAACAGCCCATTGGCTGCATCGTGCAAAAACGACCTGATGTGGAAGATTCGTCGTGATTAGATAAGCCACATTGAGCTGACGTTCGCATACCACCTGCCGTTCAGGTAGCTTGAAGCTCAACCTTTGCTAGGCTGCTTATAGCTTGGCGGGGTTGATCGCTACTCACACTCTTCCCACAGCCCACGCGCTACCTAACTTCAACCACCTAGTGACAACAAGCGCCGCGACACCCGCACCCATAACGGCTGCCGCACAGAACCATACTCCTTTGAAGTTGTCTACTGCACCGTTGCCTTCTCCTTTGATAGCGCCAGTAGCGGGATTACCAAACAATCCACCGAAAGCAGCGACGAGGTACGCAAGACCGAGTCGAACGCCAATTTCAGCCTTGTTAGGCGACAGATCAGTAATGGTAGGTCCAGGAATGATGATGACGCCGCCAGAAAGGAAGCCATATACGATACTGATGGCAATGAGACCGTTGATTTCATGGGCGAGAGGAAGCATGCAGAGGGTGATGATGCATGCGATGGCAAGAGGAAGTAGGGTGTTGACACCACCGTACCTGTTGAGACTATTAGCAGACGGCTACTACGAGGATAAGGTGATGGAAACGTACCGGTCAGCAATGAAGTTGGGCACAAAACGTCCAAAGATGTTGGCAGCGTTCATGATCGAAAGCAAGTTGAACGCCATGTCCTTGGACACACCCAATTTGATGGCATACTCCTGGATGAAGAAGAATGGTACAAAGGATGATGCAACAAACAGGGTAAATGCAATGACGAACACCGTGTATGGCACATCTTTGAAGTGATGAAAGCCGAAGCTAGAGCCCTTGGATCCATACTGGAGTTGCAATCGCATCACAAAAAAAGCGACAAGATTCGTGATGAGAATGATGAGCGCGAAGATGCGGACGGCCCATGCAAAACCCACGCTGAGGAAAAGCGAGCGTAAAGAAATTGTAAAGACGATACCAGCCACACTGGCACCAGTCGACGCAAGACCAGTAGCCAGCATACGTTTCTTCTCGAAGAACATGGCTAGCACAGCGACGGGGACTATCGCCATCAGCCCGCTTCCAATGCCCATAAGCACTCCTTGGGCAAAGAAGATGGCCCAGTAGCTCTTGAAGAAGGAAGTCAGGATCAGTCCAAGCACTTCTAGCGCCGTGCCGACTGCGATAACACTTTTGAGGTATCCTCGATCAAGCAGTACACCTCCAGGCAAGCAACCGATGGTGGTGAAGAACAGCTGGATCGATCCGATCCATGCGATGCGCGCCGCATCTTGCCCTGGAAGTAAAGAATCAACGTAATAGGTTTGGAAGACACCAAACGTATTTGGCAAACCCCTTTGTCCTGTTAGCGTCTGTATTACGGCGTGTGGTAGACTTCGAGGGAACTCACCAGCTATTCGCAAACAGAATGAATCCACCCAAAACCTGCATCCACGCTACTTTCCCATGATCGATAGGGTAGTCCTCATTAGCCTGCGCGCTCGCTGTGATTTCGTGAGCGAGTAGCTGTTCCGTTCTCTCCCGCTGCACCTCATGATAAGAAAGCAAAGGCTCTCTTTCGTCGGCCATTTTTTTCAGGATTTCCGCGTGGGGATTTCTGGGGTCTGTGGGTAGCAATACCCGTTTGTTGGGGGCAGCGACTTGTTTTTCTCAGGGACGCTGTTTGATGGGCGCTAGTGGGTAGTTGCCGCGGCCGATCGTCATCTTTAGTCATGAATATGCAGGTACGGGTCCGAGCGGTGAAAGCGTTCGCACATGAGAAGTAAAACCATAGATTTAATCTTTATTCACAAATCCGCCAATTAAGGTACCATCATTAGTGTACTAGGTAAGTCTCCAAGTGCAAGCTATATATACAAGAATTAAGTCATGACATGAATCATGGAATGCTCCCCCACCCTAGTCAGACTACAAGGACGCCCTCGCCTGTCCAACAGACGGCTTTGCCTCAGGTTCCTGATGAGCTCCAAGTATGAGGTGATTCAAAGTGTCGACGATGTTGTCAACGGGGGAATCTACCAACCACCCTGCACTCTGCAAACCATGCTCAAACCTTTCCATATCGGCTTGGGTAAGGCTGAGCATAACCTCATACGGCTCTCCTTCTTGCCCTTCTTTGTCTTCTTCCCTGGGCAGAACCACGATGCCACCCTCGCTTACCCAAGCCGCCCTCCGGATTGCAGTTGCGTTAGGCGTACTAGTTCCAGGAATGTACCATTCACGGTCGGCGCCCATCCTCTGCCAGCTAGTGATGTACAGATCCGGACCTTTGGGGAATCTCAGAAGAGATTGCTGGGCTTCGGTGGGGTTAGTAAGAACGCTGTTAATTTGCGTAATCGCCCACGCCGCATCAACAGCATGCAGAGCATCTGTGATCTTGACTGCAAGGTCCTCAAGGCAAAAGCTCTGCTGATCTGCAGGAACAGTCATTGCCGGAAAAAAGTTGTCTGGAGCATGGGGTGCTTCCTCTCGCAGCGAGGTTACGCAGTCAGGTACCCCATTCTCAAGATCGAGGGTAGGTAGGGCAGACAGTACGAGGTTTCCGAGATAATCCGGCGATGAAAAGGGAGGCGGAAGATATTTTCTAAGATCTACAACGACGGCGAGTGTTGACTGCTTGTTGCCTGAAGCAGCTAGCGATGTCGATCGAGCATGTACAATGTTTCCCCAGATAATCGCTGACAGTGCGGTAAAGATAGAGATCTTTCTGCCGGTCTTGGTCGATAGCTGATTGCGGAGCTTTTGGAGAGCTGGCGATGAGAAGCGGAACATGTTCGTGATGACCTTTTGTAGTCCTTCGTCCGGTCCCTTGCGCAGTTCGTAACGCTTGGCAAGTAGCGGGTTCCCTGACTTATCTGCAAAGTTGTCTGCTACACCGGCTTCTTGGACCAGCGTTGCGAGTGCGCTTCGAGCTGATGACGGGTCTGGAATGTCGTTCCACTCATTAATAATCGCCTGCAGTGGTTGGAGCTGATCTTTGTAGCTGGGTGCTCGGTAAAATTTAGGAACCCTAAGCAATGGTTTGCTCGCTTGAGGATGCAAGGCTCGTACTGCGTCACTCCATATTTTCTGGATCCTTGCGTTTCCCGTCCCGTCAAGAACAGCGTGATAGAACCAGGCGCTCAGCACCAAGCCTCCAGGAATGAATGTAGCCTGGGTCGCGAAAACTGGAACTGGACCTTTTTGCAATGAAGTCATCCTCTCGGCGTATGGGTCGTTGCCTAATCCAGCGTGGTATTTCAACTCGTTTGGGCAAAATATGGTAGCGGGCAACTCGCCGGGTGTGAACGCGTCTTCGGCAAGAGCATCGTAGTCGTGTTGTGCGTCATCGTAGCTAACCGTGAAGACGCGACGGGCTTCCGCTTCGAGATCGATGGGGTCGGGGTAGCGTACTCGAAGAAGTTCCGTAGAGGGGTCGGGAATGTCTACCGTGCCGGCAAGATAGGGAAATCGTCGCAAGACTTCCTTGAAGCCCGTGTGTAGCGCTTCTTTGGCTGCGTGCGCGTAAGTGATGTCTGGGAACGGAAAGATGATGTAATAGCGTCCGTATACGCGTATGTGAGGTTGTTGGTCGAGGTGAGATAGCTCTAGCTCTTTCGTGGTGTCGACTGGCATTTTGGAGAAAGAGGCCTAGAGAAGTTTACGAAAGTAGGTGATTTCCGTTTCTGGTCCTTTTCTGTCGCAAAGGCCTTCAAGGTGTGCTGTAAAGGTACGTCGACAGTTGAGTTGTAGTTGGTTGAAGTGCGAGAATCTCCAAGAGGGTTCCAAGAGAATCTTCCAGCTAGTATAAATACTTCGCGGTTCTGTGTAGTTACACCTTGACGAGGTAGCGCAGGTGAATGCATCGCTTTGTGCTGTGCAGTCACACTTTGACGTGATAGTACAGGTGAAGGCATCTTGGTTGATCGTAGTTGCAGACGGGTGCTGCTGTGATTGATATGCAACAAAAGACAAGCAAAAAGCACATTGCTTTAATCTCCGAGCTATGACATGGTTCTGAACATGCGCTGGCGATCCCGTCACACGGAGTGCTTGATGGGGCTGAAGCTATTGGGCACGGGCTGCAAACCGTCTGCGGATTGCGTGGTATGACAATCAGCGGTCTAAGCAGATTAGGTTCATGCCAGACGTCGCTCGAGTCCGATCATGGTCTTCTGGTCAACCTGTCCGCCCAACACGCCAGCCTTCTGCAATATACCAACGGTCTTGTTGACCACCTCCTTGTCTACGCCCTTGACATCTTTGGCAAAGCGAACAGTCTTCAGCCATTCTCTCGCGTCCTCTTCTGAGTAATCGAGCTTGGTGCTGATGTACTGCACAGCCTCTTCCTGATTCTCTTCAAAGTGTCTAACGCCCTTGTTGACCTTGTCCATGACGTCGTCGAGCTCCCCAGTAAGCACTGGTTTGCTTGCGTTGGGCGACGAACTCCAGTTCTTTGGGTTCAATAGATGGTTTGCAGCGACGATCTTCCAGGAAGACCACGGCGTGTAGATCTCACCAATGCGCTTGATCTCGCCGTTATCGTAGTAGCGCTTCGATGTAAAGTGCTCCCACATGAAGAAGTCTGCTGTGCCGTCATTGACTCCATCGCGGAGGTTTGCGAACGTGTTCAATGGCTCGACTGGGAACGGCGGGCTGTCCGACGTCGTGTCCAGCCACCCTTGCTGGTCAGCCAGCACGAAGCTCATGACGTAGCTTCCACTTCCAATTCTTGACACGCCGACCTTCTTGCCCTTCAGGTCCTGGATCCCGTTGAGCTCGTTTCTACGGGCACCTGTCGACATGGCCCAGCACAGTGGAGTCTCAACATAGGTACCCACTATGCTGAAGCCAGCGTCCTCCTTAGCTGCCTGTGCTTTTCCCAGTGCCGCTATCCAGCCTTCGGTAAGACCAACACCAATGTCGATCTCGTTGGACTGCAGAGCGGTGACCATGTGGCCTGTACCGCTGGGGTAAGGGATGAGCTTCGCATCGAGGCCATAGTGTTTCTTCGCGAACTCGAGTGGGGTGGAGAAGTGTTCTGTTACCGTTAGCCGGATGTGTAGAGTGAGTGATGACGCGCTTACCCGGTACGAATCCGATGCGTAACGGCGCCATGGCTGCACTGTGGGTTGAGAAGCTTCGGACTGGTCGCGGTGCTGATGAAAGGCGTGCAAGTCGCAGTGTGCGCAGCATTGCTGAGTATGTTTCACAGTACGAGAAGCGGACACAGTGAGGGGAAACTCCAGTGATGAGGGACGACGGACGCGCTGTAGGGCCGAATCGTCAATATACAGCCGGTGGTATTCGTCTTGCAGCTTGACGCAGCTGCCCTCCGAGGTCGATGATGCGCAACAGCCTCGCCTAGTTCCGATCGGAAGACAATTCCGACAAGCCCCGAATCTCGGGGGCTCTAGCATCATGGCCATCTGAACATCTCAGCGTCATCTCCTATTGCCGTTTCTTCCCTATGGTCTCTTTTGTGTTTTCGCGATACTCTCTATCTAGAACTTGCATTAGATCGGCGCTCAACCCCCTAACATCTCTCCTGTCTCGTCTTTTCGCCACTCTAGAACCACGTACAATGTCTTCCGATAGTGACAGAATATCAGTAAGAGCTCGGACGATCGCAATAGTGGGCGCAGGGCCTTCAGGTGTGGTGGCAGCGAAATACCTCCGTGCAGAGAAAGCATTCGACAAGATTGTGTTGTTCGAACAACGAAGTAGACCAGGAGGAATATGGATATATACAGGCGAACAACGAGACGAGAATCTCTTCGACATACCCCAGACTAATCCAAACAAAGATGTACAAAAGCCGGAATGGCAGTCTAAAGAAGCAGTAGCGAATGGGAGTATCGATACCAATGGGATAAACGGCGCATCAAGAATACCTTCATTCTTATCACCAATGTACGAGAAGCTGGAGACGAACATACCTAGGGGATTGATGGGCTTCCAGGATCTGGACTGGCCATCTGATAGCCAATTGTTCCCTACGCACCAGACGGTCCTCAAATACATCGACGACTACTCTGCGGACGTCCAAAATCTTGTTCGATACTGCACACAAGTGACCAGTATCAACCCAGTTGATCCGAATAAGACTAGCAGCTCATGGACCGTCACGACACGGAATCTGATCACGAACCAAGACACTTCCGAAGTATACGATGCAGTGATTGTAGCAAACGGCCATTTCATAGTTCCCTACATCCCTCCCATGGATGGTATCAAGGAATGGGCCGCACAACACCCTGGCCGCATCAGTCATTCGAAATACTACCGCAAACCCGAAGACTTCAATACTAAGAAAGTAATCGTTGTAGGCAACTCGGCATCAGGCGCAGACGTCAGTGCCCAGATTGCCGAGTTCTGCCAAAAGCCGCTGCTATGGTCTACACGCTCACAGTCTATGTTTAGCGCTACGCATGGAACAGCAGGTGAAGATCAAAAGAGACGAGAAGTTCCGCCAATAAAGAAGTTTATTCCCGCTAGTAGAGGTGTTATATTTGAAGATGGGACGGAAGAGCACGACATTGACGCTATCGTTTTTGCTACAGGTTACTTCTACAGTCTGCCTTTTCTACAAGATGTGAAGCCTGAACTCATCACAACCGGCGAGAGAGTAAACAACACCTACCAGCACCTCTTTTACGCGCCACGGCCTACTTTGAGCTTCTTAGCCCTAAACCAACGCGTAATCCCTTTCCCTATAGCAGAAGCGCAATCCGCCGTCCTTGCACGCGTGTATTCCGGTCGGCTTTCCCTACCACCACTATCAGACATGCGCAAGTGGGAAAGAGTCATAGAGGAAGAAATGGGCGCTGGGCGAAACTTCCATCTCTTACCCTTTCCTAAAGATGCGAATTATATCAATGCAATGAGTAGATGGGCATTGAGTGCCGAGAACAAAGAGGGCCTGGAAAATGAAGGCAAAGGAAAGATACCGCCCATTTGGGGCGAATGGCAATACTGGTGCCGTGAAAACTTCCCGAAGATACGACAGGCTTTTGGCAAGATGGGGGAGAAGAGAAGAGAGATTAGAGACGTCAAGGAATTAGGCTTTGACTTTGAAGAATACCAGAAAGAGCAAGCACAAGAGAGTAATGGCGACAAGAACAAGTAGAACGAAGAGCTGAGATAGGAACGACTGATTGAGGAACTCTCCGTCCTGCGCTAGACGCATAGCTTATACAGATTCATACTGTAATGTCTGTGATCTAGCAATCTCTCTTACCACCTTTCGCCACACAATCCCACTTGTCCGTACATTTTGAGCCTCCTGGTTACTCTCATCCTTTCAACAATAATTATTTCCTCTTTTGGTGATTATTCAAAGAACATGCTAGACAACTAGCACATCGAGCAGTGCTGTCATGGTGAATTTGGAGTAACGGATCGACTATCATGCATCATCTTTCCTCCACCACAAGACTATCTCCTCTCCATCCTCGTCCCAGTCATCTAGTCCAAAGCAGCTCGATTGCTGCACAGTCAGCGGTGGTATACGCCTCAAAAGGCCCCTCCATAGCGCTGTCTCATTTACACCCGCATCCCAACAAACAATCACCCTTCCCACGCTTTCCTCCCCAACTTCTTCATCCCTATCAACAAATTTTCTCACGATGAACTGCCCCAAGTAACGAATCATATGAACAGATGTATGGTGATTGTTCGGCTGTGACTTCTCCGGCATCCGTTGAGGCGCTGGCATCCGCTGTGGTTGCAGAACGATCTTGAGAGTTTCTGTAAGAGGCAGCCTACGCATTCTCAGCACTTCCGCCAAGAACATTCCTAGTGTGATTGGATTGCGGATATTCTGAGGACTAACAGGAAGTGAAAGTGTCATGGTAGTGATAGCCAACAGTCAATCACCTTTTTGCGGAACGTTGAACTCGAAGTCTATTTGTGGAAAGTGGATGCGTAGGTCAGATGTCATCTGTGTCAAGTGCTTTTGGTGGTAGAATGTGACTTCCTCGATACATTCTTTAGCTAGCTGACGATTGACCTTGAGTATGGAGGAGAGGTCCTGTGACGCACGAATGAGGTGCGCGAACATGTTGTTACGGACTTCGCGAGGGAGCTCTAGTAGAAGAACCATGTTCTGATGCCAGTAAATGATAGCGGGTAGTGTGAGACAATACCAGAGGCTTATTCGGAAGTTATATGTAAACACTTCAACAACCCAAACAGTGTTGAAGGTATTGCTGTAAGGGTTCAGAATCCACAAACCGTCCTCCTGGAAACAGCTGGCATAGTCATTCTTATCGGACCAAACATAATGATCGAAACTTGTTGACAGGGAGAAGATCAAAGAGGGAAGCAGGCGGAAGTAGTGACATACGATGTGTACCTCAACGCAGAGAATCCCCCAGATGTGATAACAAACCCGAACGCCGCGGCTATGCATCAAAAATCGCAAACTGATATCCTCATAGCTCTGACACTACCTCCTCCCCTTTCCTTGCCCTGCACCAGCACCACCTCCACCCATGCCCGGCATGCCACCCATACCACCCATCATCTTCATCATGGCACCCATATCAGGCATGCCACCCATTCCGCCTAGGGCTGACATGTCGGGCATGCCGCCACCGCCGCCTCCACCGAGCATCTTCATCATAGCACCAATATCTGGCATACCACCGCCGGCACCGCCGGCGCCTCCTCCCATACTTTGCATGCGCTTCTGCATAGCTGCGAGTTGTTGTTGCTTGTTTCCTCCTCCCATGGCACCTTGTGCTTTCTGCATGTTCGCCATTCCACCCTTCATCTTCTTCGCCATACCGGCCATCATACGGTGTTGGGTAAGCAGTTCCTCGACTTCACGCACGGAGGTACCGGAGCCACGAGCGATGCGTGTCATACGTGTGGGCTGATCAACGAACATCTTTCCATCCGACTCTAGCTCTTTCTCAGTCATACTGTCGCAGATGTAAATCATGCGCTTGAGCTTGGTACCACCCTCCTCATCGTCCATACCACCCATCATGCTGCTGAGACCGGGAATCATGCCTGCCATCTTAGACAATGGTCCCATCTTCATGATGTTGGAGAGCTGATCCCGCAGGTCCTTGATAGTGAAGATTCCTTGAGTGATATGCTTCATGGTGTCTTTTTGGTCGAGTTTGAGCGATTGCACGTGTTCGACAAGCCCTTGCACGTCTCCCATGCCAAGCAGTTTCGAGACGAAAGCCTGTGGCGCGAAGCGCTCGAGATCCAGCATGTGCTCTCCGTTTCCGAGGAAGACAATGGGCGTGTGCGTTGCTGCGACAGCGGAAATGGCACCACCTCCTGCTGCTGCACCGTCTGTCTTGGTAATGACGATAGCTCCGAAGTCTGCAGCCTCCTTGAAAGCGCGCGCTTGCGACTCAGCAGCCTGACCGATTGTTCCATCCAGCACCATGATTGTCTGATCGGGAGTCACGGCATTCTGAATCTGCACCATCTCGTCGAAGAGGTCTGTCTCTTGTCGGTGACGTCCGGAGGTATCCACGATGATGATCTCGAAGCGCTCCTTCTTGAACTTCTCCACACCCTCGGCTGCCACGACGACAGGATCGGTCTGTGTATGGCTACCGTAGTATGGGATCTTCGCCTTGGTCGCGTTCTGCTTCAGTTGATCGAAGGCACCAGCACGGAAGGTATCGGCGCACACCAGACAGGCCTTGAAGCCTCTTGCCTGGTACCATCTCGCCAGCTTTGTACACGTTGTCGTCTTACCCGCACCCTGCAGACCAACAAACATGATGACGTTCGATTTGCCCTTGCGGGGCTTGAAGGGTTCGGCGTGGGGGTCGACCATCTTGACGAGTTCATCGAAGACGGCTTTCTGGATGAGGCGCTTCTTGTTCACACCTGGCGCGAGATGCTTGAAGTCAACGGCTTTCTTGATCGATTGTCGCAGGTTCATGACGAGTTTGACGTTGACATCGGCTTCGACGAGGGCGTTGGAGATCTCCTTGACCATGGCTTCGAAGGCCTGCGCATGTTAGCCACCTAGCATTATGTCGCGCTCTCCTGTGGCGGCACGCACCTTCTCATCGAGGTTTGGCGACCTCGTGAGGTCAGTGACGGCGGCATTGATGCGCCGCCCGAGATCTTGAAGCACCATAGCGGCGGTTGTTAAGGGGGTATTGGGGGTTGGGTGAGGTTGTAGGGTGTTTGGTGCTGGTGATCTCTCGTGGTGTTCTGTGGGGAATCCAGTATGGCGGGGCGCGCTTGCCGTCGTCCACGGTCGGTGATTTGGGTTGCTAACGCCGACGCCTCTGGAACTTTTTTCTGCGACCGCGCTCTACTTGCGACATTCACAAATCTCGACATTCACAGCCACAATGGTCAACACATCGCTGAAACGGAGACGGACCGAGGAGCAGTTGCGCGGAAAGGTGCCCAAGAAGGAGAAGAGAAAGGTCAAGAAGCAGAAGAACTACCACAGTTCGAGTGACGAAGAAGAGGGCGCCGCGCGCGATGCACCTCGGCGCGGAAGCAGTCTAGAGCCAGAAGAGCCATTCCAGCCTTCGGGTGTCAATGCGACGTTGCCCGGAAAGCAAGAGCTGTCAAAGCAACAGCTGAGGAAACAAGCAAAGTTTGAGGCCAAGAAAGCAGCACAACAAGCGGCGGCAGCAGAGGAGTCTTCAGCCAGCGACGACGAAGAAGAAGAGAAAGTTCAAGCAGCGCCACTGAAGAAGCCTGAGCCCAAGTTCAAGGCTAGCATACCAGCAAAGGCGCCAGCAAAGTCTGCCCTGAAGAAGACTGCGCCCGTCGACCACGAAGCGCCATTACCAAGCGACGCCGAGGATGATCAAGACGACTCTGAACCTGAAGCGGATGAGTTCTCAATCGCCGACTCTGAGTCGGATGCTTCCGACGCCTCATCTGTATCCGAGACCTCAACCACTGCCGCGCGCAAAGTACGAAAGCGAAACGACCCCGAGGCCTTTGCCAACTCGATTTCCAAGATTTTGGGTTCAAAACTGACAAGCTCAAAACGTTCCGAGCCTATCCTGTCCCGCAGCAAAGATGCCGCAACCGCCAACCGTGAGCTCGCCGACTCCAAACTCTCGGAGAAAGCGCGCCGACAAATTGTTGCTGAGCGCAAGGCTGCACAGGAGAAAGGTCGGGTGAAGGATGTCTTGGGCCTCAACGACCCAAATGTCAGCACGGCTGCCACATCAGCAAAGGAGAAGGAGCTCAGGCGGACGGCACAGAAGGGTGTCATCAAGCTGTTCAACGCTGTAAGGGCGGCGCAAGTCAAGGGTGAACAGGCGGAGAGAGAGAGCAAAGCGGGTATGGTAGTTGGCATGGACAAGAGGGAGGAGAAGGTTAAGGAAATGAGCAAGCAGGGTTTCCTAGATATGATTACTGGAGGGCAGAAAAAGGAGGGCAGCGTGGAGGCTTGAAGACACTTCAGTATGCATAGTTCGGCGTTTGGGGACAAAAGAGACATAGTTTCAGTGTGTTCATGATACCATTTATTATACATAAATTCAGAGTCGTGCTCAACGCCAGTCCATCTGCAAGCGGAGTTCTCGTATAATACATGTCGTCTCAAATGCTGAGTATGCGATGCGATCCCTAGACGCTGCCAATATGACCGTGTGCAGTGTCGTTCCTTGATGTATTCTCACCACTACTACATCCCTCTCTCGATACCACATGTTGATCTTCTTCAGTTGACTCATTTGCTGTCGAAATCGCTAGCCTGCAGGTTCCTCGTCATGCTCGGTAACCGCACGACCAAGCCATCAAGCTCTTTGCTCATCTTGACCTGGCACCCCAGGCGACTGGTCTCAGTAAGACCAAACGCCAGATCCAGCATGTCGTTCTCGTCGTCATCTGGCTCCTCCATCTTGTCGTAGTAAGCTTCGTCTGCTACTATGACATGGCACGTTGAGCAGGCGCAGGATCCGCCACACGCGCCTTCCATCTCTATGTCGTTGGCTTGGGCGATGTCGAGAAGGTTGTCGCCGTCGGCTACCTCGAATGTCGTGGCGTGGCCATCTTTGTCTATAAAGGTTACCTTGCGTCTGAAAGGCGTCAGTCATCTTGTGTTGCTATGATTGGGTGCATTAGACGCACTCTTCACCCGGTCGGGGTGGGTCTAGGTGACCGTGGCGGGATGTGGGAGACGAGGAGAATTGGCGGCGGTTCCTGAGCCATGACGGGCTTGTTGCTTTGATGACACTCGATTGTGATAGAAGGGACGATGCCATCATTGGTGTGTGTAGAGACTTCTGACATGCCGATGCCGTCCAATTGCTGGCGAACCTCTGAGGACTCGACGATGCACCTCTTGCGCCCGCTATCCTCCCCTCCAAAGCGCTCAAACAAGCTCTTCTAACAGCCATGGCGGGAGTGAAAGCCTGCGAATTGTCTGAAATTGAAAAGGGAAAGGAGAAGGGTGTGCAGAAGCGAAAGACTCGCAGTGTTTGCAGTGTTACCAAGAGTCAACGCGCGATAATTCCGAATGCTGTGAGACGTCAGAAATGTTGATGCACAGACCAGGCATGACCCCGGTCGATCTTCACAGCGCATCCACCACCGCGGGTAAGAAAACGATAAACATCCCCAGCCTCACGTAATCTTTCCCCGAGAAACGAGAGATACAATGGCGACCTCTCGTGATGCTCCGAACCCCCTAAGGCCCTACTATATCCCGCCATCTATTGGGCCCCCTCCCGATGTTCCGCAGAACCAGACAAGCTCGTCATTACCGCCCGCTTTGAAGCCCAGTGCCAGTAGTAAATCAAGTCTCGGCAGTCAGGCACGCGACATTCTGTCCGATCTCGACTATGACTCGTACTTTCCAGAGACGTCGCCTTCAGTAGCTGGGCATGCAAAGAAGCTGCTCGACCATGCCTTGTGGAATTACACAAGCGTCCTGTTAGCCCAACCATTCGAGGTTGCGAAGACGATATTGCAGATACACGAGGCAAAGGGACAACTAGCAGGCTTGGAGGGAGATGTGCTCGGCCACAAGAGCAGGCCTCAGAGCTTCGCGAGCGGAAAGTTTGAGGATGTATGTATCAGACACTGGGCGGGGTCTGACACGTGAATGTGGGCTAATGGACGCAGTATCCGCCCTCAGACGAGGAGTCGGACGAGGACTCGCCGTCATACTTCACATCTACTGCACCGCGTATGAACCCCACCTCACCCTCGCCATACTCCCCTTCCGTCGAACAATCGAGGTCCCCACGGAGGCGCCAGAGACGTCTCGATAGCCGGTCACGGTCACGAACACCCACACGACCCCCACCATCCGCCATACGCAAACTAGACCTCAAACGACCAGACTCGCTTCTTGAAGTGATAGCACAGCTATGGCAGAAGGAGTCGGCGTGGGGGGTGTGGAAGGCTACAAACTGCACTTTCATCTACAATTTCCTGCTTAAGACGACTGAGGGATGGTTCAGGAGTCTGATCTCGGCCCTGCTGAACATACCAGACCCAGGCCTGGTAGGATCAGCAGGAAGCGGCATAGGAGGTTTGGATATACTGGATAGCCCAAGCCCACTGACCTCACTCGGTGTTGCTGTCGCAGCTACGGCCATCGCGGCCACCCTCCTCGCACCCCTCGATATGGTGCGCACCCGCCTCATCATCACACCCATCTCCTCTTCCCCACGATCTATATACCCTTGCCTCTCTCTTCTTCCCTCCTTCTCTGTCTCACCCAGCCTCCTTCCGGCTACCATAATGCACGCATGTGTGCCCACACTTATCTCCTCCTCAACACCTCTCTTCCTCCGCTCGACACTGAGCATCGACCCGATCCTCACGCCTACCACCTACTCCTTCAGCACATTTCTCTCCTCCACAACTGAGCTATTCGTCCGCCTGCCTCTTGAAACCGTTCTCCGGCGCGGCCAGGTCGCTGCCCTGCAGGACCACGAAACCCAGCGTCTAGCTTCTGAGTACCAGATACCTCCTAGCCGGGCTAAAAGCCCGGCCTATGGTCTGGATAAGCCGAGCTCCGATCAGAGCTTCAAGACGATCGTGGACCCAGGTCAATATAGGGGTGTTCTGGGTACTATGTGGTTCATCGCTCGCGAGGAAGGCATCTCAGTTCAGACCGCAAATGCTGCCAAGGCCGCGAGTGCAAAGGCAATGGGCTTCTCAAGGCCGCCGCGCACAAGGAAGGGTCAGGGCGTGCATGGTCTATGGAGAGGATGGAGAGTGGGTGTTTGGGGTTTGGTGGGCATCTGGGGCGCTGCCGCCCTTGGAGGTGGCGGCGGTGAATTCTAGGTCGAGACTAGAAGGAGGCATAAGGCATGACAGCGTCGTTGTTGCTCATTAGATCATGTTGTTTTGTCACGATTTTCATATGCGTATGTTAGGCGATGCTATATACACCACCACTCTTAGCTGTCATTGAGAAGTATACGTTTCGTATTCGTTTGGTTTCTCTATTCTTCTGGGTTGTCCGATCTTGACACCTGCTCAATAAAGTACCTTGTTGTAGCATGCCTTCGGATCACACGGCAGTTGATATTACTCACACAGCAACACACCCTTCCTAGAGCATATTGACGACTCTTAGCATTTGACAAGTACCCGTCAACAGATGTGATGCCTATGTCCCCATTTCAACTTGGATCTGGCTTCACGGGGGGAAGTGTGTATAAGTTTGTCTTGCCCCCCAATGCTGTTGGTGTTGTATAGACTAGCCTGATACAGCCTAGTGGTATCCTTACATAGAAGCCACGAACTACATGGACCGCAACTCTTCACCAACCACCAGCTTGCCTTCACAAGAATCGTTGTCAATTTACTAGATGCAGATCCGTTATTCGTTCTAATCTCAAGTGATTGTGCGACTGTACCAACGCCTTCCCCTTTCCCAGTCGGCCTGAGGTACAGTGGATCGACTCCATCTAACAGCCCGATATGAATGAGACGCCTGATGTGGCACAGCGTATGGCTCGCCGGCACAGTTCTCTTTAGGTTTCCATGAATCAAACGCTCAAGCTAAATGAAAGCGGGAGCTCGCATTCGGCACTTGGTTCCGAAAAACTTATACGCTGAGACAGCATACCACACTACAGGTAGTTCCCCTTATCATCGGCATGCATGAACTTCGTTACATGTCACCACTAGCGTCGAATCTACCCGCTGTCTCCACCCCGGTCTGTCTGGTTGCTAGTCAAGGCTTGCTTGATCCGACTTTGCCAGCCAGCGTCTGCACCCAACATGCAGTGGATTCCTAATTACAAAGGATCACTTACTGCGGCTGACGATCAATCTTTCGGCGTCTACTTTATAGGTATACTGAGAGATGACTTGCAGCATGATAAAGCTGTCACATGTTTGCCAGTATATCTAGCATCCACTCTCTGAACAGCCGGCCATGGCAAGGCTTGCGCGCAGACTACAATGCCACAGCGAGCTCCACTGGCGGGTCCGACACACTGGCAACGACGGCGGTCGCGCAAACTTTCGTACGGAATGCTAGTCTCGGGTTCAGTGGACCTGATGTTGTCAGACAGCGGCCCGTCCGTTATAACCACCGGTTCTCTATACACAGTCCGTGCACCCCGAACGTCGAATCACAACCATGGAAATTCACATTCTAGCACATATTAGGGAAGACAAGGCGTCAAAAGTTTCTAAACGAAACAGCGCTACGTCCGTCAAGCCCATAACAAGGACACCAGCGTTTCGCCACTTCGTGAACTGGAACGGAATGTTAGTAGACGACCTTGGCAGGACCCGAAGAAATCACTACCGCATTGACTTTGATTTACCAAACAAGCAGTTCCCTTGCCTCCTGAGATGATTCGAACGTTTTCACAAGTGCTGCTATGCTCAGAACGGTCTAAGGGATAAGGCCATGCCCACTTCCCAAGGGATCCAGAACGCCTACAATCACGGAAGGAAGACTGGTGTTGTCGACAGAACCTGCATTGCTATCTCCTGTGTTACCTTCTATGGGAAATTAATGTCCGATCGTACCAGGTCGCCGGTACCTAGGCGCTGGTAGCATGAAGTTGTTTCGAATCGTGGGCTCACAATTCTGATATAAGAATCAAGACGACGTCCAACATTTACAACTCACCAGCAAGCAATACATTCGTTTCAGTCGCTTTCTACATTCGCTTCTTCAGCCTTTACATTCGTTCATCAACACTCTTTTTTATCAAATATACAAGTTTCATTACTGCTAGCCAGAATGAAGTTCAACGCCCTCGTCCTCAGCGCCGTCGCCCAAGTGGCTTCCGCCCATTACTTTTTCGACACCAACATTGTTGGCGGTGTTGCGCAGCCCCAGTTCAAATACGTCCGCGAGTCGAGCCGTGTCACCAAGTACAACCCCATCAAGTTCTCCTCCAACCCAGCTGCCGATATCCGTGATGGATCCACCGCCGATGGCCCCGATATTGTTTGCAACCAGGGTGCCCAAAAGGCCGGCAAGACTCAGGTCATGACCGTCAACGCTGGCGAGGAGATCCGCCTCAAGTTGGCTGTTGGAGCCAAGTTCCAGCACCCTGGCCCTGCCCTGGTCTACATGTCCAAGGCTCCCAGCACTGTGACTTCATACGATGGATCTGGTGACTGGTTCAAGATCTTCGAGGAGGGTGTCTGCGGCAACGGTGACTTCACCAGCGACGCCTGGTGCACCTACAACCGTGACTGGGTCGCGGCCAAGATCCCCAAGGACACTCCCAACGGCGAGTACCTCGTCCGCGTTGAGCACATTGGTGTTCACCGCTCCCACGTCAACCAGCCTGAGCACTACGTCTCCTGCATGCAGGTCAAGGTTCAGGGTGGCGGTAGCGGTACCCCTGGCCCCATGGTCAAGTTCCCCGGTGCCTACAAGGCCACCGACCCTTACGCCAACTTCAGCATCTACAACGGCAAGAAGGACTTCCCCATGCCCGGCCCCAAGGTCTGGGCTGGCGGTGCTAGCAGCGCCGGTGGTGCCACCACTCCCGCCAAGGAGGAGGCTACCTCTGCCGCCCCTGCTGCCCCTGCTAAGACTACCATGGCCACTGTTGTTGCTCCTGCCCCTGCCGCACCCACCAAGGCTGCTGGCGGTGCTGGCTGTGCTGCCCTCTACGGACAGTGCGGTGGAAAGGGCTTCTCCGGTGCCAAGTGCTGCTCTGCTGGTTCCTGCAAGGCTGCCAACGACTGGTACTCTCAGTGCGTCAACTAAGCCTGTTTGCTAGGACTTGGTCGAAAATCTGTGTATATTTTTCATTCTTTGTGTCTAGAAGCGAGGCGTTGCATCAGCATAGCATTGTTTTCTCAGGCGCTGTTCTCATAGTGGAACACCTTTTACCCTTCTGTTTGCCTGGTGGATGCGGTGCGAGCCTGTATCATAGCAATAAATCGTAACTTATCATCTGTGTTCCAAAACATACAGTATTCATATCGTGATCAACCGATCTCTAACTAAGAGTAGTTACATCAGTCTACCAAAAGCCAGACATACTACATAGAGTGGCTCAACCCTTCCGCGTACTCTTCTACAGTTCTTGGAATACCATGTGCCATCTCGACCCAATCCAATATTTCTTCGCAGATGTCGGCTGGCAGTCGTTGGCTGAAAGCTAGGATGAGGTGGCGTCGATATTCGCGCCGTAAATCTCGCACTACGAGCGATAAAATCTTGTCTAGCACAGACCTGAGTTGATCAAGGACTATAGCACCTGTATGTTTATGTGAAGAGTCAATTGATGACTTATAGACGCGCACATTGGAATTCTTACCTCTTTGCTCACGTTCGATGTAGGACGTCAAGGAGAGAAATGCGTGGGCACAGTCGAGCGGATGTTCGGGGTTCCAATCTTTCTGCTCCTGATCCAGCAAATCGAGAAGCAATGCATCTGTTTCGTGGACACCCTTTCGCCACCATTCCAGTTTTAGCTTTTCGAATCTTAGGAAGTCCAAGCGAAACATCAAAGCGAGCTGGAAGGCTCGGGCTTTACCATGTGGTATCTGGCTCATCCGCTTTAGTTCAAGGCATGTGCGGGAAGTGAAACGAGAGATGGGAATTGTGACATTCGCTGCGAGGCTATAGCCTGTCAATGCTGCGAACCTGTAGTCCTCGTAATCTGAGTATCCAGAATCTGAGTCGCTGACGTCTGAAGTCAGGTCGAAGTTCATGGAACTCCACAGTACCACGAGAAATACTGATGTCAAGATTTGCGAATAGCATCTGAGACTCCAGGTAGAGAGCCCAGCTTTCCAATTGGAGTTGAGTCCATCTCGGCACGAGGGTCTCCTTTTTCAGTGTATTCTCTAGATGATAGCATAAGTAAAGACGCTGAATGATCCCTCAACTGCAATATTTCGAACTTACCCACCCTTGTTAGAGGCGATGCCTCCCAAAATCGTTCTCGTGCAACATCTCGGACTTTACCGGAAGCTCCTCCTTGATTGTGGAGTTCTCTAGAGAGGTTTTCTAGCTTGATGACGTGTTGTTGTATCATATCCTCCATTCGACTTGTATCTAATAACCCAGCATCAACGGCGTATTGCCATCTCGGGTCCTTCAAGCATTTTCGCCATCGAGCAAGGATTCCTGACTTGTCGCTATTGTCTCCAAACTTTTCACACATCCTCACCAGATGCTTCAACGTCCGTCTCTTTCGCTTCTTCCTCATTTTTCCGCTGGACTCACGTCCATCAATCTCGTTTTGCTTCACGTTCGGCGTGCTGGTAACTTCGGTTCCATCGTCCTCTCCATTTTGAGTCGCAACTCGTACAGGCGGCCATGTTTGAACATTACCCATACTTCTAGATAGTATAGCGTTTTCGAGCTCACACCTCGACATTGATTTCGGAGTAGCAACCCCTGTAGGTTTACGTTGCGATACGTGTCGATTGGAAACAGGGACTTTCACGTGAGCTTGAAAACACTTTATTGGAATCGAACCGTATTTATTTTTGACAGAACAGACGCAAGAAATGGCAGACGAGGCCAGCTGTCAGCTGAAGAGACATGTTAAGTACGATTGCCGTGCCGCAGAGATTGGTGCACGCTAGCTACAAATAGTAATCCCTTGGTGAATTCCATGGCGTTTCGCGGAGGGCAAGTATCGATATTGCGAGAATGCCTATATGTGACACTACGCTTCTTTTTGCTTGTATCTTCGTAAAGAACGACACGCTTGGACCGCGGAAGTTATAGTCCGCAAGCTCTGGAAGGTTTGCAGGAGCTGTGCTTCGAGCGCGTGACGTCATCGCGACGCGTCCACGGGTCCGTCTCGGATGAGGCCCTACTACAAATCACTCACCAGGTAGATACAGGAGTTGTGTCACACTCAGACTCGAAACGCATAGATTGCTGGTCTACTCTGCGCGATTGGCACATTCCAATCGAAGGTGCTACTGGAGAGGCATACACACAGTTTTCTCTACAAAGATGCCTAGGTAATGCACAGAACATACTATGCTAAACGTGCGTGTACAAAATCAGATTTTTCTCATGAGCAGTTCGTCAAATGGATAGTTATATAGGTGTCGAACCGTATGAGCATTAATGTAGCTAATATAACAGCATTGTTTGTATGCAAGCGTCCAACTAGCGGCTTGCAACTTGTTACATCGAAGGTGTTTCTCAAGAAGGATGTCGTTTGAATCCAGGGTGCTAGTCGTTTGGTGAGACTGTAGCCGTCTATTGTTGCTTTGCCTTCAGTTCGGAAGCGACTTATCCGACTATAGCGCGGAGGATCGTGTCTTTTGGGGCGCTGATAACCATTTAATTTACTCGGCAATATATCTTGCCGCCTTTAGAACCAGGCTAACGCTACGCGAAGGATGAAACGATGATAAGCAGCCGAGTATGGCAGATCATTCGTGAGGTTGGACGGATATGGAAATGGAGATTTTAACAGCGTAGCATTTGCAGATGGCTGGTACGTTGGGTCCGCAGAAGCGGGGCAACTCTACGCGGTAGCGCTTACTCTTGTCTCATCTTACCATTAGATATATGACGCCTACTTTGCGACGTCTCATGTCATCAATCACAGCTCTATTTCGTGACCCATTACACCCAACATGACAGGCTCAAGCGAAGCAACGGAGTCGCATACCCTCTTCACGATTCCACATGTCGCGGCTGCAATTATCACCTACTGGATCGTGGCGACCACCTACAACTTGATCACATCGCCAACACCGCCATCAAGTATACCATGGATGGGCTACGGGAAGGGCTGGATCGCTGACTTCCGCAATTTCACTGCGTTGACTAAGAGCAAGGAATGGCTGTTGGCCGGTTACGACAAGTATAGTCGCAATGACAAGGTCTTTGTGTTACCACCAACGCTTGGCATGGCAGCTGAGATTGTAATGCCGCGAAGCCAAATGGGCTGGATGTTTGACCAACCGGATACTGTACTGAGTACAAGTGAAGCGCATTACGACTTCCTCCAGGGCGATTACTCATTCGTCAAGCCGATCATACTGAAGGATCCCTACCATGAACATGTAATTCACAAGAACCTTGTACGCAATCTCAATGCGATCCTCCCGGAGCTTGAAGAAGAGGTACCCCACGCTATTTCCGAAGTGTATGGAACGGATACAGATAGTTGGAAAAAGCTGGATGTTATGGATTCTTTCATGAAGATGATTCCAGTCCTGACCAACCGCATGCTTCTTGGCGGTTCCCTCTGTCGCGAGCGCAAATTTCTGGATGCGGTATTGGGTTTTACTGTGGACTGTATACGTACCCAGAGCCTTATGCAACTTTTCCCGAAAGCGCTGCACCCAGTGATCGGGACGTTGTTGAGTCTGACTACAAAGTACCACTACTGGCTGTCATCGAGATTCACACTACCCATGATCAAGCAGCGCATCTCAGATATCGAGAAAAAGGATGCTGGGGACCCCGAGTACAAGAACTGGAAAGAGCCGAATGACTTCATCAATTGGAGCTATCGGACTGCGCAAGCTGAGGGACGACGCGACGAAATGCAGCCAGATCGCATTGCTCAGCGCATCATGCCCATCAATTTTGCCAGTATACATACAACCTCTCTCACGGCTTATGAGACTATGGTCAACATCATGAGTGCCGGACCAGAAGTGGTCAAGCAGTTGCGCGAAGAAGCGCATCGCATTCTTCAAGAAGAGGGAGGTTGGACCAAGCAGGGTCTGAGTCGCATGCATCGTATCGACTCTGCTATCCGCGAGTCACAACGTGTCGCACCTATTGCACTTACGTTCGTTCATCGTAAAGTAGTAGCGAAAGAAGGGGTTACAACACCCGAGGGCGTACATGTCAAGTATGGAACGCTTCTCTCATGTCCATGGACGCCGCTGGCTGGTGATACAGACATACACGAAAAGCCAGAGGAATTTGATGCATTCAGATACTCGAGGCCTAGGGAAGAGTATGAGGCGATGGATGCGGAAGAAAGAAAGAAGATCGATGCGTTGAAACTGAAGCAAACAGGTCTTGTCACCACAGGCGTGCATCACCTTCCTTTCGGTCATGGGCGTCATGCTTGGTGAGTTAATTTACTCTTTTGATCCAGGCCTTTGCTGACAACATCGCAGTCCGGGACGTTTCTTTGTTTCCCACGAACTGAAGATGATTTTCGCCGACTTGCTACTCAACTACGACATCAAGCCGCTTGCGGAGAAGCCCAAAAAGATATGGGTGATTAGATTCCAGGTCCCAATGCCAGCAACAATTGAGGTTCGACGTCGGAAGAGTGTATGGAAACCAGAGACCGCCTCGTGATTCGCGTAACAACAATGTATGATATAATATATACATGGGTACCATGACTGTGCGGGACTATCGCACTAGTGCTAGCTTTCTTCTTATCTTCCTCACTTTGCCAAAGCTGTTCACGCATCGGCCGAAGATAGCCACATACCCAGTTCAACACCCAACTGCCCAGGCTGATCGTACATGATGAGATGTCCGGCTCCGTCAACCTCTATTACCTCCTTCGCACTCAACACCTCACCAAGCCTATGTGCATCTTTTACAGGAATCCAATTGTCCTGCTTGCCCCAAATGACTTTCACGGACATGTTCTCCCCCACCTCTGCGTACCGTCCCTCAACCTCTTCCGTACTCCGATGAGCGGCTTGGCATAGTTGGCGGACGAACCCTCCCTTGCCACCTTCTGCCAGCCATGGTGACTTGAGCATGCTCATTGTCTTCTCATCCAGCATAGTGTACGCAGCGTTCCTGATATATGATTCGAGGATACCTTCAAACGACATATCAGGTAAACTCTCGATGGCCCCCGGGTTCTCTGCGACGCCTTTGAACAAAGGCTGACCAAAGGGACCGATAGCGACAACGTCTATGAGGCAAAGACTCTTATATTGACATCCATGCAGCAAATAGGCACGAAGACTCATCAATCCGCCATGGTCGTGAGCGACAACGTGGGGTTTTGACTTCCATCCTTCTGTGGTCTGCCAATGCTTGAAGATAGCGGCGAAGGCTGAAGTTTGGCGAGCGAGATCACTGTCTAGTCTCTCCACTTCGTTTTTTGGTTTGAAATCGCCATTGGGTAGAAGCTGCTCGATTGGTGAATCTCCGAAACCAGGGTTGTCGAAGAGGTACACCCTGTACTTGTGGGATAGAGCCAGCGCGAAGGGTACCCAAACGCGGGAAGACCAGGGAGTGCCATGTATGAAGATGAGTGGCGGCGAGGTCAGAGAGCCGAGCGATGTCCATCTGACATTAAAGGAATGCGTCGGGGATTTGAAGTCGAACGTTTTGCTCAGGGTAGTTGGGTCGCTGGTTGGTGGAGACATGCTTGTAGTAGACGCACACGTTGTTGCGGAAGACTTGCGAGAATTATTGCCCGGTATCATGCACTTTGCTGGTTGTTTCGCTATCTTGTTTCTGGGTGCGACTCAGCTTATATGCTTCTGATGTACCTCATGAGGCTGTCGCTAGGTATTGTTGTTCTGCCCCATCTATGATGCGTAATAGCCTGTGTATCTTCGCAGGATTCCAGCACCTATCAGTGGGCACTTATCATACGTCGCTTCCACAGCAACAGCATTGCTATCGGTCAGCAAGAGACGCGGATCGACGTATCGTCATGCAAGCATGTCTCCGAAGTGGCCAATCAGAGCATCCGCTCATAGGGAACACGATGACTTGAACCCCTCAACGAGACGTGCTCAATCTCTGTGTGTCGCTTACACGCTTAGACGGCGTTGTCGCATCAGGTAGTGCTTTCGGCGGCCGCCCTCTGCGTTTCACAGCCGGTGCGGCGATGCCACCTTCCCGCAGCTTCGTCTTTCCTCGACCAGCCTGGCTTTTAACATCCGGATTTTTTTCCAGATAATCTTCGATTGCCTCAAAAATAATAGGGCAATACCCAGACACGTCCAAGTGACGCCTCGGGATCAGATACTTGACGAGATAAGTATCCGGTACTTGATTGAGTCGCTTCCCTTCATGTTTACCAAATGTGAGCTTGTAGTCAGAAAGTGGCGGCGGTCCCGCCGCATACCACTTTTCCAAGATACCGACGTCCTGATATCTAGTCGGATCGTATCTGGAGAATGTGTCCTCGGCGCCCAGGGCTTTCAGGTTTTTCGCTCTTTCCGCCGTGTTCTTTCGAAAAGATTCCCAGAAACAATCGGGTTTGTTGGGGTCATCACGACAGCAGACGAAGGGCCTGAGGGATGGATCCGTGGACTGTTCTCTCCAAGCATATTCTATCTCTTCCTCATCGGAACTGAAGGCAATCTGTTTATGAGCGCGAACGCTCCGAAAGTCGCGTCGCGACGGTACACTGGGCCCTGGAAATTCGACCGATCTGCGACAAAGAGGAAAAGTGATGCGGAGAGGCGTAGCTACGTGCGCAATAATGCGGTGCTTGCACGCTTGCCTGTACATGATGATTACATGCCACTCGATGCCTCAATGGAATTCGACGATAGGTGAGCGTCAGGCCGCCAGCGGAAAGTCCTCCATAATTTTGCGGGCGGGCACGGGCGGCATGTTTGTTCGCTTCGATAGCCAACTATCTGGTGCAAGCTCCAAGTTTCTCAGCTTGATCGAATAGATGTACATCCGGGCGGGGTTGGTAAGGATCTGGATATGACAAAACTATGAATGCATTATGAATTTATTATACATATTACTGTTTCCAGTATTGCGCACCTAGCTCGTCTCCGAGCTTCACATGATCACCCTCGACAATGATCTTCTTAACCACGACTCCCACAACATCCCATTTACTGTTGGTGTCGATAGGCAGACCTGAGTCCCTGCGTTTACCCGCAGCGTCTTCGTTGCCAACTTCGCGCACGACTTCCCAGTTGTTGTTACCAATGTCGACAAGCCTAGCACGCTTGTAGCTTGCGTTGGAGACCTGACGTTGTGCGACTACAAAGCCAGCCTCGTCTTGCTCCTTGATCCACTTCCTGGCTTCTTCATCTTGCCATACTTTCTGGAGTGCTGCGTCGGCATCCTTGAGCAGCCTCACACTCTGTTCCTCAGCCTCGATGGTGCCAGCCTCGGTGCCCTTGTCAAGTGGTTTCTGGAGCAAATGCGTACCACCGAAGCTCTCGACGAAGTGTCCGTCTTCCGCGTTGAAAAAAATGACATCCTTGTACCTAGGTATCTTAGTATCTTGCATACAAGTACCATGTGTGTATTCTGGCGTACCATCGCGTGCCGATGTCGTCGTAGTCGCGGTCTTCGAGGGCTTTGGACGTGTACTTTGACATCTTGGAGACGAGCTGTCCGCAGGGGACCTTCTCGGCAGGGAGGGGCTGAGGTAGGATTGCGAGCTCAGGAATGATGGAGGGCGACAGTGGGCCGTCGAGGTAGCTGGGTCGACGAGAGTACTTTGCTGCCATGGTGAGGAGCTGTAGCTAGAGCTGTAGTAGTAACGAGAGGGTAAGTAGAGTACAATTGACTTATGACGGTCTTCAAAGCAAGCTATAGAGCTATACTCAGGTGCGGAGATGCTCTCGTGAGGGGTCAGCAAGCTTTATGTGATATCATTGTACCACAGCTCTGGTAGGTAGACAACCCCGCTCGCCATGGCTACAATCTTCTCAGGTCACGCTCATGCTACGGTACCTGTTTTTGGTAACCCAGATATCATACCAAAGATGATGCGACGCGTACCTGCGACAGAATGAGTGGTGTGACGGATCAGGTGGCCATGATGAGGTCGGAGGCATGGCGTGTTGTTGTACCTGACTACTCGCTTCCAAGTGGATCCGGAAGGACGCGGCCGACTCTTCCCGGCTCGTCTTCGTTGCATAGACACGTACTGACCTGTCAAGCAGCCTCGACATCATCACCGTCACCACGACCCGAACTTATGAAGCAAACAATTGATGAGGAGGGTTTGTATTCCTTGAGTAGAGTGTGCATGCCCTCCGGCGCCACTATTTACAACTTCTGGCGACCCCTATGGTAATCAGCCACGCATCATTCCAACCAGACTACAAGACTCACGGCTTCATCGCCATGGCCTTTACGAACATCTCGTTCACTGGCAAACCCTTTGCGCTGAGGCTCTGCTCAAGATTGATATCTGGGTCGGATTTACCCATAGCTCGCCTGTACGCTTCGCGCTCACCAATGCGGCCGAGCCACGCCAAGATTCCAGGATACTCACTCAAATCCATCGGCTCGAAGGTTCGCATCGTTGTGAAGCACCATCCCGTCATGCACTCTGCGGCAGTGAACTCATCGCCTGCAAGCCACTTGTTGTTTTGTAGTCGGTTGTCGATATGGCTCAGCGCCTTGAGGACACGGGCATCGTTTCCCTTGAAACGCAGATCATCTTCGCCGACCATACCACGCGTCATAGCCCTTCTGAACATTCCAGGCTGTAACGTGCCATTCGCGAAATGAAGCCAGTAAAGGTAGTCTGCAAAGTTCTTGTCTTGTGGTGCCAGGGCCAATCGTCCGTTGCCGTACTTATGGATAATGTAATCGCAGATGGCCCCAGATTCGGCGAGTTTGATGGGGTTGGACGGATCAGTCAGATCCTCCAGGACGGGTGAAGCACCGAGAGGGTAAACAGCCTGGAGCTCGGGTGGTGAGAGAAGAGGTGATCGCTGATATAGCTTCAACTCGTAAGGAATATTGAGCTCCTCGAGAAGCCATGGGATGCGCTCGCCTTGGCCGAACTGTAGATGGTGGATGATAAGCTTTGGGGATGACATCTTCTGAGTTGATAGTGAAATGATAGATCGTATGGGACCTTGAAGAGTCGGATGTCGTGAATTGTTCTTGTATTCCAAATGTACTTGGCTTCTCGGTGTTTCGGTTACTCGGTGATCGACAGATCCGGCAGATAGTGTACGTAGTGTAGGTAAAAAGCTCCGCTGACTATGATTCGGCGACTTGCGGCTCAAGAAGTGGAGGTAGTGGGGTTATGGACTCCATTCTGCTTCGTAAACTTCGATTCTTATGTTCGTCCAGATTCCAGGCACCCACGATCTGTGTCGTCGATGTCTTCGCCCTGTACTCCCAGATTGGCAGACTACTCGAATGCTGACAATTCCAGTCACGTGTCGTTCGGCCGAACCTAGTCAGTACCCAACGCCGATTCGCCAGGTACGACTCGCCAGAGAACTCTGATACGTCAGAGTGGACTTTGCGGACGGATCGCATGATATCCATATATGCCGTGCTTACAGGCTTGTAAAGACTAGACCGCTGCTACCTCCAAGATACCATGCATCTAGTGGTTGCTGATAGTATAGGCATCAACCTTTTGGCTACCATACCGATTCTGTCCCGACACTACTGTGAAACAGGTAAGGATGAGCTGCAGACTACATGTTCAGCTACAAGACCACGTCTTCTGGAACGCGCGCATCCTCCGAAAGTGTCTCCTACTCATCGTATGCCTCCCCAAGCCGCTCTTCCTATTCCTTGTCATCCTTCTTCCGACACTGGCCGAAAACATGCACAATCGCATGCTCCTTCTCATGGGCCACTTCGACATGCCGCCGTTTGCAATTGAATATCTCAAAGACACTCTCATCGCACTCAGTCTCGTCGCGATCAATGCGTGAGTAATTACCTTTGTACCGCAGATTATACTCTACTGCATTGCATAACACCTCGATGGTTGCTTCGACAAGCTCCGCGTCGGACAGCACTTCGATCTTTTTGAATGAAGAGTCATCGTGGTCCATTGCTTCACATCGGTGAAGGAACATGATGAAATACGACTTCCACGTGAGAGAAAGCCACATATCGTCCATGTGTTATAGTTGAATCATAGTGCTAAGAACGAGATAGCTCAGGTAATCATAATGGACTTTAAGACGGAACGGTCAACCCAAAATGTAAGTGAACGCTCTTTCAAAGAAAGTCTTTGCGGAGAAAACAACAAGTGCCATGACAGTCCAGGCTGAAATAGCCACTTCTCCTTAGTTTGCCTCATACACATGGTCCTTTATTTATTGATATATCTTCAAGCAAGAAACGAAAGCCATATTCCTCCGCCGTCCCATTCACCTTTTCCGAGAGCCTCTTACAATACCAACATGCAGCTTCACTGATAAATATCTCTATCTCCAATAGCTCAGTACGCCAACTGGCAGCAAACTTATCCTTGAACTGCTCGAAGGTGAGGTCAGTATTGCAAAACTGCTCTACGTATAGCGCCATGAGCTGTGGCTCGGCGTGCTGGAATATCGTTTCTTTGCCTTCAGTCCCTAGAGTCCGGAATAGTTCGGAAGCCTTTTTGGAATAAACTTGTCCAGATATGAAGCCATCTGGCGTGGCAGGGTGCAGACCATTCTGGGCCAGATACCTCTTTCCACCAATCTCCATAAACGCTACAACGGCTCGGCCCGGACCATACTTGGGCTTTGTACTGAATGTTTGCACCAAGTCAAACTTGGCGTAACCAGGCTCTGAGTCGATCGTGTATCTTCGAAATTGGAGGTCGTGGACAGTTTTCCGTCGGCGTTGACGCTCCATCAGGTCTTCGGCGCTCTTCTTCGCATTTTTCAGGTCTGCCTGGGCGCTACAAAGATGTTCTTTCTGAAGCGCATACTCCAATCTTACAGCTTTCAGTGAAGCTCCTGTTTCATAAAGTTTCGCTTGAATCTTTTCCAATTCAGTCGGGACCGCCTGTATTTGATGAAATGAATCGTCTGTTTGTGTTCCAGTTCGGACATTTTCAGCTGTCAGCGAGCTGACACTCCCATATAAGTCGGCTCTAGCTGCTTTAGTATTCGTGGAAGCAGTGTCGCTACTCGTAGGCTTCCGTGAGTCACATCTCTTTCTAGGCTGGGACTGGGATTTGGGATCCGTGCCGGTATTCGTCCCATCCGATACAGTTACTTTAGCAAGCTTCGCTGTAAGTTCATCCATGACGTCCGTTCCTCCCATACCCGAAATCTGTTTAGGTTCGAATGATTAATCGTCTTCCGTCAGTCCTTCCGTGATATTTAAGTAGGGATATGTAAGTAAACCCCGCTCCTCATCCTTGAGGGTGACTGGCCTTGTCAACGAGTAAGATATGGTCTCTATGCAGATAAGCATTGAAACCTGTCAGTGCAAGACATTCATTGGTATATTGCTGCCCGCAAGTGTGTCGTGTAACGTGGTACTAAACATGGACGCGGTTCACCGGTTCATGCATTCTTTGATTCGATGTGACTGCTCGCCTTCTACTGGCATCGCACATCTTGCATGTACAGCTACAATGTTAACCAATCTCAAACTAAAGAGAACTCGATATGCCATGACGGTGGAATGTTGCGTAAGGTTGACACTTTCGAAGTGGTCGGCCCTGAGAGCAAGTTCATTTAGCGCCCGAGTGGCGATTGAAGCCCCACCAACGCGTCGTTTCAATCGCGCTTCAACCGCTGCAGGGTAACCACCCCTCACATCACGTTTCCAGCACCATGACGCGGGGAAAGCTCATAGTTTTCGAAGGCCTAGATCGGGCAGGCAAATCGACTCAATGCCAAATGTTGGCTGAAGATATGCAGAATGACGGGATCAAGGTGCGGCATATGCGGTTTCCAGGTATGTGCGCGCAGACTGAAGGCCGTCAAAGGCTGTGCGATTGGATATACGGATTGAAGAGCCGAAGGCTGATCACTTGAGCAGATAGAACGACACCAATCGGCCAAATGATCAACAGCTACTTGAGTGGTCAGAGCGAGCAAGACGACCATGTCATACATCTCTTGTTCTCCGCGAATCGGTGGGAAGCAGTGTAAGTCGTTCCATGCTCAACTGCACGCAGACAAGGTTTTCTCAGCGTGCATTGCAGACCTTCTATACAAGCCGACCTCGAAGCTGGTACAACGATCATCGTAGATCGTTACTACTACAGCGGCTGCGTGTACTCTGCTGCCAAAGAGAACCCCAGCATGAGCCTCGAATGGTGTCGAAAACCCGAAGTAGGACTTCCACGGCCTGACTTGTGTCTCTTCCTTGACATATCCGCCGAAGACGCAGCAAAGCGAGGCGGGTATGGCACTGAGAAGTATGAGAAGAAGGAGATGCAGGACCGCGTACGAGGGCTGTTTGAGACAATGATGCAGAAGAAGGAGGGCGAGGACTTTGTGCGCATCGATGCGGGTGAGGGTATGAAGGATGTGGCGGCAAAGATCAGACAAGAAGTCGATAGGTGTATTGAGCGGGTCGCCAAAGGCCAAATGCCGTTGAGGACTGTGGAGGAGTGGTAAATGCTCTCAACTGGTGTTGGAGCCTTGCGGCTTATCCTCATCGTCGTTGACATTCTCGACCCACGTTTCATCAAGGTCCTCGTCAAGGTTGACATCAAGATCATCTATATCAGGAAACTCTTCCGCATCATCCTCGATGGTTCCGTCCGACTTTCTTTTCTTTCTCTTTGTCTTGAACATGACCTTCAGCTCTTCTTCACCATACATGCGCAGACTGAGCTCCTTCATCAAGTCAGACCATCTCAGAGAGCTGCGACAACTCGGACATGTCCCTTGGACTGGGATAAACGCATCGATGTTGCTCTCTTCTGCCAGAAATTTCTGCGACATACAGGCCATGTGTGACACAACGTGACATGTCTCCACTGGACAGACCAACACGAGTGATGTGTCAGGACTCACATCTTCCTTGCAAACAGCACACACTCGCTTTTGATCGTCTCCGAGCATCATTTTTGACTTTTCGACATGTGTCTTACAATCCTCGTACGCAACAGGAATTGCTCGTATTATTTCCGGTATGAAGTGAGTTCGCATCTCGCTTTGCACGTCCGGCGCAAGCTTCGGAAGCTCGGCCGGCGTCACCCGGATAGTGATGTCCTTCCGTAGGGTCGTCTTCATCTTGGAAATATGCTTCTCCCATTGCGTAAACACATCCTGGGCAAAGAATCGGATATGCAACGGCCATCGGCTGAAGCTCCCGACACCCAACAGATGATGTAAATTCTTCAATCGCGCTTCTAGGGACATTGGTGGTCTCGGCCTCTTGACGGGCGAAGGATTCTTTCTCCCCTTTTGCAACTCCTCTAGCCTCGCGTCGCGCACATCTCGCTCAATGTGTCGTGTCGCGTGCGTGTTTTGCCACGCCCATTCAAACTGCAACGCAGCGAATCTGGAAGGAAACCCAGTAACAATGCACGTCATCTCCCACGGCCGCTTCCCTTGCATCGACGTACGCTTCGCGCCGCCCTTGCTCGAGCCATTGTGCTGACCCAGGCGGCGGGCCGGATTGGGTGTGCTGCCGATGTAGAAGGCTTTTCGGTTCTTGGAGCGGAGTAGATAACAACAGTAGAAGGCTGGGATGGGGCGGCTTTCGATCTTGAGAGAATCAGCCATGATTAGACTGGATAAAGATGAAGTCGATGTTGTTGTTGATCGCATCCAAAAGCGTGCAACGGCCAGTTAGGGCTGACGGGACGATGCAGATGGAGGCTGTTGTGATTGGTGGGCAGGTACGCTTCCCGGTACGACAACCTTGCTGCCGACCTCACCTGCAGGAGTTCAGGCTTAGGTATAGAATGAACACGAAAGTAAGAAATTGGCAAAAATGTAATGTAAATGCGCAATGCTGCTAATGTTACGTTCGCTGTTTCGAGATGCGGTGCGATGATGCAAGCACGTGGCGAGTTTAGCCCGACAGGCGTTCACGCTGAAAAGGAAGAAAAAGTAACCACGTATGGAAATATCTGAGTCAGGCTGATATATGTGCTTGTTATGCGAGCCAATGTGGTTCGTTGGTCGCCGAGATGGTAGACAGCGGCGCAAAAGAAAGTTGGTGAGGTGAGGTCGGCACATGGACAGCCTTGCGTGCAGTCGCCAGATCGGCATGATGTAGCTCTCATACCTGACTGTGACTGCAGTTGAAGACTGCATTTTGGTATTGCGCCCATGCAAGGTAAAAATTGAGCGGAAAAGTCTCGTTAAATTCTCGAGTCTCCCCTAGGACAGACTGAGTTGTTATTTACAATGTTTTTCCGCGTGCCCTGCTGAACAAGCGTTGACGTTCTGGGTTCGGTACCTTTGGCTCGATATGCATCCGCCGCTAGCGGGAATCTCGCACCTTTCAGCGGGCCCCATCCATCCTCTCCATATCTCCTCACCTCCACAACCGAATTGCACAACCGCCGCCTCTACCACGTCGTTCGCTCGCAGGCTGACGTACAACCGTACTAATATTTGATTCTTGTAGAACTGCATCACGCGGTGTAAGCGGGTCGAGAGCGGTCGCCTGCCGCTATAGAGGCTCCATGCCTACGCCTATATCCCCTCGATAGTGCCCACGACCGACCGATTCACTCCCAATCACAGTCGCCATACCTACCATATCATCTCGTATTTCGTTACGAGGCTGCAACTAGGGCGGAAGTCGCGACAGCGCTGCATGCACGAGCAAGAGGGTCATGGTCGACTTCATGCCCCCCAGTGGGCCCTCGACAGGCGCCACTATGACTACCTTTCGAGTCGCTACGGACAGCGGAACGCCTGATGGAACAGCCAGTGCACCCAAGTCAAGAATGGGTGGTGCTGCGGTGCCTGCCATGAGTGGCGCGCAGCTGAATGGGGCTGGCACGATTCCCTTGAGCGCGCGTAAGGCGGCGCCGCTGGATCTCGCTACCGTAGAGCGCAGAGGACATGGGGCGCCGAACAATCTACCACCCAAGCAGAACCGTCTCTTTGGTTTGCGCGAGTCTCCAACATATCGACCGACAGCCGAGCAGTTCAAGGATCCCGTGCAATACATTCAGAGTATCCGAGAGGAGGCACAGAAGTATGGCATAGTCAAGATCGTGCCGCCGGATACCTGGAATCCGACGTTTGCCATCGACACAGAGCGCTTCCACTTCCGGACACGGCGACAAGAGCTCAACTCAGTCGAGGGCGGCACACGTGCTAATTTGAACTACCTCGATCAGCTCGCCAAATTTCACAAGCAACATGGCCACAGTCTCACTCGCTTTCCCAGTGTCGACAAGCGACCTTTGGATCTCTACAAGCTCAAGAAGGCCGTTGAAAAGAGAGGTGGTTTTGAACGTGTCTGCAAGCAGAAGAAGTGGGCTGAGATAGGACGCGACCTCGGCTATAGTGGCAAGATAATGTCTTCGCTGTCTACATCACTCAAAAATTCATATCAGAAGTGGCTGCACCCATATGAGGAGTATCTGCGTCTAGTCAAGCCTGGCGTGCAACAGATGCTAGAGTACGAGCATGGCGGACCTTTCACACCATCGCCAGCCCATTCGCCCATGAAGAAATCGCTACAGGGCACGCCTGTCGCCAACGCGACGGATTCGCCTGCCATAAGAGCTTCAGCAGCTCTGAACGCGACACTGCAGGGTGACTCCGTACCCACACCACCATCCGAACTGTCGCGACCTGCTATGCAGGCAGGCTTCACACCGGTGAACTCTGGAGGCTTTACAGCGGTCAACGCACTCTCATCACAGAAGCCATCTACGCAGCCCTCGACACCTAGTGCTTTTGTTGCGGCCAATGCCTCAGGTGCTATGCACCGGGATGTGTTGGAGTCGCGCACATCGACACCCCTGCGCAACGCTGGTAGCCCCATGCTCTCAGCTGACAACACACCCGACCTTCGACCGCCCGGCAATGGACTGACACCATTGGCCAACGGACATCAATTTAACCAGCTGAAGCGAACCTTCTCCCAGGATCCAGAGAGTAGTGCAAATGACGATGTGGATGAGGCAAGCGGGCGACGGAGTAAGCGACTTAAGAAAGACGCTCCTCCTACGGTTGCTGGCTCGCACATGACTCAGCCTCGCCAATCGACGCCCAGCCGGTCTTTCCCACGCGTGAGATCGGCCGACGAACGACCTGGTGATCGTTGCGAAACTTGCGGTACCGATAATGATCCACAGAACATTTTGTTGTGCGACAGCTGCGACTCCGGCTACCATGGTTATTGTTTGGACCCACCGATCAAGGCTATTCCTGCATATGACTGGCATTGCCCCAGGTGTCTTGTCGGCACGGGCGAATTTGGATTCGAAGAAGGAGGCATTTACTCGCTTAAGCAGTTCCAGGAACGAGCTCATCAATTTAAACAGAGTCATTTTGCCAACAAGAGGCCTTTCGATCCGATCACCAACGCGCCAAAGCCGGTCACCGAGGATGACGTAGAACGCGAGTTTTGGCATTCGGTCGCAAACGTGACAGAGACGGTCGAAGTTGAGTATGGAGCAGACATACATTCCACAACACACGGCAGTGGCTTTCCTACGATCGAGAAGAACCCACGCGACCCCTACTCTACTGATCCATGGAATTTGACTGTACTCCCCTACGCGCCAGATTCTCTGTTTCGCCACATCAAGTCCGACATCTCAGGCATGACAGTACCTTGGCTATACGTCGGTATGGTGTTCTCGACATTTTGTTGGCATGCTGAAGATCATTACACCTACTCGGCAAACTACCAGCACTTTGGCGCTACCAAAACCTGGTACGGTGTACCAGCCGAAGATACAGACAAGTTCGAGCAAGCCATGCGTGAGGCAGTACCAGAATTGTTTGAGAGCCAACCAGACCTTTTGTTCCAGCTCGTGACGCTTTTGACCCCGGAGCAGCTTTTGAAGGCTGGTGTCAGAGTCTATGCGATTGATCAACGCGCTGGAGAGTTTGTGATAACATTCCCAGAAGCCTATCACGCTGGGTTCAACCATGGTTTCAACTTGAACGAAGCAGTGAATTTTGCACCGAGTGACTGGGAGCCATTTGGTGAGCACGGAGTCCAACGTCTTCAGGATTACCGACGTCAGCCATGTTTCTCTCACGACGAACTACTATTGGCCGCGGCATCGCGTAAAGACACAACTATCAAAACCGCCAAGTGGCTCGGCCCTGCAATGGAGCGAATGCTCGAGCGAGAATCGCGCATTCGTGCAGAATTCCTCGAGAAGCACAAAGCTGCCAGACCGCATACTTGCAAAATTGACGGCACCGGCGATAGCGAAACACCATGTGAGCTTGAGTTCGTCGTCGATGATGCAGACATGCACGAAGATGAACTGATCTGTGCCTTCTGCAAGGCCTATGGCTATCTCTCTCGGTTTTACTGTAGCAAGACTAAGAAGGTCTTGTGTCTACAGCATGCGGGATGGTTTGAGTGTTGCCCAGAGACCCCAGAATCTGAGCGTCACTTTGGAGCCCAAGGTCAACACAAGCTAGTATACCGCATGCCCGAGGATGCTCTTACTACGCTAGTCCAAAAGATCGTTGACAAAGCAGGCATGCCAGAAGCTTGGGAATCAAAGATGGAAGCTCTGCTTGCCGAAGGGCCTCGGCCTCAACTGAAGTCTTTGCGCGCCCTCTTGAACGAAGGTGAGAAGATTGACTGGGACCTGAATGGCCTTCAGGATCTGAAAGATTTCGTCGATAAGTGCCAGGAAGTCGCCGAGGAAGCTATTCTCTATACCACTCGGAAGCAACAAGCCCGCCGCAAGGCAGAACGTCCCGGGAGAGGACGACCAAGCAAGGCGAACATCGCTGAGGCGGATGAGAAGGACCGCGAGTACCGCAACGTGGACAACATACAGAAACTGCTCAACCAAGCGAAAGACCTGGGGTTCGATAGTCCGGAAATAACTACGCTCCGAGAACGCGCTGAGAGCATTGTCGAGTTTCAGACTAGAGCGCGCACTGCTTTGCGTGAACGCACGTCTGAGCAAAGCATCGCTCGGCTTGATGAGCTCCTAGAGGAAGGGAAAGGTTTCAACGTCGACCTCCCCGAGCTTGAATCCCTCGAAAAAGTGGTACAGCAGTTGAAATGGCTCCAAGAAGCACAGGACTTCAAGGTGAAGCTGGCACCGACGCTTCAAGAAGTTGGTGAGCTCATCAAGAGTGGCGTTGAAGTCGGCATGCCAGAACACCATCCCGACCTTCGCTTCCTGCAAGAAAAACGAGACCAAGGCGAGTTCTGGGAAAAGAAGGCCAAAGAGCTCATGGAAGTGGAGAACGTGCATTACCAGCAACTCGATGCCTTTTCCAAGCAAGCGACCAACCTGCCCGTAACACCAGAGACCCGTGCAGCTATGGATGCTATTTTGAAAAAGCAGCGAGATGCACAGGAACTTATCATGTCATTATACGAGCGAAGTAAGAATCCTGACTTCTCTCAGCGACCAAAGTACATGGAAGTCCGCAATGCCATGGAATCACTGAACGCACTGAACGGCAAGCCTAATGGCACGAACGACCTTGAAAAGGAACAGAAGCGACATGAAGATTGGATGAGACGAGGAAAGAAGCTCTTCGGCAAAGCCAATGCGCCCCTCCATATTCTCCATGCGCACATGAAGCAAGTCGACGAGCGTAATCGTTCCTGCTTCGACTTGTCTGATCAGCCTCGAATGCCTGTGGAGCCCGCCTCTCGTGAACAGAGCCCAGCTGATGGCGAAGAGGTTGACGGTTCGGGATCTAGCCGAGATGTCTTTTGTATCTGTCGAAAGCCTGAAGCTGGCATGATGATCGAGTGTGAACTGTGTCACGAATGGTAAGATACTTGGCTTCAAGGAAAGCAGGCACGTGCTAACAATTACAGGTATCACGGGAAGTGCTTAAAGATCGCACGCGGAAAGGTCAAAGAGGACGACAAGTACACGTGTCCCATCTGCGACTACCGTGTTAAAATCCCACGCGATGCGACTCGTCCTAAATTGGAGGACCTGCAGCTTTGGCAGGACGAAGTTCCTGGTTTGCCGTTCCAACCCGAAGAAGAGGAGACATTGGACTCCCTTATCGAGCACGGTACCAAGTTCCGTGACTACGTTGCGCAGTACATCAATCCGTTGATGTCAAGCCCTGATGAACTCACCACGCAGCGGTTCTACCTACGGAAGCTTGAGGGCGCCGAGATCCTTCTCTCCAACGAGATCAACTTCTTCCGTCAGGAGCTGCATAAGTGGGCACCAGTTGCCCCAACGCCACCGCCGATTCTACAGGTGTCGCTCTCTACGCGTAAGCCTCGGCCCACGAAGCAACAAAAGCTTATGACCCAGTTGGGCATCACCAATCCAGATGATCTTCCACAGCACCTCAAGACCAAGACTCACCAGTTTAAGCGCAAGGATGGAGACGGTCTCAAGTCGACGAGTCAGCAATCTGGTGCTGCTGAGCAATCTCATACACCCCCTGGCGAGCCTCGTCAAGGTGCTGGTGAAAGCAGTGAGTACTTTAACACAACCACTACGTCTACGTTCAGCAACTCTCCTACATTTGCTACGACGGCTCCACTCAGTTTTGGCGGAGGTTCTTCCATCGCGCCCATCGATCCAGGTCTCTTTGAGAGCTCAGGCCCGGCAGCTCCGACCAGTCCTATGCAAGACCCGTTCAAGAGCTCAGGTAGTGGCAACGAGATGTTTGGCGAAGCAATGGAGATGGGTGGTGGTCAGGCAGAAGAGGCATTGGCTGTCACCGAAGGCAACAATTACATGGAATAGAACTCCGACGGCTATACACCACGATCGCCAGACGATGGCGCATAATTTCCTATAAGCATTTTAGGGCGGCGTTCGGCAAGGGCCGTTGTACAACACGGCTCGTTCTCATGTTTTGGTCTGGGATTCCACGACTGTTGTTGTCAGAATTGTCACTGTTTCATCATTTCGCGGATCATTGATTTTTGATAGCTGCTCCCACAGCTACTGCAAGGTTGGGTGTTCATGTTAGCATGGCGCTGCTTGTTGCATCAATGGGTGTTTGGGAGCACGAGAGGGCCACTGGCCAGCATACCCCCCAAAATAGGCACGTGGTGGGCTCAGAGTTTTAATACAATCTTTGATAATGAATGCATGCTGCAATAATCAACTAAGTCGGGTATCTGGTGAAGTTTGAGCTGAGGCCAGTTTGTACGCGTGATGCGGGGATCTCGGAGGTTTGCTCGAAATGCGCTATGAATGAGGCCCGTGCACACGACTTTTCTAAAGCCGACTCTGATGGTCGACGACGTCGGAAGACACATCGCAATGCTTCCAAGTAGAGGGCTGCGGCCGGCCCAGTTTGCGCCTTTGGCCTCACGACAATCGACAGCGCTACGATCCAATGCTACAAGGAAGGTGCGCATACCTGCGAATTTAGTTGCCCACTTGGTCGAAATCACACATCCGCCTTCTCCTGCCCAAGTCGCACAGTTTCCTTTCCATAAAGACTCTTCCACCGCTGCAACTGAAACCGAATACGAGCTCACATTCATGTACTAATTGCCGCAGTTCTCCTCCCTTCCCCGAACTGCCAACCTCTCAAGCTCGTCATGTCGGACAAGCCCGCTCCAGTCGGCGCTGTGGAAGTCAGGCGCGAACCGGACCCAGAATGTCATGATGAGTGCGTCATCTGTCCGATACGCTTCATGGTATGCTCCTTGGAGCTGGGGCAAGTCTAGCGGCTCTGTCGACGCCAGTTCCCTTTCGCCTGCCGAACGGGTGCCAGTCGCCGAATTCTCGAATCGCCCAGTCTCCGAATCTGCGCAAGCTGCAGAACCTGCCGTCACCACATCTACCCCGGAGCTCGCTCCTGCAGCCATCGATAAGCCTGCTGTTGTAGACGGAGCATCCGTGTCCACCGAGGCCGCAGCAGAAACCGCATCCACATACGCTGAACCCAAGACACTCAATGACCTGTTCGGTGCCGAACCTGTCAAGGACACTCTCCCTACTGCTGAAATCGACCCTACTCGCCTAATCGACCATGCCGGACAATTGAAGGAACTTGGCCTCGACTACGGCTACGGTATGACGACTCTTTTCGAGAAGACCATTGAAACCATCTACCTACAATCAGGCTGGGGCTGGGCTGGATCGATCGTTGCCGCTGGTCTTGTCGTCCGTTGCGCGACCTTTGTTTTCCAGGCTATGAGCTCAGACAAGATGGCAGCCATGGCCTCTTTGGGACCCATCACCAAGCCTATCCAAGAGAAGATGGAGGCTGCCATCGCTCGGGGCGACAAGCAGCAAGCCGATATGTACAAGATGCAGCAGGCGCAAATCATGAAACCATATATGGGAGGCATTCTCTCTACCGGAGGTTTCATGATCATGCAAGGTTGGATTGGATTTTCGGCCTTCAGATTTCTGAGAGCCATGGGCGAGTTGCCTGTCCCAGGCATGTCTCAAGATGGATTCTTGTGGTTTACTGATTTGACCGCTCGCGACCCCTATCTCGTTCTACCCTTTGCTACTTCAGCTATCATGTATACTGTTTTCAAGGTAAGTTTATACTCCCAAACAAGCTCCTATACTAGCTGACGTGTCGAATAGACTGGAGGTGAAACCGGTATCCAAGCCGATGTTGGTCAGGCCGCCGCACGTCAATATATGTTCACTGGTCTCTCAGTCTTCCTCGGTTTCGTTACAGCATTCCAGCCGGCCGGTCTTCAACTCTATTTCCTTGTGTCTGGTGTCATGGGCGGTCTCACCGGTTGGCTCCTGCGCCAGAACGGCTTCAGAAGTATGATTGGCATAAGGAAACTGCCCAGCAAGGCGAGCACCGAGCTCTATACCAAGGTTGCCAAGGGCGAGTTGAAGCTGAAAGACATCAAGGGAGCAGACGGAAGGGTTCGTTACCAGCCGCCCACCCGCACAGCTGCCCCGAACAATCGTCGGCAACTGTCTGGTATCAACCTCAAACCAGGAGTTGCCCTCCCTGCGCATCTCCAGGTGGTGGCACCCAAGATTGACACTGAGTACCCTGACCGTGACGTGGACTATGATGAAGGTATCAAGGGCAAGCCAATCAATGAGAAGTTGGACTACTACCGCAGGAACTACCGCATCAGCTACGTATGGAGGAGAATGACCAAGGCCACTGAAGCTGGAATGCGGAAGGTTGGTTTTGGAAGCAAGAAGATGTCAACGGAGGAGGCGAAAAGGAAGCAGAAGGCTGAGGATTACGAATACGAGAGGAGGCGGAGGTTCCAAAACAGGGCCTAGACGCGTCGAAGAGACGTGCTAGAGGTTCTAAGGAACTTGTATAATATACGAAGGTGTTCAACCTTGTGTTAGTAGTAGCAGTACGTGCATCTCAAAACAGGGTTGGGACGAATAGGAGTTGGGCAGTACGCATAGTCAGATTTTGTACAAATATTGCATATGCAAATACTCCAGATCAGACTTGCCATGTCGGTATTCGCACTCTTAGATGTGTCGAGACCGTACTCGTTATGCGTATAAATCCTATGCCATGAATCGCACTTGTATGTACACATGCGTTCCAGGAACCTCAACCTTGCTTGCGGCTTCTACTCAAGAGACGTGTACATGTCCAATTCCTGGCCATTCCTCCGCCTTCGCTCCACAGGATCAGCGCGCATCTCTACACCAGGGCCCACACGTCGAGAGTCGGATCCGGAGCGGTGCGACGGGAAGATCTGCATCGCAAAATGTTAGCATTCTTCTGCCCAAGGAGATTTTCATTCCTGAGGCCCTTTTACATACCTTTGTGCCACTCCAGCCCAACCGATACGCAGCTTCGTTTGCGACCAGCTCTCCAAAGCCCAACATGAGTCCATTGACAAACGGCAGGAACAGGTTGATGGCTGCGCCACGGAGTAACCCCCAGATTGTCGGAGGCTTGTAGAGGATCAAAGGGGTAGAACTCGAGGACGCTGGAGAGGAGGAAGAGAGCTCGTTGTTTGCATCGTAGTTTTCGCTGTCCGAGGGGATGGTTATGCCGGATTCGGTGAGGTTGGCTGCGTCGGACGCCATTTCAGACAGCGTGTGGGTGTTGAATGCGGAAGATGCGTAGAGGTGGGACGTTGCTTTGGGTACGTGGTGCAGGACGGTGGATGTTGAACGAGCACTGGAAGGAGCCCCACGCGGAGGTGATGCGGAGACGGCGCGGGTCTGGCTTGAGCTAGAGGATGGTAACGTATGAGGTCAACTCTGCTCGATTGACTCGGATTGTCGTCTACGGGGCCAGATGCAGTCCGCTAGGGCGCGTGGGTGAAATCGCGCGACACTCCCGAGGTAGACGCTCGTCGGTGTTGATGAGGCTCACATTAATCCCAGTCTTGCCAAGCATTATCTAGGAACATGGATGCATGCCGGAAGCTGCTGCATTGTCTATGCAACGGGATCTGGCTGGTGAATCTTGGAATTCAAGTGCATCCTGGACTTGAATTGATCAATCGTTTTGTTCCCTGGTTAGACAGTGCATATTCAGAAAGAGGTTTGCGATACGTAGTGAAGGAGGGAAGCAAGAGCAAGCGACGTCACCAGCTACCGCCTCTACCTAACAAAGCTCGCCGCGCTGACAGTTTACATGGACCCCACCCCAACCAGTCAACGCGTGCGAGCTACACCAACCCCAACAACACTCTCATCTTCAACTGTAGCGTCATCCACCTGTAATGTCTGAAGCTGCACCCGACAACGACGCTCTGATCGCCCAGCTTGCTAGCCTTACTGGCCTCGATCCTGCAACAGTAGGTTGATAGAAGGTCATCGAAGCTATTGGACCTGCTCACTAACACGGACAATAGGCTGAACGCTACCTGAACGCTTCCAACGGAGATCTCACCCTCGCTGCATCGCTCTTCTTTGACGAGGCTCAGGAGCAACAAGAAGGAACTTCCGAACCAGACGTCGACATGGCCGGCGACGAGCCAAACACAGACCCTACCCAGAACCCTCCGCCCACCGGAGCTGGTGGTGGACGCACTCTCGGGGGCGCATATGTACCCTCGCCGGCGCCAGCGGCATCTTCATCATCAGCGCAGCCTGCTGCTGCTCGTGGACAGCCTACACAGAGAGGTGTGGCAGGTGCTCGCACGCTGAGGGACCTGCAGGCATCGGGCGGTGGCGGACACGGACACGCCCACGATGACGACGACGATGATGACCACGCCGACGACGAGAACCAGGACTTCTTTGCCGGTGGTGAGAAGTCTGGCCTGGCTGTCCAGAACCCCAACCAGTCGAATCCGCGCGACCAGATCAACAACATCTTGAAGCGGGCACGACAGTAAGTTGGTCAAGCGTTGTTCGCGCCACTCCAACTAACAGACGTAGGAACGCTCCCCGTCCAGGCGGTGACGACGAGCAACCAGCTAGCTCGTCTCATTTCCGTGGCGCAGGTACGACCCTCGGAGGCGACGATGCTCCTTCCCGGACCATCCCAGACCCCACGGCCAATATCCCCGCACCGCCCCCGCGCGCCCACCGCGAGCTTCACCTCTGGCGTGACGGCTTCTCAGTCGACGACGGCGACCTGTTCCGCTACGATGATCCCGCAAACGCACGCACACTGGAGATGATCAACACAGGTCACGCTCCACTACATATCCTAAATGTAGAACATGGCCAGGAGGTGGATGTCGAGGTGCACGCGCACAAGGACGAAGACTACAAGAAGCCAAAGAAGAAGTACGTTCCCTTCTCGGGTAGCGGAAACCGTCTGGGTAGCCCCACCCCGGGTGCAAGCTCAGCGGCTGCTCCCATGCCGGCTACTGCTTCAAGTAGCACGGCAGCCTCGACCCCAGGGGCTTCTGCGCAACCTACCGTCGACGTCGACTCATCTGCTCCTACCCTTGCCCTCCAGATTCGCCTCGGTGACGGTACACGGCTGTCGTCGCGCTTCAACACGACACACACTATTGGCGACGTCTACGACTTTGTCACCAGGGCTAGCCCCGCCAGTCAGGATCGCGAGTGGGCGCTCATGACCACGTTCCCCAGCAAGGAATTGACGGACAAGGCCCAGGTTCTAGGCGATATTTCAGAGTTCAAACGTGGTGGTGTAGTAGTGCAGAAGTGGAAGTGAAGACGTGCTTTACGTCGGTGCGCCCTCGAGTCCAGAATTGCCGTTCATCGCAGATGGTGCGGGGTGCGGATAATGGAAGATTCAGAGGGTGAAAGGTTACGCTGATCATGACAATATCATTGCACGCAGATGCAGAAGGCGTTATGGCAAAATGCATGATAGACTTGGGAACGATAGCTGGATAGCATTCATGACAATATCGATCCTGCAGGATGCACAAGTTGCACAACCTGCCAAATGTGTTACCCGTTGTTATCTGGCATGGTGCATTGCATTGCATGAACTCGACAAGTGTGCGCGTCGTCGCACTGCAGCCCGTCTGTTTGGCGGTCGCCTCACGATTGGCGGAACGTTTAGTATTGTGTTTGCAAATCCGTAATTTGTCTGGACAAAAGGGCCGAGAAGGAGTTTCCTCATTCTACGTTATCTGTTCATTGCTCAGGTTGACTGCCCATCGATGCAGGGTTTACTGTGGGACTGATGGTGCGCATGTCCGTTGGATCGGCTGAATAAGATGACGACCTCAGAATCGTTCCGTTTCGCTTGGGTAATAGACGCCCTTCTTATCTTTAATTATACCGCCAACGACGATGCAACAGCGACCGGAGCTAACAATATCGCGCCGAAGCCTATGATGGTTTGTGTGAGTCGCGTTATTTGTGTGCGCCCCCAAATATCTGCAAAGGTGCAAGGTCAAGTGAACAAGTCGCCATATCAGTCGTTGGGATTAGTTCCGTCCTTCCCTTCGGATAGATGAGTCGCGGGCATGGTGCGACGGCTCTGCCGCTCGGAGGATTTTGCGAAACGCGCAAGCACCGATGTGAAGGAAGACATGGCACCACTAGGACGCAACCACTACTCGTCGCTAGAGGATCAACAGGCGTGCAACGCGTCAGCACTCCCCTGGAGTACCTTGCAGCACGGAGCGGGAGGCGGTGCGGGAGTTGGGGGTAAGGTGTGCTGGTGTCAAAACCGATGGGGATACCCAGATCGACGAGGCTCTGGCCGCGTACTGCCGTTTGAGAGTGTTCGACGCTTCTTCTGCTCGTGCAATTTCGTACCCTGTCGAGTTGTCTTGTCCCGCGCTCTTGGTATCGTCATTTCCGTCTAATCATCGTCTGTTTTTTTCTCTTGATGCTTGCTCTCCTCGATCCAAATCGTACGCTCTTTTCAGTCTTGCGCTGGCCTCTACCCAATCGATCCACGTGCGGCAGGAACCACCGTCGAAGATAGACAGATTGATCATCGCTCTTGCCTTCTTCAATCAAGCCGGCCCCGCCTTCCTTTCCTTTGCATCTAAGCTAGCATTGCTCGGCGGCGCCTTCACCCAGATCATCACCGCCATCCTTAAGCACCACGGTCCTTACCACCTTTACCCTTTCAACACTCCTCTTCGCCATCCGTCGCCAGTCCTTCATTCGCGCTACACTCTAGCAACCTTCAAGCGATGCAGCTTTTACACTATCGGTAAAGATACGACTACCCCCAGTACACTAGGTACCATACCAGCATAAGGTTAGTGTGCACCACTAAACGATACGAATACGAACAACATCGACATCATGTTTGTCCGATCACCTCGCAGATTTGCGATACTCTCTTTTGTAGCATTGGTTTTCATCTTCGCCGTATTGCATCAGAGTCCATGGGCGCAAGACCAGGTTTACGAGCGCATGCCGCTCTTCAATTCGGGGAGGAGACCACAGGAACAGGAGCTCCTGAACGAAGGCCTGGCCGAGTCGCAACCACAACCCGAGGATGCATGGGGTCATGCCGTGCCTGTGCCTGGCGCGAAGCCTAGCACCACTGATGCGCAATTGGCAACTGGCGCAGCACAAGTCATTCCGCCGCCAATGGAGACTACGCGTGAGCCTGAGGTCGACGCGACAAAGCCCACAAAGTCCTACCCACCATGGGTGACGGCGCCATCGAGGACCGGCTCCTTCATCCCTCCCACCCCGAAACCGACCAACTGGAAGGAGTACATGACGAAGATGCTGGATTGGCCGCGACCCAGCTGGAACGGTCATTGGCCGCCTTTTAACGACTACGTCGACAAGAAGTACGACCCCAACCGATGGGAGCAATTCGACTTGTGAGTTCTCGTATCTTGCGCGCACGACATTGATGTTTCTAATCATGTGTAGGGATTACCGCATCTACGAGTCTAGCCATAACAAGCTCAACGACACGATTGCCTCTGATCCGATCGCATACAAACCGTTCCCCAAGTACAATACCCCGGACTGGAAAAAGAAATGGCACGGTGAACATGTGGCTTGTCTGGGTCCACGAGGCAGGATGCTCAATGAGAGCACCGACGATGAGGTTCAGGTTTATAAGGGCATCCCCGAAGATTTCCCTCCGGTGTACGCTGGTGGATATGATGTCATTGGATTGGACGATGATGTCTGCTTCGACCGATACTCGCGATACGGCCCGTACGGTTATGGCGACGATGAGTTTCCAGAGGAGGTCAAGGACTGGAAGGCACCAGAAACAGTCCCAGAATGGCCTCAAGTAAATTGGGGTGCGCTCCAGGACGATTGTCTCGAGCGCAACAAGGAGCGTTACCGACCAAAGGCTCGATCGCCAATCGTGAAGATTCCCAGCACCGTTCTCCCCGAACCCGCGGTGGCATCATCAGCGTTTGCAATTCCCACAGACACGAGCCGAAGCAACTTGGAGAACCGCGACGAGGGCGAGAAGAAGTACCACCACCGCACCGCCATCCTCATCCGTGCTTGGACCGGTTACAACTATGAGGAGAACGACATTACTGCTATTCGCGCGATGGTCTCTGAGCTCTCTCTTCAATCCGGCGGTGAATACCAAGTCTACCTTTACGTCCATGTAAAGGACAGAGATGCGCCCATTTTCGACAGCCAGTATGAGTATGACCGCATCCTAAAAGAGAACGTACCCGAGGAACTACGCGATATCGCTATTCTATGGTCAGAGTCCATCTTTCCGAAATGGTATCCCAAAGTTATGGACTGGCAGGTCTACTGGCAACAATTCATGTGTCTGCAATGGTTCAGTCTTACCCATCCCGAGTTTGATTATGTCTGGAACTGGGAAACAGACGCGAGGTACACTGGACATCATTACCATTTCTTCGAGAAGATTAGCGAGTTTGCGGACAAGCAACCTAGGAAGCTATTGTGGGAGCGCAACAAACGCTACTATCTTCCGAGTGTACATGGCGATTACCAGTCATTCGTCGAGCAGACCCACAAGGATGTCCTAAATGCATCCGCAAACTCGCTCATCCCACCTCCTGTTTGGGGACCGCGCCCATGGAAACTTGCCATACCACCACAGAAGCCACTGGGTCCTACACCACCAACGACCATGGAGGAAGACAACTTTGAATGGGGTGTTGCTGAGCCTGCAGACTTCATCACCCTTCTTCCGATGTGGGATCCAAGGAACACGACCTGGTCTTACAAGGACAAGATCTGGAACTACCTGCCACACATCCGACCAATCTTCACTCCGGAAGATGGTCAAGCTGATTGGTTCACGCATCCCGTCTTCGAGCAGATTGATCGCCGAACTTTCATCAACACTGTTGTACGGTTCAGTAAGAAGATGCTACAGGCTATGCACGAGGAGAACTTGGTTGGACGCAGCATGCAAGCCGAGATGTGGCCCTCCACAGTCGCACTCCAACATGGTCTCAAGGCGGTGTATGCACCTCACCCAATCTTCAACGACCGCCACTGGCCCGCTGCTTACACTGAAGCCATCTTCGATACCGCATCGACCGTAGACGAGGATACAGGCGAAGCATTGGAACCTCGCCAGGGCGCCTGGACCGAAGAAGCTGACTCGCCATACAACCATGACCGTGAGTTCAACTTCCAAGGCTGGAGTTGGTATTACGCATCGCGCTTCCCTCGCAACCTATACCGGAGATGGCTCAACTGGCCTATCGTGCAGCAAAATTGGGGAGAGTCAGAAAAGATCGATGGTGGACCAGGCTCTGACGGCGAGCTGGAACAGAAGAGAATGTGCATACCGGGTATGCTACTTCATCCTGTAAAGAGGATGGCCAAGTACAAGGAAAAGCCTTGAGCGAGACGACGAAACGCAACGCAAGGTCTCACACGACCAATGATCATCAAACTGCGTGTTGACACGAGTATATCTGAACACCGACATTTCTGCGGTGTATAGAAGGGGGGCGAGCGCTATTCTATTGCGACTTCTTTCATACCAAAAGCATGGCCGGAGCTCAACCTGCCTCACGTTTTGCTTTCTCTACTGATACCTCTTCCTGTTTTTCTTTCTGTTACCAGACTTCAAGAGTCTGCTGGGCTTCATCGTAGGGATCATTGGCATTTGCTGGACATTTACTTGGCGCTTTGGGAACTATATATGGCATCAGCGTTTTTTACACGCATCGTCACTTGGTTGACAGATTTTTGGCCCGATGGTCGATAGATATAGATGGCATTTTTTTGAATGTATAAGGATTACTGTTCATTTTGTGCCCATCACGGTTCCGTGATTTCATGATTGTTTGCGTATCTTATATGCGTTGGTGAATAAGACACGGCGGTTCATATTGGTAAATTAAATTCCTGATGAATGGCGAAGTCCTTAAGAGTGCCAAATATCGCAAGTTCGTTTGGCGACTTCAGTGATTCTCTTTGTAGGATGAGGAACTGGCATTCTTGTTCACATTGTCTCTACGACCTTTGGCTGGATTAAGTAACCAGCAACTCTCAATGCTCTCTTCGTGGGACGAAGCGTCTGTATACTATGGCCTTGAGGTAGTCGCAGCGAATATTAACGTTTCTATTACCAAGGAGTACATCAAACCAATCGTGATGTACCTGCACCGATCACGCGTTAGTGGCCATGTATGCCTCCAAAGGTGTCCTCGTTTTCGGATGAGGGGCACGCATAGTGTTGCGCACGAACCATCCTGAGGGGGACTCGTCATCTCCCAACATCGCGCATTCATCACATTATCAATCTTGGTATGTAACTCGCACATGGTTGGAGTGGGTGGACGTTCCAAGGCTTGCGATAATTGCAAAAGGCGACGCGTAAAATGCGGTAAGTCTGCCCCAGCTGCTCTGCAGCCCTAACGCGTGTGTTGACGTCATAAGACCTTTCGAAGCCGCAATGCGCAAGATGCATCAAGGCGCGATTACAGTGTGGTGGCCCCCGTGGCATTGCAATCATCCAATATGGTCGGGGCATAACTACTCAATCTGATGATTCTGATCCTGCGCGTTCCTCTGCGCTCGAGACCATCGCCACCGCGCCGGCGAACATACAGCAGCCTGTTCCTAAAATACACCCAGGACTTTCGCTCTCCCAGGATGAAACTTTCACTTCATTCACCCTTTTACACTTTCTGCCGACTTCGGGTGTCCTGGGCGTTGCCCCTGGGACCATAACAACAAAATCATTCCTTGCGTAAGTCATCTTCACCTACAAGCTGCACATGAGACATGTAATGACTTCATACACCTACATCTAGGCTTGCTACCACGTATTTTGGTATCAAACGCCAGGATAATGCCATTACCCAGTTTGGGCTCAAGCGGTACAGTGATGCACTTGGTGCCGTACATTCGGCTCTGGAAGAGTCTATATCTTCGCCTACCTTTGATTTGCTTGAAGCGATCATGGTCATGTCACTTATCGAGGTGCGTCCTATGTTTCTCAGCGTATACTGTTTCTCACAACTACTAGTTCCTTGTCTCAGACCGCGAAAACGGTTGGATAAATCATGCTCGAGGACTGGAAAGGCTGTTCGAAATGCGGGGATCAGAAGCCATGGCATCACTTCCGTGCCTTATGATCTTGGAAAGGACGCGCCCTTCACTTATCTTTGCTGGACTTGTCTTGCGCAAGCCGACGATAATGTCGAATATTGAGTGGAAACGTGATCCATGGTGCTTGCACCCAGAACGCGTTGACTCGCTCAAGCTTATGTTTGACATTCTCGCAGACTGCCCTTCACTTTTCGTTCTGCGCGATAAGTTATCGTCGTATCCTGATGAAGAGACAAGGATGACTGCAGTTCAAAGTCTCTCTGAAGAATTTCGGCGAGTGGTCGCCAGTCTGGATAGTTGGGGGGAGCGATTCGCATCTGATCCGTCTCATACTCCTGACGAGATTCCTGCGGTCCGAACAACACCAATAATAGAGGATGAGTACGGAACCTTGCGTTCTGCCTGGTCTACTGTTTTTCGATACCAATCCCTCTATCACGCCAACGCTATGGCTATGTACAATGCTACTACCATATTGGCTTTTCGATTTGCCGATAGCATTCATGTTAGTTCAGGGTCGCCTTTCGAACACCACATCCGAAGAAAGCGTATTTCAGCAGCAGCGCTTTCCATATGCCGTAGCATTGACTACCATCAACAAGAGATGTGGGGTGAGCAGGGCAGTTTCGCTTTGCTTTTCCCTCTGCGTATGGCGTACGACGGACTCAGCGAGGAGGAACCTATAGTAGGCGCATGGTTACAATCTGTCATGCACGACATATCGGCTGGGAAACAGGGGCTGTGGAGATCGGCAAAAAGTCTTCTTGAAATCGGGAGATGAAGTAGCGTCAAACGAAGAGGTAGTCACGCTGCTTTATGACCTTGCTAATCACAGACGCATATCGAGCAAGTTCTGTCTCATTTACTACGCTAACGCATGTAGTGACTCCACGACAATATACTCCATCTTCGCGACCGTCTTTTGGTCTTTTTCCATCCTTCTGTCTGGTTTACTATGCGCTTTGGTGTCTCTCCTATGTTGCTTTCTGGAGCGCTTTCTTTCTCTACGCCTTCTCTTCTCCTCCTTCTTTTCTCGTTTGCGCTCCGCCTTGTCTGCTTTCCTTCTTTCTCTACTGTTGAGCTCAGCGCGTGGTTTTGACATGGAATTTTCAGTGGAGCTGATGCTAGAAGCACTAGATACAGAGCTCATGCTCGAGTCGGAGCTGTAGCTGTCTTCTTCTTTCTTCCTGATACGACGTTCGATCTGCTTTGCAGCCAATCTATCGAGAGAGTTGCGTTGCTCCATTGGTGGGGATACATTGAACGACAATGGTGCTATGTGAGGCATGAGCACTTGTAATCGGCGGTGTCCTGCTGTTTGGGGCAAAGAGCTGCTACCAAGGGGTCTTGACGAAGTCAGGAGTGGACAAGAAACGCGACAATTTTGTACTCACGACAATGGAGGCATGTTTAGATCATAGTGAAGCCTCTCTGCCAATTGTCTTTCCTTGTAGATCGAAACTTTCAGCCCGCGAGGCGCAAAGTATTCTCGGTTTGCTGTCTCCAAAAATCGGCTGGTTCGCGTTCTTGTCGTTGCAGCTGTTCCGATTCCGGCTACCATGTTCATGCTGGTACCAGCGATCATTGCCCAATGGTGCGGTCTAGCAGTTCTGTAAGAGTATGTATAGGATTCGAAGGAGATCTCAACGTACACAATGCCTACCACATGGCCTGCTGTATCCAGCGCCTGGAGCGGAACTGGTGGGGCCTGGGCGACACTGAGATTATCGAGGAATGCGACAAAATCCTTTTCATGAATGTTGAAGGAACGAAGATCGGAACTGTACGCTCGTATGAATGGGAACGGAGTTCCTAGTAAACCGCTTACATCGAGCCTCGGTATCACGACGGGTTTCTGCACGAATCTGTAAGTTGCGTTCGCCATTGCTGTTGACATCATGGCTCACCTGGAGGATTTGAGTTCTTGGCTGAACTGTGCTTGATGCCCCAGGAATCCAATCTGTTGCTAGATGTAAAAACTCGTCGTCGGATTGGGATACAATGTTCGGTGGCGATGCGGCTTCGTATGCTGCGAGTGCTTGGTGTGGCCTCTCGAAAGAATGGCTTTGGTAGGAAGGAGGATCCCATGGCATCATGGTATCATTATGTTGAGACTGCATGGCGTAGTTACTACTGTCCATTCAAGAGTCTAGCATAGACTATAAGTATTCAGAGCCTCACGCTCAATACAAGATGAGCCGCAGCTTGGTGCATCGTCAGATGCTCGAAGCTTTGACTGTAGCCCAAAAGAGCCCATTCCTCGAGACTCAGCCTCTCAGGCACATAAGCAAGCGGGCATAATCAAGCACTATCAAGCTCAAAGCAGTGTAGATCATTATGCCAATGCGGCTGAATCCTCGAGGATACTAACCGCTTGTTACCTAGTGCAATTAGCGTCATCTGCTCGGATTGCCTATTCGGGCTCATTTCTCGAAACTCGCCGATCAGTCAGTGGTAGTAAACGCTCAACTTGGAATTCAGTCAACGAATGCGTGTTGAATGTACTGAAAAAGCTAGTTGCTTGAACTTTGGACGGTGAGCAGCTCGGAAAATGAAGCCACGTAACAGAAAGCGAGAATTGCAGGTGTGTCTAGTAGGCTCGTTTTTTGGTAAAAGTACTCCTTCAGCACAACCCTTGCCTATGGTGAACAGTACTACGACACGGCTGCCTGAGATAGAAAAGTAGGGTGCAGCAGCACACTCGATCGCGAGCGGATAACGCCTGCCACTTGGAGTATGCAGGCGCTGTAAAGATACATTGCTTTTATGGAAGTCGTTGTCTATCTACCTGACTGCGCCCTGATGATCGCATCGGCGAGCTTTCCGGCAATGGCATAGACGCTGGCACTTAGGTGCCCCGAGATTTGCGTTGGAAAGACACTGGCATCGACGACCCGGACGTTGTGCGTTCCATAGACTTTGCCTTCCATATCTACCACACCACCCAAGTTCTTGCTCAGCATTGCGCAAGTACTCACGGGATGCGAATTACCACCCAAAGACTTCTTGATCCAAGTATCCCATGCTGCATCCCTCCAGCTTGCATGCTCAGGTACTGCTTGGAAACCGGGCGAGATTTCACCTATAGTGTGCTCCGCGAGCGGTAAGGTTGCGAAATGTTTGCGTATACTGATCGCAGCAGCAGCTTGCACATACATGTCGATGGGCAACTGCAGAAAATTTGGATCGATACTTGGCGGCGAGTTTGCATCTGTCGACTGGATGTGTATTGAGCCTCGAGAAAGTGGTATCAGATTCCAGAGCTGTGCGATGATCTGGTGGTCTGTTGGGGCCCATAGGATCTCTGCTAACGGAACCGTGCTTGCTGGATCAAATACCAAATCTACTTGGTGCTCTAAGAGCTGTTTTTGGGTCTCGACGGATATGGTGTTGGGCGGGTAGTCTGCGACGATTGCTTCTGCATATGCACTCAGATTGGCCCGGATTTCATCCACGAGAGCTGGTAGTTCGTCTCCGAACAGGTCGGAAGCTGTTGGGTATGTAACGAAGGTAGGGTAACCCGTCCAGTTTGTGGACGAGTTATACGCAATCCCATTCTGTGGTTGATCTGGCAGATTCGATCCAACAGAGTGAAGTGGATTGACTGTCTTAATACCGAGCGGATCAAGTACGGCAGGATTACCAACGCCAGAGTGTTCAAGAAATGCTGGTGATCTAATCGAACCAGCTGCAACAACGACTTCCTTCGAAGCGCTGATGGTATGGGTGGCGTTTTTAGCATCAATCACCTCAACACCTGAAGCAACCACTTCAGACGTCGCTGACTGTTCTTCATCCCAGATGATGCGTGCAGCCGTGGTGTTGAAAAAGACCTGGAGATTAGGCCGTGATGCGATAGGAAAGTAGAAAGACCTTGCTCCATCTGCCCTTATTGGTCCGGTACTGTTCAGCGTCATAGGCCAGGTGTTGAAACCACGCATGTTACCGTCATTCGCATCCGTGTTGTAAGGATGACCGAGGGCTTCAGAAGTCTCTTTAAGTATGTCGACGAATCCTTGGCCAATGAGGTAAGGGGTGAAGCCCACGGCAAGCTCTCCATCTTTTCCATGTGCATCATCTTTGTAGATCGCGCCTTTCTTCTTTAATGCCTCACTTGGCTCTTCGAATCCCTCTTGCTTCAAGAAATACTCCAGCATACCATCCCAGTTCCAACCCTCGTTTCCCAGTTCTTCCCACGCATCAATCTGGTCCTTCTCGGCGCGCAGATATGTCATTCCATTGATCGTAGTGCTACCTCCCAACGCCTTCCCTGCCCAGTAGTTCAAGCTGTTGTTCCCCGCATACTTTTGAGGCGCAGTCATATACTTCCAGTCAATTGATGTGCCTATGAAAAGGCCATACTCTAAAATCGACTTTGGCACGTAGGAGACGTTTGGATTGTTGTATGCGGAATCTCCAGCTTCAATGACTGCAACAGTAACATCGGGGTCGGCGGATAGTCTGTTTGCCACAAGCAGGCCTGCTGGACCTCCCCCAACTATAACATAATCGTATGTCTCGGATGCGCAGTCAGCGCGAATGGCTAGGGCAGCGAGAATAGATAACCAAAACATGATGCGTCATAGGAATCGGAACATGAAACTCAACTCGGGTGCCCCTGGCGCGGCATCACGGTCTATATATCTGGGGTATGTGGAGACCCCGAGAAAGTAGGCCTCCCAAAACCTCCGTAGCGAGTTGTGTGCATGCAGTGGATCGCAAGATATGTCATTGGCTCGTTACGTCATTGCCAAGCTTAGGCTTGCCTAATTGTCGGGGTCAACAGCCCTATCAGGTACTCTTCTCGAGCCCACCCCTCTGAGGAAAAGCTGAATATCGATCATGATGCGTTCGGTACGATACCGTCACTGAGCAAGCTCTGGATGAAGAATGTACAAGTCGTCCTAACGCCGCCATCCGGACGGCGGTGCTTAGCTCCTATAGGCTCGTTGGAAGATGTGCTGGAAGATTTCCAATAGTCTTAACCAGGAACCACATGGTCTGGAAGCAGTCCAAGTACCCATAAGCTCGTCCATTTTCTCTACTCTTTTACCACCTGTTCACCATCTCAGGATACTCGGGAGAAAGCGATAGCTTGTACTGAGCTATCCTGCACAAGCCAGTAGGTGTAATATTCGATCGTATTGCGTGATGGGTATTCGGTTAAGTCCGCAGACTTAATAAACACTGGCATGTCGCTACTGTCAAGAAGAAAGCCTGCCATGAGCGCGAAGTAGCTGTGAGGTCAGTTTCACACAAAGGTCGTATCGCATGTCCGCCTCCCACCGGCTCTCCAGTATCGCCATTTGAACATGTCGATGACAGCTTGGACTGAGGCTCGACAGTGGTTGGGAATATGGTGACGTGATGTACGCCGTGAAGCGATGCAAGATGATTGAAGCCTCACACCTCGCTGCTCTTGAGAATGATCGTTTCATTGTCGGCATCATGCTTGGAGTCGCCGCGATTTAGCAATACTCGTTAGCTAGAATTCGATCAATTGCAAACGATAGGCGGTAACTGCACGTTGGAAAGGATACGTAAGAGATCTAGGGAATGCCTCGCGGGGTCGCCTTGGAGTTTGTACAGGGAATAGAGGGTCGTCCTCGACTGCAGGTTGTCATCAGAAGTCGAGCGGGTTATGTCGAAAATCTTTGACTGGTTGTCATAGTGAGAAAATTAAGCAAATAGTTTGAGCAGTCGCCAAACATGAATGAACAAACTGACGGACTGCGATGTACTCTTTCTTTAGTGTAAATACGGAGTATGGGCTTCTGTGATATCCGATGATGCGTTCAAAACATACACGAGTGAATTATGATTCATCTGCTGATGTTTGCTTCTGATGAATGAGTGCGCGGACAGTGGTGTTGAAGTAACCGTTGACTGCCAAGACACATGTGAAAATGCCTGGGGAACGGCAAGTTCCGTTGCGGTAACATGCTTCCCCCTCATCGTCGCCTTTGCACAACAGACGCACAGCTCCACGTACATCAACATTGTCGCAGACAATCACGAGCGACTCGGCGACACCGAATCATTCGGCGAAAGGGTCTGTGCAAGACTAATCAGCCGACCGACGCGCACCTGTGTTTGGCGTCGCGGCTCTGGAGTTACCGAGGCACATGGCTTCCCCACACGAATGACATGCCCCCAGCCGGCGCGAACGGCCGCAACGTCGCGCGTCCGAGTGTCAGATATATTCTCATCTCGAGTTTTAGGCGTAGCTCTCACTCGTACATTCACCTCTAGATACCCGTTTTCCCATAGACTACAGTCAAAATGCCTTTCAACACTGAGCTCACCAGAGCCCTCGGCATCAGAGGTAACTCCACTGGCGCAACATGGAGAGCGAGTAGCTGACACTTAGACAGTGCCCGTTGTTCAGGGTGGTATGCAATGGGTCGGATACGCTGAGCTTGCTTCCGCTGTCAGCAACGCTGGAGGACTGGGCATAGTACGTCTGGCACTCCATTACACATTCAAACACAGTCTCACGATAGCATAGCTTACCGCTCTCACCCAACCCACACCCGAAGACCTGCGCAAAGAGATCCGACGATGCAGAACGATGACCAACAAGCCTTTTGGCGTCAACCTGACCCTCCTCCCTGCCATGGTTCCCCCGGACTATGCCGCATACGCTCGCGTTATTATCGAGGAGAAGATCAATATTGTTGAGACGGCGGGAAACAGCCCTGGACCAGTCATCAAGCAGCTCAAGGCTGCTGGCACTATCATCCTGCACAAGTGCACCACCATCAGACACGCACAGTCTGCGGTCAAGCTTGGCGTTGACTTCCTGTCCATTGACGGCTTCGAATGCGCTGGACATGTTGGCGAGACAGACATTACCAACTTCATCCTGCTCAGCAGAGCCAGGCAGTCGCTGGGTGGTATTCCATTCATCGCGTCGGGAGGTTTCGCAGACGGTCAGGGTTTGGCCGCCGCGCTGGCTCTCGGTGCCTGTGGTATCAACATGGGTACGCGCTTCATGTGCACTGTCGAAGCACCCATCCACCACAACATCAAGCAGGCCATCGTCGACGCACAAGAAACCGACACCGCTCTTGTCCTTCGGCGTTGGAAGAACACATCGCGACTTTTCGCAAACAAGGTCGCGCTCCAGGCCGTGGACGTCGAGAAGACCAGCACAACCGGCAAGTTCGAGGAGGTCGCTGAATTTGTAAGCGGAAAGCGAGGACGTCAAGTATTCTTGAACGGAGACAAGGACTTTGGTGTAAGTGCTACAATTCTCCTCCAAAGTTCGGCTAACTGATAAACCTAGGTATGGACCGCTGGCCAAGTAATCGGCCTTATCCACGACATCCCCACCAACGAAGAGCTCCTCAACCGTATCGAACGAGAAGCTGTCGAGACAATGAAGCAGAACCAAACGCTCTTCATTGAGGATGGAGAGAAGCCTGTCGCTGAAGGCGCTTCAATAAACAAGAAGTCGAACAACCCTCAGGCTGAGGTATGGGGCATCGGCAAGAGCAAGCTATAGAAATGTTAGACTGTATAGAATATTTAATCGAAGGAAGCATCCTCCGCATGGAACACAATAATGTCCCCAGCAGTCTCAAAGTGCATATCTACGCATACCCAAGCCCTGCAGTAGCGCGGTTATCGAGCAATGGCATGGTGCACGGAAGAAAGCAGTTTCGCTAGATTGCTGACCTCACGCGTAGGTTTCGTGTTGAAACTAGAGACCCTGTCGCCACTATGGACACCAACATCCCCATCTTGAGTCACGATGACGTCGAATCCACCCCATGATCACCAGGTACCCTATCCTACGAAATTACTTCTCGACCAACTACCACGGTCAGTCGAATATCCAACGCTTCGACCCTGGATTAGACTCACGAACCCGTTCATCAAGGAGCTATATTGCACAACAAAACCCTTTTCACGAACCTCATTTAGAAGACCACCATCATGTCCTCCTTGACAGGCCAAGAATCTTCCAACACTCAACCTAGAAACCCAGTCAACTCTGGTGAAGACACTGCCGGAACTTTCAAAGGTGATTCAAGCGTTCCATTCAAGACGGGTGGGTCAACAGACCCTGCTGGCTTGAGCGTTCCAGCGGATAAGGTAAGCTTTCCACCCATTATGCCATCTCTTATCACGTATGTCCTGCATGAAGAACAATATTCTGTCAACAGGATACTTACAATCGTAGTCTGCACCAGGCCAGCAAAACGCCTCAGGCACTTCGGAGCAACGCCGCGGAGAAGACGTGACGCAGAACACTAAGCAAGAGTACGAGGGGAGCAGCAGTGTGGGACAAAAGACAGGAAGCGAAAGTTTGATCGATAGTATAGAGAAGAGCGTACACGAGGGTGGTGAGGCAGATCGAAGTGGAGTAGACGTTGGGCAAGTCAGTACTGGGCGATAGGTAGTCAGATACAGGCATCTGGTTGGCTTGCATGTTTCATTAGACTTAAGGTACAGGCTCTTTCCTAGACATTAGGTATGCCTTGTGCACCTACAATAGCCTCAAAGATTGGCCTGAAGAGGCTGCATCTATAATCGAGACCAGACTGTGGCAACACAGTAACACCACTTCCTCGTACATTCCCAACGTCGCCAAGGACACCCAAACTCCAATCCCCTTCTATCACAGTAGCATTCTGGTCTTGGTATAGTCCACCCATGACGAGATCATAGGCGCCGACCAGAACACTACCCTCAGCTCCAGAACCGATCGCATTCCATCCTGGCCCAGCGTACGGGTTCTTCGCGAATCTGGCCCAGGTGCTCTGCATGAACTGTGCGAGAGCGTATTCTTGCGTCGTTGTATTTGCGCGTTCGTACGTACGGAACACAAGAGGAATCTCGGAGGCGTGGTATGCGCCGAGCTGTGGGTACGCTTGCGTATTGACAAAAGAAGCGTTGTAGTAATAGCGCCAGGTAGGAATGCCAACGGAGGCTGTCGCGTTAGCCCATAGTGCTTGTGGACATTGGAATGTGATCTCAGTAGAGATCTGTGAGATCACATCATAGTCGTTGCTAAGGCCATTACTTCCAATTGGGTATGCAGCTTCAATCTCAGGAATGAGTGCTGGGGCGAGGATTCCAAAGGTCGCCTGGACGTAGGCGGTAAGATTGGTTTGTCCAACTTGGAAGACACGCCCTTCCTGTGCATTCGTGCCTCCCAATACTGGTATGTGTGCAATATCTCCACTCAGGCGACGTGCCGCTGGATTTGATACCAACGTGGTGTTATCAGCCACTGGATTAAACACGAGAGAGTTCTGGTTGATGATGTTGCGAACAGCCGTTGCATTCGCGGCCCGCACACAAGTCAAGTTGCTTTCATGTGTACCCGGGCACCCGAGTGTCGCTGTCAGATTATTCCAAGCAGGTATGCTTGAGGTTTGAGGAGCCACGCGATAACTATATTGCCCACTCTGGAGAATGGCAGCCCGGAACGGCGGCGAACTACCCTTCGGAAAGCTGGTCAGTAAAGCATCAATCGAGAAAGCACCCGCACTTTCTCCAAAAATGGTCACTTTGGAAGCATCGCCACCGAAAGCGTGGATGTTGCGCTGAACCCAGTCGAGAGCAAAACGTTGGTCCAGAAAGCCGAGATTGCGTGCCGCTAGTGGCAGTTCCGGTGAAGCAGGAAAGCCGAACACTGTATGTTGTTAGAAAGGGGAGAAGGCGTTTTCAAAGCTTTGGTAGCATCTTACCATTCGTTCTGTAGTTAGTTGTCACTACGATGACATCTTCATAGGCAGCGAAACTGCTTCCATCGTATGTGTCTTGACCAGCATTACCAAATTGGAGTGAGCCGCCATAAATCCAAAACATCACAGCTCGCCCAGCACCACCTGGCGGAGTCGCTGGGGCATAGACATTGAGGTATAGGCAATCCTCCGATTCCTCGGGTGGTGGGTTGTTGAAGACAGCTTGTGTAAACTGCGAGCTCGACAAAGGGTCTAACGACATTAGCGTATCTCAATAAGTTTAATCAATCTCCCATACATCGAAACTGTTGGATACATGCTGGCCTAAATTCTGTGGCGTTGACCGGTTCTTGGAAAGGTACGGCAGCTTGTGGTGGAGAGAACCTTTCTGGTGGTGATGCAAATGGGACACCAAGATATTGATGCACTGGCCCAAGTGCGTAGGGAAGTGAAGTAGATTTTCCGATTATCACTCCGGCATCAATAGTCGCTGTTGGTACCTCACTGTCAGGGGTATAGTCTGCCCAAGTTGCAGTTGGACTAAGAGAAACAAGCACGAGGCCAATGAGGCTGGACGCAGAAGACAAAAACATGCTGATGTTACGAAGTCCTTACTACTACCACAAATCAGCTTCCCATGCTCTTTATACTAATTCGATGGCTAGCAGGCGCGAACCCGAGGTCAAAATGGTAGTCACTTTCGTTGCAAGCCATGTCGAGCTTGGCGTGCATTACGCTGCAGCATCCATGAGGGTTTCGTCCAAACAAAGATGCTTTTTACTACGCGGGGCCGAGGCATACAACCCAGCTCTGCAGCTAGGAAACGTAAGGGCGTCATAGCCATCCCGTGTATGCATTCAGATTGAGGGTGGTACGCAGCTCGCGTCGTTGAGATTGGTGTTGCCATGCATTGCTTGCTAGAGACATAAAAACTTCCATTTGATTATAGCAGCAGGTAAGTTGGAAATATCTGGATGTGGAGAATGCACGAAGAGGCAAGTTTCGAAGAGAAAAGAGGTGTGAAGCTTTCCCACTAAGGGTGACGCGGGATTTTGCGGGGTGCGTCTCGCTTCGCTCCCCTGCCATCAGCAAGCCTCGCCAGAGTCCATTGGGCGGAACAACAAAGCGCCCTTCAATTGTCCCTCTCCATCAACATCGGCAACCACCCGAGAAACGTTGAGATACTCTCGATTCACGATCCATTGTGTTGAAACTGTCATAGCTACGAAACCCAGCATACTGCAGGCGAACCTGCGATTATTCAGACCAGCACCCGGCTCATTCGCGCTCCCGTCGTCATTCCCGGCGACTTCGAGATGTCAATTGAACCATCAGTTCACGAATTTAGTGTATATCTCCTGTATTTTGACACCCGAAACTAGCCGTCAAGTGAAAATAATAAAAGCACAGTACCGCACCATCTAAACTCCAATTTAGGCAGCTCAGTAGAAGGGGATTGAAGGCGCACTATCCTCGCCTGACTCCAACTCTACACAATCCAAAATAGCAAGCTTGGCCACCTAAACAAATCATCCTTTTTTGGAGCATAGAAGATCGTTACCTTTTAAATTGTTCTCTCTCTCAATGCTTTGCTGTGTTGGATGAGCATCCATGCAACGCCACTCCCATGTGGAGTTCCAAGGATAGCCTTTCCCTCTTCACTTTGTATATCGAATGTAATACCGGGCCAAAGTTCGTACATGCTACGACCATGCATCTTGATAATCTTATTGAGCACTAAGAGGGTCTCGGAGTTCTGAATCTGAATGCGGAAGATATAGTTAAGCGATATGGGCTGGACAAGTGGAGAGTGAAAAGAGGAGAGATATTGCAGGAAAGCTACGTCTGACCAGTGGCGCAGTAATGGTAAATCAATATATCCTTTGTCTCCAGCATCGTCAAAAGCTGCTGCATGGGAAGGTGAGAGATTGGTATCCGCAATGAGAACGCCAGCGCTCGGGTTGCTGACTTGAGAGAAGTATCCACGTATTGTCTGAGGCTTGTTAGCACATGTCCAACCTTACAATAAGCTGTGGCGTACCGTTTACTCATCTGTTTCTGCTGTATACACTCCATGTTGATGATGTGTCCTGACGTTCTCTCCTCCATCATATATCATCTTGTGGTTGACGTTCAGGTCGCGGAGCGCTCTGGCGGTACATTCGATTTCGAAGCTAGTCTGGTTGGTCTCCAGGTAATAGCCATGCTGGGCTAGTTCTTTCGTGTGCTTGAATGCGCTTTCAATGGACGTTTTGGTCTTCTTGGTCAACATTTGCAACAGCTTAGTGCCCTTCTCGACGGCTGCCTCATAGTCTTGGTCCTTTGCCATTCTAGAGCAGAAACAGAGAGTGTGTGGCTTAGAAATTAACGGAGAGAGGATTATTTGGAAAAGTGAAAGAGGGAGGCTTTTTGTGAAGGTACTTTCTCGTATGAGAGCGAGAGCTGCAAGGGTAGGCTTCACTATGGATCGAGTGTCAACACAATGCTGTTCGCGCGGTCAGGCCTTGCTTCACCACTCGTACCATTGACAGCTGTATCTACTGCTACGTCAGGATCTCAACCCTACGCTTCGTTTACCCATAATACTGCGAGCTATGATCGAGACAACAAACATTACCTCTCGGTGCCACTTCCAACGCAGCAAAAGCAGCAATCGTCTTGTAGAAGCCTGCGAAGCTCTTGAGCATAGTAAATATGAAAGGAAGGATAAAGCAGAGGCTTCGTTGGAGGCTCTTTTTGGGGAGGCTGGGATCAGGAGGAAGTGTGATGCGAACAGCGATGAGGTCGGGGAAACAATGCAACGACATGGCGGACGGCAGGTTCTATATCGTGATATTCTGGTAAACGGAGAGTGTAACTGGTTCACATGGGCGGATAGTATTGGAAGCAGTCTGGATGATTATTCGCGGCGTTTCAAGATCGTGTACTGCTGCTCAATGCTCAGCGTATTACTGATGGTATTGATATTCTGGTGTCATGGTGATCGAACGATATGGAGCCCACCATATTTCAGCCGGAACGCCTTTGCTACATGATATCAGGCCAATCGGGCCTAGGTACTCCAGCTTCTTTTAAGCGAATTGAAGATTTTTCCAGTTCCTGCGCGAAGTTTCAGGATCATGCCGAACACCTAGCGGTCTCGTATCCAGTCCTTCAGACTGGCAATACTTGATCGTCTCCTTCTTCTTAATCCGCTGCCCTCCATGCCGATATCCATGCTCCTCCTTCCGCCATCTATACTCCTGCGTCCTTTGCTCTCTGTATCCAGCACAACCACGAGAACGGTACAGTTGTCTGCACCCTTCATGTTGCCCTCCCTCGAAGTCAGCTCGTCGGCAATCTGCTTGGCCTCCTTCCCAGACTGCCATCCGTCGACTGCTAGCCGTGTGCATTCCTCTGCCTCTTTCGCTGAACCAACGCCGTCTGAAGCGAGCAGTATAAGAGACTGACCATGGAGAGTGCGAACGGTGAAATGCGCTTTGTTTGATACCAGATCGTGTATTGCAGTCCTTCCTGGAGCAAGACCTGTTTCTACGCCAGCCAGATCTGAAAGGTCGTGACCTGCTAGACGGTTGACGCGAGGCTTCTTGTAATCCAAATCTCCTAGAGCGCGCGACATGCTCACGCCGCCGATGCGTGCAATACCGGATCGGTAGTTGATCTCGCCACCTGCGTCTTCTACCCTTCTCTTCTCCAATGGGCTGTCTGGCGCATGCTCCACGCTTAGAGCCTCCACGTTCCACCCCAAAGAACTTGTGCCGGAGTCAACCCGTGAGGGGGATTGCGGCGATAAGGATTGTGGAGATTGTGGTTCGTGATCTGCGAAGAAGACATGGCTGTCGCCTAGATTGGCTTGTATGAGCAAGTTTTGCTTCGTGTCGACGAGAACAAGAGAGACGGTTGAGCCTCCGTCGAGGTTGTCACGGTCGAGTTCGTGATCTACGGCTTTGAGGGCTAGCTGAATGGCATGTTTGTACTCGGCCGTATTTGATGCCTTGGGGTTGCTAAGATGGTGTTCGAGATGTGTATGGAGATGCTCCGCAACGTGGTTAACAGTCGCCGTACCCCCACTGTGATCCCAAAGTTAGTCTGAAGTCATTACCTCATGATACACGGTAGCACTTACTGGCCATCATACACAGCAAAGAGAGCGAGATCTTTCCGTGACTTGATCGAACCTGGTGTGAGGGTAATGTAACGATCTTCTTGGTCTTGTCGCGCCCCCAGAATCTGTGGGGAAGATGTTAGCGGAGAGTCTCGGTCGCTGCTCGGGACAAGCGGCATCTAGAAGGCGGGAGTATGCAAGGGACACACTACGCACCCTGCTGACACCGACGTCGATAATGTTAACGCTCATTGTTAGTTATTTTTCTTGAATGAATGGGTTTCCGCGTGGGATGTGGTAATGATAGTTGAGCGCCCCGTGTTTGTTTTTACATCAATTGTACCTCGTCATAGGCCAAGCAATGCCCAGCAACACCTAAGGTGGCCATAAGCGGCGGCACACGCGACCATCACAGCCACTACGTCATCTGCCCTCTCGACGTGCATAAACTGAAACCAATCAAGGGACTGCCCGCGCCACAATTTATTGGTTTATGCACTCAGCCTCAATTGCCTAGATCATTGTGATGCGCAAACGTGCAACTGTTGAGCAGTCTAGAGCGTGGGGAGCGTGGAGAAAAGAAGGGTCATAGTGGGGCACGTGACGTCGTGTCCTGCATGTAGAACGCGTTCGGCCCAGAAGTTTTATATGAACAAGCAATTGTGTACCTGTAGATTGGTTTGCTGTTGCGTCTTCACGAAACCTCCGTTTTCAACGAAGCTACGCTTGACAGCCCCGAATCTGTGCGCGATATTCGAGCAGGCGGGGAAGTCCGCCCTCGTGATGCGTTGTTTTTGACATTTGGTACGTCGATCTATCAATGCTTGGCAGTCGAGCGGGCTTCCTCGTGAAGCCTGATAGATGCTTGAAAAGGCTGAGATGTGTTGATAGAAAATGCCTCATGAACTTGCACTGCCTCAAAAGCTAAGAGCTAGCAAATACGGGCAGCTAGTTCGGCCCTTTCGTGACACCCACGAAATCCTCATATTTTCGTCCGAGTCCATTCTGATGTCTTCCGCTGAACATTAGTGTAAGCAGGAGCGAAGGAACGAAAAACGCTCGGCGACGTGCAGACGCGCTATCATGGTTCTCCTCAGCCCTCCCGGATGACACCGCTGTCCATCCACTCCGCTCTCAGCTTGGCCCAGATGCCGTCTCCTCTGAAACCCCAAGCCCACCTCTCATTCCTCAGGCCCACCAGCTTGTCTTCTAAGATACACTTGTCCTCCCTTTGGTCCTCTGTCCATTCGATCTTGGATAACAGCTGTATACAGGAGATCTCTTCGCTCATACAAGCGGTGACAGCGCTGAGACGCTCTTCGGGATCCATATCATACCCGTACATTAGTTCTCGTCCTGTCTCTATGGCTCGTCGGTTGGTCTTCAGATGATCCAACAATCCCTCAGGCACCGGAGGCGATTTCACGCCTTCGATTTTGATACGGCAATGCGGACACGTGCGATATGGGTATTTCGCCTCTTCAATCTTTGGTGTTCTCATCCACTGCTCGAGACAAGCTTTGCCAACAATGTGGCCACAGTGCTTGATTCGTACAGGATAGTCGGCTAACAGCTCTTCGATTGGGCGATCTGCAAGAGAAGTGTATGAGGTTTGGCAGATTGGACAGCAGCCAGCGTTATCGTCGATAATGGAAGCGTTGTCAGCCGTTTGGGTAAGTAGAGAAAGTGGAATGGCGCATGCAAAATGGTCGACTTCCATGAACTGAGTCCTCTCAAAGATACCCTCGCGCGTTTTGAACAATTCAGCATCCATGTCAGATGCATGCTGAAGACGCTCGGTCAGTTTTGCGCCTGCTCTAATGACATCTCCTTGACGTTCAACATAGTTGAGGTGGAACACGACCATGAATGCTGCACGCAATCGCTCCAATGGTGACGCAAGATCACGGTCTGTAAGTGCCATGTAGAGGCGTTCCAGATCAGACCACTCCTCTTGCCGGCCTTTCAACTGCTTTTCTATAGCGCGTCTGAACATCCCTAGCTCGTGCTGACGGCTCATGAACCTGTTCTGATATTCCAGCATACCCAATAGCCATATTCGTGCAGCTTTTGCTTCTTTATCAGTCTCCACATCACTCATGCCTGCGAGACGAGAGGTATGAAGCGGACTCGGAAAATGTTGTTGTTCAAGCTTGCGAAGTTCTACAGGCCCTTGAGGAAATGCGCTCTCTGAGCTCTTTTGACTCTGCCCGAACTTGCGCAAGTCTCGCAGGCTACGAATCCGTGAACAAACGTCTCGATATACTGCGATCGTTAGCGAAACGCTGAGAAGTTGGAAACTTCGGGTGCACTAGGTAATGCGTCTTTTGGGACAAGGGCATATCGAGTTGTGCCCTTATGCTCGAAATGGTGCTTTCAAGGCATGCACTTGTAAGATTGTGCAACTGTAGTATCGGGAAGTACAGCGAATAACCCCAGGGCGCTTTCGACAGCGCGGTTCCAGAGGAGACAACTTGGAGAAAACGAGCTCCTTCTTATAACGTACCTGCTACACTTGCCGGCGCATGGCTTATCAGTGGCACCGAATCATCTGCTTCAGACGCCATGATTGCGTACTCGCAAGGTTGGTTTGCGACGTAACACTATCAGTGGTTTCGAGAGTGGAATGGAGTTGAAAAGTTCAGAATTGAAGGTTGACCAGTGTCACGGCATTTGCTACACTGCAAGTATAGAAGCGACCTCGGGAGTGAGTGGGGCAGCCCGTTTGCACCCCGCACGTGATTGGTGCCTGTTGCGATTCAGAATATTTAATTGCCGTCTGAATCAAGCATATAGGTGACTAGCTAGTAGAAAGGCTTAGTGAGCCCATCTAAGAGGAAACAATATGCTGACTTAATTCACAGCCAGTGCTGAGCCACCTGTCTCTGATTAATACAACAATTGCAACGCCAATCCTGCCTGGAACCAAAACGTAGACTTCTCAATGCAAGCCCTCCAGAGCATAAGCGACTCAAGACGACCTATCTTTTCTTCATAGTTGCGTGCGCTGTCGATTCACTTGGGAAGATATTGGGGCTTAGGAAACAGCTCGGTTCGACAGTATAGACACGTAGAGCTAATCTCCTGAGCTGCGTGAATCCGGCATTAAAGATATCCACAACAGTAGGTGAAAGACATGAAACAGTCAGTAAATCGTCCAAACTGAGCTCACTGCCAAAGATCATCGACTCCATCTTGTATAGGCCCTCTATCTTCGTTGAAAACTCGGTGACGGGCATCTTCGGGCCGACCCATTGCAGCTCCAAGAACTCCGAAGATGGTTCTTGAATTCCATGATGTTACTTATGAATGCCTGTCTTGATGGCGTGAAGCTCCTGGTCAAGGTCAAAATCCAGCAGAACACCAATTGCCCGCGGGTGATACGAAAGTCGCCCATGTGATCCTCAAACGACGTGCTATATAGGTGGTCTTTGTAGAAGGCTAGTGGTTGAATGGATTCGTAGATGTTGCATAGCTTAAGACGATCCTCCGTAAGGTTTATAGCTCCAAAATCAGGCCAAATCGTATGTGTGTAAGTGTGGAAAACCAGTAGGTTTTTGTAAAGAGATTGTAAAAGTCTATTACAGCTTTAGACCAGTTTGATAGAAGAAGCACCACAATAGTATCCAACATAATCGGGGCTTGTGGTGTGTGTGTGTGTGTGCTGTCAATCGGTGATGCGGTCAAGTCCTAGTATTCGAATTTCGCGGATCAGGCTGTCAATGATCTTGAACGATATATTCATGTCTCGATACAGGAAGTCTCCACTCCAGTCGAAATGCTCTGAGAGACCGCTGCTGATGTTCATAGGCTGAATCCTAGTGTTCGCGATGACACGGTGTCGGGTCTGGAGGCAGAACGTTTTAGTAGGACACCAAGTGTGGCGGTTAGGTTCTTCTACACTCCCTTTGGGCGGTCAGATTTCACGCTCAGAGTTGTTGAAAGATGGTTGATACAGATACAGAGGGCTTGATCCTGTAGTGACCTATATCATATGAGTCGGATCGTGTCTGCCCCATGGGGTAGAGGGACAGTGGTCTTGTGCGCGTCTACGATCCAATTCGTCTTTGGAGAAGGAGGGAGTAAAAGTCTATCCAGATAAGGCACGATTATTGCTGCCTTCCTAACACCAATTGCCAACTGAGATGCTGTTGCGATTCACTAGGTGTATAAGTACGGCAGGTGGTACATGAGGAAATGAAGGTGGTGTTGGGCAGCGGAAAGACCTAGTGGGCGGGAGGGTCTTGGCGGGGCGGGAAGAGCCGCAATTACTCTGGCATCACCGAGACGCGACAAGGACATAGCACGTATACCCCTCGATCGCCCTTTCCTTGCGCACCATGACCCGATAGCTGATTACTCCTCTTGTACCCTTTACAGCACCCACAATCCCTCATAATGGCGTCGGCGGTCTTCTTTCTCGACCTGAAGGGCAAGGTATGGCGGTCAAGTCGCCGCAAAGGCTACATACTGACTATTGCTTAGACCCTTCTGGCGCGCAACTACCGGGGAGACATCCCCATGTCAGCCGTTGAGAAATTCCCCATTCTGCTGAGCGAGGCCGAAGACGAGAGCTCGGCAGTCCCACCATGCTTCTCCAGCGAAGGCATCAACTACCTCTACATCCGCCACAACAACCTCTACCTACTCGCCCTTACCAAACGAAACACCAATGCTGCCGAGATTCTCCTGTTCCTCCACAAGATCGTCGAGGTCTTTACCGAGTACTTCAAGGAGCTCGAGGAAGAGAGTATAAGAGACAACTTTGTCGTCATCTACGAGTTGCTCGATGAGATGATGGACTTTGGCTACCCACAAACCACAGAGACTAAGATTCTACAAGAGTATGCTCTATTTCTCAACATTTATGCGAATTTAAACTAACACCATGTGTGCGCAGATACATTACACAAGAGTCGCACAAGCTCGAGATCGCACGGCCACCTATCGCAGTCACAAATGCCGTCAGCTGGCGAAGCGAAGGTATTCGATACCGCAAGAACGAAGTCTTCCTCGACGTCATCGAATCACTCAACCTTCTCGTCTCCGCGACCGGCAGCGTGCTACGATCCGAGATTCTGGGTGCTGTCAAGATGAAGTGCTACCTATCTGGTATGCCTGAGCTGCGACTAGGTCTGAACGACAAAGCCATGTTCGAGACCACCGGTAGGGCTACACGAGGAAAGGCTGTTGAAATGGAGGATGTCAAGTTCCACCAATGTGTGCGATTATCGAGATTCGAGAACGACCGGACAATCAGCTTCATCCCGCCAGATGGCGAGTTCGAGCTTATGAGCTACCGACTGAACACACAAGTCAAGCCCCTCATCTGGGTAGAGTGTATAGTGGAGAGTCATTCAGGCAGCAGGATCGAGTACATGTTGAAGGTAGGCGAACAGCTGAAATTCTGCATTTAGTAGGCTGACATGTTGTAGGCACGAGCACAGTTTAAGCGACGAAGCACCGCGAACAACGTGCAGATCTCGATACCCGTCCCCGAGGACGCAGACACACCTCGCTTCCGAACAAACATCGGTACCGTCCACTATGCGCCTGAGACCTCATCCATAGTATGGAAGATCAAACAGTTTGGTGGCGGCAAGGAATTCCTCATGCGCGCCGAGCTTGGTCTGCCATCAGTACGTGGTGACGATGAGAAGGGTGGTGGTATGATGGGAGGCTTCGGAGGCAGCATGGGCGGTGTTGGCGGCGGAAAGGCGAAGAGGCCCATCAACGTCAAGTTCGAGATTCCGTACTTTACCACGTCAGGTATCCAAGTGCGGTATCTTAAGATCATCGAGCCTAAGGTGAGTGTAAGCCATTTTGCAACCAAAAGCACGATCACTGACATGCATTCAGCTGCAATACCCATCGCTGCCGTGGGTACGATACATTACACAATCGGGCGACATCGCTGTGCGATTACCCGACGTGAACTAAGTGGACATGCAAAGCCCAGTCCGAAGAATATACCAATACGATCATGGAACACATATTCTCCGTGCCCTGACTTGTAAAATGTGTGCTCTTGAGAGACGTGTGAACCATAAAAACGGATCAGGACTACTGAGATGTGAAGTGGCAGGTTACTGGAAATGTCCGTAAGGCCAAGTATGCGAAAGCCTTGCGCTCATACGGCACGCGAGCAACACTCGTTACATGCAACAAAGTCTACTTTGCTCAGGTAGAAATTAGCCGTGCGTGTGCAGTTCAGTACGTTGTCGCGCTCATGTTCATCGAATACTGACATGTCTTCCAATATCTACTTTGTATCAGCGCAGTAGATTGTACTGAAATGAAGGAATTGGGTGGATCGTTAGGTGATGCCCGGCATGTAACATGCAAGTTTGCACTTGGCGGATCCTGAGTCAGCGCGACTACGACGTACTCACTTCTAGAATCAACAGGACGCGTATACCATCGCACACGACTTGTACTTATGTGTAATCGAGTAGTGATGGTGTTGTCAGAGTAAGCATCGCATCGGTGCTCGCGTCTCCGTTTATGCCGACGATCGACGGCCGAGCTTCCAACAACATACGTCTGAGTATGGTCCTCACTCAACCTCAATTTCCAATCGTACACTACATTATCAGATACGCAACTCATAAAAACCAGTAACACCAACAATCTGTAAGACAGTTGCCTTACACAGCTCTCCTGATGCTGCGAAGCAGGCATTGCCAACAACCGATATATGCACGCCCGGTGATACCACAGCACCTTTCTCCGCGTTTTCTCCCCACCTCATTCTCCGAAAAAGCACGTCGCACGCATGTCTCACGCCGCCCTTTCTGTTTATAGCCACAGGATCATCCTCCAATATCCCAATTATCCAATCGAATGTTTCTCAATCCAGCATCAGCCAATCTAGTCATTTCTTCAAGCTTTGTTCGCCTGTTTGCGTACTCCACAAGGCTGAGGGTTTGACCCTGCATCACCACCATGCCAATGACGCTTGCGTACCTGCAAGACTGCCGAGACCACACACGCATACGCTTTTCAGACGCGTAAGCCCTGTAAGCGTTGTTGCTTGTCATCTCTGATGATCATACGCTTCTTTGCAGCTCGTCTTAGTCTGGCGATCCTGTGTAGGCGTGTGGAGTTGGTGGACTATCCTCAGCTGAGCCTCGCGGGCCCCCTCCGGACGCTTTCTCTATGACGGAGGGGGATGGTAAGCTACGATAGCGTCCAATGAGCTCATGGGCCGCGTATGTCGGGCCTTGGGGTATTTGAACGTTGGTGTGTCGCGTGTGGAAACGTTTTCCAGAGCTAGAAAGACAGGTGCGACTTTGATGTGACAAGGCTTAGTATCGTTGCACAAAAGCGAGTCACTACATATTCTGGATTACCACCGCGTTCTCACAACATAACAAAAACATTACCTTGGACACGAAAAGCAAACCCTCGGGTACCGATTCCAACAAAATGAAGTTCACCTTGACCGCCATCACAGCGCTTGTCGCGCCTATTGTTGCGCAGAGCACAACACCTGCCCCTACGTCGACCGACCCTTGGTACGGCTCCGGTCCACCATGGGCTTCTTCTGATCCGGCAAAATGGTCTTCAATCTACCAATCGCTTCTCTCCGAAGGCAAGATCCCATCGACCCTCACTGCGGCGCCTTGGCCGACCGGCAGTTATGGTCCTGGCCAAGGGCCCTGGGGACCAGGAGGACCGCACGGCCCAGGTGGTCCTGGAGGACCCGGACACTGGGGAGGTAATACTCTCGTCAATCTAAACCTAAGATCAATTGCTAATCCAATGTCCAGGTCCCGACGGCCCCGGCCCGTGGGGCTCATCAAACTGGGGTCCATACAGCGACTGGTCCACTCGTTCAGACTGGCGCAACGGCCCTTGGACGGCATGGTGGGGAGGCAGCGCATGCCCCCCATCAGACTGGCCCGGTTGGACAGCTGGACCCTGGAGTAGTTCTGCGCCATGGACGAGCTGGAGCGGATGTTCAGCTTCAACGACGGCAACGAGTGTTGTTACCACAACGATTAATGGAACAGCGGCTACCACGACTGCGTACGGACTGCAAGTTGCTGCTGCGAGTGCGAGTACCACTGGCGATGCGAGTACAGGAGCTGGTGAAAAGGCTACGGTGAAGATTGGTGCTGTCGTTGGTGTCGTGCTTATGGGAGTTGTCGTTGCTTTGTAAGGAGAGAATGCGCGAATACGATGAGACGGCTGTGTTGGCTATCGTCGATGAACTTGTCACTCGTGGTTCAAGCATGCATTGGTATGGCGTTGGAACACATGAGACGAAGTACGCTCTTTGATGTTGTATACCCTCTTTACTCACATAATGATATTCTGTATGGTAAAAGTAAAATCTGACTCGCTCACCATTCGAAATGAATTACAGGTCGGTTGAGATTTTTTCTGTAGGCATGTTTCTCATGTTACTCGTATGCAACGAGGACTAGCTACATCTAACTCTCAAACCTTCATAAGGCTTTGTTGTCTACAAAATTCTACTCATCTTAGCCTTCCATCCTGTCTTCTCAGTTCTGTTCTCTTCTCCACTGCCTACACTAACGCCCTCATCCACAACACCCGCTTCATCGTAGATCTCATCCGGATACACCGCCCTCTCGATGAACGTTTCTTTCGGCGGCGCAACTACCATCTCCAAAAGTGCATACACTAGGGCCGTCGCAGTGAAGCCTAGCAACCAACCGAAACTATACGGCCTTGCGCCCACGCCAGCGTCAATGTTGGGGTTAATGGACTGAATAAAACCCGGCATGTTCGGCGCGACGCCGATGAGAAAAGCAACGATGGCGCGCCAATTGCAGCCGCTGGTGTACCGGTAGATACCATGGTACTGATACAACGCCAGAGTGTCGTACTTGCCACGATGTACGACCCAAAAGTCCACTACCATAATCGCAGCAATCGGTCCCAGGAAAATCGCATACGCAGCCATGAAGTTCAAGAAGCTACCAGCAGACGCGAGGATCTTCCAAGGAACAAGTGCCCAGCAGAGTACGGCGCAAAGTAACTGGCCACGACGGATGTTGATGTAGCGGGGGAAAAGAGCTGTCAGGTCGTTGGCTGCCGAAAGGGAGTTTGCGGAGATGTTGACACCGAGAGCGGCGAGGGCGAAGGAAAAAGCGGCGAAGAAGCGACATGCACGGTTGTCCCAGTGCGAAATAAGGGCCATGGGATCCCACTCCACAGTGCCATATTTGACAGCGCCGGCTGAGGTGGCGGCGACTCCGATGAAGGCGATGAAGGTGAAGACTATGGGCAAAAAGGGGACGTAGATGCATTGCCATTTTACGGAAACGCGTGAGTAGCGGGAGAAGTCAGACTGTATTCTTATGTCAGTATTTCAAGACCGTGTAGACTCCACTCGGTAGTAATCAGAAGACCATGACAGAACTTACCTGGTTGACAGACAACGTAGCATAGTTTCCAATAACACTCGTGAGCGATGACAAGAAGCCCCAGGAATACGCGCTTCCCGTCAATGTAGCCTTCTGATCCCACATGTCACCGCCGCCCTCTGTGCTCACGAAAGCCCAGATCAGAATGGCAATCCACGCAATCGGCACAATAATGCTTTTAGCCATGAACAGCCATCTCAGCTCGTTTGGATGCATGACCAAAAATGGTACGCTTCCCAACCAGAAGATGAAGAAACTGATCATAGTCGCCGTGTCGATGCCTTGGCTCGCAGGAATGCCATTGTGCAGTGTGAGGAAAGACGGCCAGATGGCGCCAATCATGACACGAACAGAGTTTGCACCGTTCATGTTTTGGATTGCGAACCAGAAGATTGCGAGGATGGCGCGGGAGATAATGGCGATGTAAGAGCCCCAGAAGCCCCAGGAGGCGCGGGCAATGACGGGAAAAGGGACATGGTGGAGAACACCGATTGCACCGTTAAGAGCAATGACGAAGGAGATGATGAAGAAGGCGAGGGCGACTATGCCGAGGGATTCGCGCCATGTAAGACCTTATTAGTGTTAATAGACGTTTGATTGGTAGCTCAAGACTGCAGAGTAGGGGGAAATACCAATTGCAATGATACTGGATGCAAATTGCCATGTCGCAGCACTGGGGGTTGTATTAGCATCTGATGTGTTGTCGGGTTCAATATTCTTGAGGATACGTACTTGAAGGCATCCGAGACCCAATACGAGATGAAGCTTGTAACACCCCACTTCCTAGCATGCCTCGGGACAGGGTCAAGATCTTTGTTTGTCCTGTGTAGCATCAATTAGTACATATGTTCATAATTGCGCATCTCCGTACCGAACTCGAACTTACCATCGCGCATTGCCTATCGCAAATGTACTCTCAGGTTGCTCAACCCGAAGCGTCCAATGCGGCTTCTCAATGAACGGCATCTTGGAGCCTGCCGTGTGCCGACAATCAAGGGTGGGGAGGATGTAGAGATGAAGTCCTCTCGCGCGACGGACACGAGCGCCTCTTTATCCTCTAGCATGATGCACAGTCTTGGTGCAGATCTCCGAACTGCGGCCATTCTGGATTGACGTTACGTCGATATCTCTGGCAAGAACACGATAAGATAAGCGCCACAATCCTGACCATTGTGTTCAACCCATGGCATAGAGACAAGCCGGGGAGGGGTTCAGCTGAGCTAGGCGAACGCCTTGAACACTTCCTCGCAGCCCTTTGCTCAGCGTAGGACCACTCACACCAGAAGCTGTCATGATTAGCGGCTGAATTCCACGGTCTCGGTCCTTGGGGAAATGGGACGGTCGCTAGATCGTGCAGGCTGTCATTCGACGCTCGTGCAGGTGCAGATAAGCACCCCAGTCGGTTGAGGTTTAGCTTCGGTGGCGCTTCGGCTCAGATTACCCCAGAGGGACGATCCCCACGCGACAAGATAGGAACGATATGTTCTCCACAAGTATAACGCAGATGGTATGAAAGACGGGAGCTTTGCGGATTACTGCACCTGATTGAGATACCGCTGTTCGGGATAGTCAGTGGTACGCGGCAAGGAAGCAAGCCATGTGTCGGCACTTGGGATGCATGCCGCACAAATTGGTCTAGATGCATGGTCAGTCGCGTGTCTGCATGCACACGAGAACTATTGTTGAGCTGATCGCGTATTAGGGGAATGCGCGAGCTCTAAGGTGAGTTTGTATCACATTGCACATGCTTCGTGGCGATACGTTTCTCGAGACTGGCATATATTCAATGTCGCTGTACGCACCCTAGCTATACATAGGCCAAAGTATGATCGTCTCGAATGGTGGCATTCACACCTAGGTGAACCTCGCCACCTACAACTGATGAGCCATTGACAACAAGCTCTCCAGCAGTCTGATCGTCTGTTGTCTTGTGCTGTGGCGTGTCTTTCAACTTGATCTCCACGCAGCTGAGAGGTACGCCGAAGTGGCTGTGTTTATTAGACGGGGTTTCCCCTCTCCGATAGTCGTAGATGTTCGTCTGTGCAACAGCTCCAGCTACTTTAGCAGTGGTCAAGGCATATACCACACGCGCTTTGGTGAAGATGCGCAGATCAGATAGGTCTTCTGAGCTAAGTGGTGGTGTGTTCAGGCCCTGTCTCTCAGACACAAAGACCAGACGCAGTTTCCCAGGTGTTGTACCGATGGCCGCTCTAGCGGGTGCATTGAGCTTCGTGAAAAGGTTGTCGGTAGGTAGGCGGCCAGCAGTCAACATGCGCGTCTCGAGGTAGTGTGCCAATTTCTGCGGGCCACCGGTTATTGAGGTCTTGGTAGAATTGTGAAGCTTCGCAGCTGTTTCGGCTGAGATGACTGTGACCGTGGGAGCGATGGAACGTGTAGCCAGTTCAAGGTCGACACCGGGGCCAGCAACAGACTGGATGATGACTGTCGCATGAGAGAATAGAGCAGCCAATGTTAGGCACAGACTGTAAGAGTGCGTGAAGGCGTCGGCAGGGAGGAATGTGTCCGAGGGGTTAAGACGGTGCGAGGCAGGAAGAGATGTGATCAGTGCGCCAATGGCAGCAGTCAGGTTCTGTTGTTGTTAGAAGGCGCATATACCAATACTCCGTCTTGTCATACCTGCTGCGTGAACTCGACGACCTCTGCTGGCTTTCCAACGGCTTCTTGCCAGAGGAAGACAACATTTGGTGGCTTCTCGGAAGTGGAAGGCAGTGCTGTAGGAGCGCTCTTCTGTTCCTGTACAAGCTCATGCCACACGGCAACGTCGATCTTCCCACCGATACCTTCGGGCACCTCGCTCCAGTCCATGTGCCTGCTTGTCTTCTCTACGGTCCAGATGACGGAACGCAGGCTAGACACACCCTGGCCAACTTCAGAAAGAGGAACGGAGCCCGCCTCGGCGATCATAGCGTCGGCTCCTGTCTGGCGAAGAAGGTCGACCAGAGTCTGGTGTGGCTGGTTGTATGGTATCAGGATGGGGGTGAAACCGTAGAAGGCGCCAGCGAAGAGCGCGGCCAGGAACTCGAGGCTGTTAGGTAGGTAGATGGCAACTCTTTTCGCGCCACGCTCTTGCAGGTGTTTTCCAAGGATAGCAATCTCTTTGGTAACGTCTTGGACCTTGTGCTCAGTCACGCCTTCCTTGCCGAAGACGGTCATGATGTTTGCCGTGCCGCTGGATTTGGCGCCCTTCTCGAGAGGAATTTCACCTGTGACTCGTCGCCAGATGTCTCGAAGGTCTCCATCCTTTCCGGCCGAGTACATGGGAGCGCCCGGAGGTCTGACGGCAAGTCCGGTACGAAGAGGGTCTATCCCAAGTTAGTAGTGACTGCAGCAGCATAGAGGGAGGCGTACATACAACCATGAGGAGTCTCGGGAGACCTGAAGATGGCCGATTCTCCCGGCTGCCTCACATAGGAAGCCACTGCTTGTCTCGCGAGCAGCAGCGGGTGCGTGTCGGCATCGGCGCTGTCGTAAATGATGAAGGCCAGAAAGCCGACGATGGAGAAGGCGATGAGGGTGGTGTAAATGTTCCAGGCTGCCAGTATGTCGGAGATGGACCCGTCGAGCTGCTCTAGAAGTCCCGCCATGGCTGAAGGTACATGGAGAGAGTGAAGGCGGAAGCAAAGCGCACGAGGTTTGGCTGGCAGCTGCGGGATGACGGCGGGGGTCAGGGTCGCTAGTGAAGAAGGACCCCTGTCAAAGCTACCAGTAGTATGCCCGTCCTCCGAGCGCCCTTGCCAAAACATGGTTGCTGCACAACCACTCTGACATTCACCATCGCCGCACCCTTGAGCGTACATAATGTTCCTGTAGCCTCGCGCTTCTGTTCAAAACTAACTACTAATCCAGCAGCAGCAGTGAAAGTGTCCCCCGGCACGTGAGCCGAGCCATCTCTTGCGACACCCCTTCGGCCAAACAAACAATCAACGCGGATAGCTAAAAGCTTCAAACAACATGTCTGCAACCAGATACGCGCAGCCGGCAACCCCGCAAACGCCGGCGACACCATCTTCCCAGACGGAACAGTCATACACCCCCAATGGCTCCTGGCGACATCCCAAGTTTGATGAGATTGCGCGCCGCCAGTACGCTACCACTTTTGACGAGCGCAACGTCAGGGCCATTGTCCTCAACGCTGGCTTCTTGTTCCTTTCAGTCTACGGTAATCGCGTCACCGAAAAGGTCAAGCTGTTGGAGTATGCTGCGTGAGTACCCATGTCACCTTGTCCTGGCGCGGCATGCTAACATTTCACTAGGACACCGATTAACGCTGTTGTAACAGCTGTTCCCTACAGCAACTGGGCTATACTCCTAGTCCGCGTCGTCTTCGCGGCAAACATCGTCATCGCCTTCCTGCCTCTTGTCCGCCGCTACTACCCCGATGAGATTGTCGATATACCTCTCACCCCCTCACAACGCGCCTCGATGGGGTTGAAGGCTGGTGTCCAGGCGCCTCCGACTCCAGGCTCCGCATACGCATCGCCCAACTACGTGACTCCTCCCAGATACCAACGATCAACACCACGCAGCAACAGCTTCAGCGCTCAAGATCACGGCTCGCATTCGCCTAGCCCGCGCCCAAATTTTGGGAGGTCTGGCTCAGGCTCGCCCTTCTCACCAAACAATGGTGGAAGTTTTGATAGGTCACTCAGTGGCTCAGCAATAAAGCGCATGAGCTATGGTAGTTCGATGAGCGGCAGCTTGTTCGGTGATAGCTCGAGCAGCATGACACCAGGCACCCCCACTCCTTCCACCGGTAAGGCAAGTGTCGGGCTGAACAACAAGTGGCTGTATGAGAAGAGGAGAGACAGCCCAAAGAGCAGTATGTTCATGTGAGGACTCGTCATGACGATTGATGTAGGAGAAACTAAACGGCAACATATCGCTTTATACCCTGATATATCGCGTAGGCGTTTTGGATCATGGTTCTTGTTTAGCATAGCTTGGAGCGGGTATTAGAGCCGCCAGCCCGCTCGTGTACGATAATACAAAGAGTGGAAACCTTCCATGCCATAACGCCGTTGAGCGAGCGCGGAACCATTATCCAATCTTCCGACGGCCATGGCTTATATACACAATCCCTTCCCACTAACCAATCGTTCCTTCATAACATTCCTCTCAGTCTCCGGCTCATGAGAACCGATCGCCCTTTCGACTTCGGTACACTTCATTCGCCTCGTACTTGCTCTTCTCTCCTACCCTCTGCCCCTCACTCTCGGGTGCATGCCTTGTGGGCGCTGGATCTTGGCTAGCCTGTAGACTTGGATTACCCTCACCCCCCATCCCACCATTACCTCCTCCTTCACTCCTCAGCCGGCCTAACTCGCTTGTCACGCTCTGCGGCGCTGACTGTGTAGATCCTGGTTTCGCCGTGGGGTTCAGTGGTGTGGTGGTAGGGGCCGAGTTCTTCAGGCCGTGCTCGAGTTCATAAAGGCGGATGCGCTTTTGGCGGTCGGCTTCGGCTTTTGCGGCGCGGTCAGCGTTGATGCTGCGTTTGGCGAAGAAGTAGGCGCCGCCGCCTGCTACTATTAAGGTTGCCCAGCCGTAGCTGTGCGCATGTCAGACGGTATTCATTGTGTGCTTCATGGCATGTTGCCGAGGCGCCTGGTGTTGGGGGTTCGTGGCCCTGATGGGGTGGTGGATATATGCATATGATCGGTAGAGCTCTGGAGGAGTGTGCGTGACGTACTATACCGATTTGATCTATCTGACGATTAGCACAGGGCACAGGTTTGGGAGCACGGCTTGAGCTTACTGTGTTCATGATGAGCAGCGGATAGTCGGTTTGCGATGTGAATTGTTGTGTTGGGAAGCTCGTTGTGGCTTTGCGACAGCTCACAAGTTTCTTTCTGTGCGATGGATGATGAAAGTGGTCTGATTGTTGTAAGGCTGACGGCGATTATTCGGCGATTAGACCAGGGTTCGCCGCCGTGGGGATGAACGAACTAGCAAGTGAACAACAACTCTTCTGCTTGGTCTTTTCTCTGCCTTCACTCATCCAAAACCATGTATTGCCGCCATTCACGCCCAGCTGACCTAGAAGGCTGATCTTGATGGCGCGACATCGACTTACACTCACATATACTGCAATGTAACCTCTCCAGTCGGATGTTCTCCAAGACACCACATCCTATTCTGCGCCTCTCGCGTTTCACAGCGAATGCAAGAGACGTCCCTTGTCGAACCGATTGACTGTATTCATACTGGCACTATTGCAGCTTTTCGAGCCCGAAACAGGTACAGCGATATCTTCAAGTCATACCGTAGTGCTTGGTCGTAATGCCGGGCAAGGCTTTCAAGACATTGCGGAACTTCTTCTTACGGATGGCAGCGATACCAATAACGAGATGATAGCCACCGGCAATATGCTGTCCAACACTTGCAGTGTACGATTGAATCCTTCACTGCTCGCTGGGTGATGGTTCACGGCAAATCGGCACGATACGGCAGAAATGCCTCAGGAGTGCGGAAATGACAGATGCATCATCTGTGTCTGCGTTATCGCGACTTTGAACCCCTTTCGCTCAGGCATTGTTGAGAGTGACGAAAAGACGAATCTCTACGCGAGAGACACTGCGGCGTATCTGCCGAGGCGCGGTGTTCAGCCTCCAACGGGTAGCCCCACAGGCATGTAACGGGAGATACCCACTTTTCCGGGCGCCTGATTTCGAAACACCATCTTTCCGCGGCTCTCCCATCTTGTGGACAGACCATTCGCTCTCTGCTGTCATCTGCACAAGCACAGCTTCCGGAATTGAGCCGGACATACGACATCGGCTGTACCAAGCCGTCATGTTTCGTGGTGGCGTGCTACGTTCTGATTCGAAACTTGACTTTACGGTTCTCGAAACCTCCCATGCCTCATCACTAGCGTGCTACGGTAAAACGGAGGCTGGATTGCAGGTTCAATGAGCGCTAAGTGACGGAGGGCATGATCTCGTACAGGTTCTCGAAGTTTGAAGCTGGTGGATTCGCCTCACCACAGCGCCGTTACGTCCCTGACAGGCTAGGTGTTCCCTTCAAAGGGACGCCACAAGCTCCTGCGAAGTCTACCCAGGGGTGCTTATTCCTGTCTTGGCAACATTTTGTACTCCACTCTCTCATTGCCAAGCATCGACTGAGGCGCCTAGGCCAGCACCAGCATATACACAACCCTTACCTATACCGATGCACGTCTCATGGAAGTGGACACCCACCATGGATCTCGAGTAAGAAATTTCACGATACGGCGGTATGCCCTGTCATGATCCCTCAGTATATAGATTACTTTGAGTTCCACTGCTTGTAATCTATCTCCATCAACGGTCTTTCACTTCTTCACAGCTCGACGCTAGTCCTTCTTTACTCCACATTCTATTCTATTCTCAGCGCTGAGCGCCAACTTTATTTTAACTCCAATCATGATGTACTTCACTGCCACTTCCTTTGCACTTGCCACCTTGGTATCCACCGTGCACTCGCACGCAGCCATCTTGGCCGCTGTTGGAGACTCTGGCGAGAGTCAAGGTTTCTTGGTCGATCCTGCAATTGCCCGCAACTGCACTACCATCTCTCCTTGCCAACAAGATGCTACCATCATTCGCGACTCGGAGATCACGCAGAACATTGTCAACGCCTGCGGAAGAACCGAGATTGCCGGCAACATCGACATCGGTGAGCAAACCGAGAACGAGCTTGCAGCTGGCCGTATGGCTCAAGTGTCTTCTGGCTCCATGTTGGCTGTCACCATCCATCAAGTTAATGCAGATGGCGCCGGTCCATTCGAGTGCGACATGGACGAGACTAGCAACGCCGTGACCACCTTCACACCCTTGAAGGTATCCAACAACATTCCTGGTAGCTTCGGTCTCTCTCAGGCAAAGGAAAAGGACTTTGTTATCAACGTCCAGATGCCCGACAACTTCAACTGTCTTGGTGCCTCAACTGGCAACATCTGCACTGTTCGATGCCGCAACAACGCCATCGCTGGTCCCTTCGGTGGATGCTTCGCCGTCCAGCAGACTGACGGAACTGGTCGTACCAACGAGAGCGCTTCTGGTAAGTTTCACATTTTCCGTTATCATTACAAAGCATTTGCCCTATCCTGTATCCATACTCACTGCCGCTAGCTGTCGACACTGCTCAGACACTTGAGGGTATCTCTGCACAAATCCTGCAAAACAAGAAGGATCTTCCTGCTGCTATCGCGGCGAACCAGGCTGCTGGTGCTGCGGGCGGTAATGAGGGTGCCAGTGCCATTTCCGGTGCGTTGATTTTTCATCCGTCGCATTTCTATCGTAATGAACTTGAACTAACATCTCTTTCAGCTCTTGTCCCTGATGCGACTCAGGCTCCCAATGCTGGAAACGGCAACAACAATGGCGGTAACAACGGCGGCAACCAGGGAGGCAATGGCGGCAAGGGCAACCAGAACGGCAACCAAGGTCAGGGTCAAGGTCAGAACCAGAACCAGGGCCAAGGCCAGCAGAACCAGGGCGCAGCTCAGAATGGTCAAGGTCAGGGCCAAGGCCAGGGTCAAGGCAACGGCCGTGGAAACCAGGGCCAGAATCAGGGCCAGGGAGGCCAGGGCCAAGGCAACCGTGGCGGCAACAGGATCAAGCGCGCTCTCAAGTTTTTGAGCTAAGCGATTGATAATGTGTGAAGGAAGAGCAAGCACAGTGAATGCTACATAACCGATTGAGGTTGGACGCAAAACGCGCGAGAAATCAAAGGCTGGTCCATTTACATCATTTACCAACAATGTATATACCCTTTTAGTTACATACGGAGAAGAGGAGATAAGTAGAGAAGGACGAAGAGTGAATAAAAGACTACTTCTTCATCTTTTGGTTTCAAATTTTGCAGTCTCGCGATGTCTTTATGGCTTGGATTTTTTTTGATTGAGTATTGTCAGACACCTTGGTGAAGCCAAAAAGCCTCGAGACCAAGTTCCAACTCAACCGATATTGCTAGTGCTCGCTCTGGCAGAGACGATATGTTCAAATACGTGGAGTCTCAGTAACAGTCGCTTCCTCACCCTTTTCCAACCCTCCAACATCCTTTCCGCCCTCAAGAGTGTCGTCATCAAAGAAACCGTACTCTCTCTGCATTTGCTCGATGCCAACGGGATCCAAAAATGGCAGCTCCTTCGCAGCCTTCACATAACTCATGTTCTCCACAAAGCCCTTGGCAAAGATAAGGTCAATCTCCTCCAAGCTTCGCTGCTTGGTCTCAGGATAGAAGATATGGATAAAGGGCAAGAAGCACGCATTCATCGCTGCGAAAAAAACGTAGGTGCCCCACCCAATGTTATCAATCATGATAGGCGTGATCATGACGACGATGAAGTTTGATAGCCAGTTAGTGCATGTCGAGATGGCGTTTGCTTTGCCACGTGTCTTTACAGGGTTTACTTCTGCTGGGTATAGCCATGGAAGTGGAAGCTGTAAAGGTGGTGCAAGTCAGTGCATGTCTCACATAGGATTTCGTACATTGAGGACTTACCCATGTCGCTGCGAAAAATGCAATGTATGTGAATAGGCCCACAGCTGCGCCTTTCGCTGCAGTTTGCGTACCCGGGATGAGGGCACCGAACACCAGAACCATGGACAAGCCTTGCCCCCAGGTACCGATCAGAAATAGCTTGCGACGACCAGTGCGTTCGATGATGAACCAAGATGTAGTCGCAAAGATCGAATAGACAATCATGTTGATACCTCCGAGCAACAGGGACAGATCATGCGAAGCGCCGATTGAGTGTTCGAAGAGGAGAGGAAAGTAGTAGATGACCGCATTGCAGCCACCAATCTGCTGCATGAGCTGTGATGAAGCGCCGAGCATCATCCGTCGGAAATGCTGTGTTTTTCCGTTTGTGAAGAGGGCGCTGAATGGTGTGATTCCTCCTTTGTGGCCAGACGCGCGGATACTGTCCATGATGATGTGGGCTTCGAAGCGTGTCTCACTGTCATCAATAGCATGCCCACGGAGCGCCGCAATCACTTTGGCTGCGTCCTCGTGTCGATCCTTGGTCAAAAGCCAACGTGGCGACCTAGAACGGGTGGAGAAGGTTAGTATGTTCCTCGCACTGGATATGGGAGTATACTAACTCTGGAAGCCAGGTCATGCCAGCCAAGAGAATAATACAGAAAACGATCTGGAAAGCGATAGGGAAGCGCCATGTGAAGTTGTCGCTTCCGTACGAGCATCCATAATCCACCCAGTACGCGATGAGCGTACCAAAGGCAATGACCCCGCCCTCGATGCAGATCAAGAGACCATGGTTTTTCGTCCTGGAGCATTCGGCTTGGTATGTGGGAATTGTAGCAGTGTTCATGCCATTGCCAACACCAGTGACAATGCGTCCGATGACGAACTGTGCGGTGGCATTATGGCCCTTGAAAGCAGTCACTTGTATAATGGTACCAACGATCATAGTCGCAGCGCCTATCATGATTCCTTTCCGTCGCCCGAGCGCGTCACCAAAAATGAGCATTGCTATGGCTCCGAACAAGCAGCCAATCTCGTAGATCTGTTGGGTTCAAGATTGAAAAACGTCAGTGTGAGTTCAATCTAGAATGAGAGCTATTGCAATTACTCACCGCGGTCACGAACCCTTGCCAAGTCGAGTTGTGCAGAGTTTCTGGGAAGTAATTCATGAATGGGTCCGCTGAAATGATGCCAGACATGACGCCCTCTGTAGTACGAATGTTAGCACATCCAATCGTCTAGTAGTGGAGTCTTGCACCCACGGTCATATCCAAAAAGCAGGAAACCAGTCGTCGCAATGATGGAAACTGTTATGTCCAGCGCTCTACCTCGCATTCCCATGAAGCGAGGGTGCGCAACCGCAACCGCAGAAGAATCTGCCATTTTGACGTACTGGCGACAGCCAATATCCGCCTGTGGTTCTGAAAAGGCGTGTTCTGATGTCTCGTGTAGGTACCCTAGGGCGAACCACTGGCGATCAAAAAGTGTGGAGAGATGGCGGGGAAGATTGGGGCCCCATAGGTTTTATGTTCTCCACACATCTTGATCCAGACGTTCCTCCACTGCGCTAGCTTGTGATCAGCACAAAGCATAAGCTGGTACAAAGCACAGGGTAGAGGAGAAGTATGGAGCTACGCAACGGCCTCGAAGACGTCATTCGCTGAGCTCTGCCGAGATATCTCCATATGGTGATGCCGAAGAAGTTCCTATATGGTATTAGCATAATAGGTACTCTGATGCCGAGGCAGAATTCTGTTGCAGGTTGAGCCGCTGGGGCGGCGTCACAGTACATCCATGCACAATGGCGGTTGGCACCGTCTATCCCCGGTGGGTTGAGGTAATAAGGAGCGAGAGATAGTTGGTGGGATTGGGCTGCATGTGTTCCCGTGACGGGCAGCCAGCGTGATGCTGGTTAGTCTGCCTGTTAAGCGTAAGGATAATGTATGCATCCCCGGAAGGCTAGAACGGACTCAGCAAAACTTGGTGCAACGCTGCGATGGAACATCAGATCGCCTGTAGAAAATGTGAGAGAACAGCTGGATTTTTGGAAGTTGTGACCAAGTCGTGAAACGATGGTTCTTTCACGATACTACGGCATCGCTGACAAGGGACGGGATGAACCACGCTGTTTACTCCTGGACGCAATGCCGAGAAGCGGTACCGATGTTTGCACAAGCAAGGGTGGTTTCTAGGCGTTGCAAAACTGGGGCGCATTATCTTGAGAGCTACCTGCGTAGATACTCAGCTCCTTCGAGCAAATGCAATGACGCGCTCTTACGATTACCATGTGATCAAGCTTATGTGCCATGTACTCACCTGGACAGCTGCATGGACTATGATGTTTCCGTCCGGGCCTTTCTTACAGAGAGAAATGCGCGCCTTCGCCCAAGACACGAGTCGTCTATCGCAAATGTTACGCTGAGGGTTTTCCCCAGATTTTACGATCGGGCGGTTGTGGGATTATGCCTACCTAACCTCTTTCTTAATATGCAACTGTTATGCCTACCTAGCGCCTATACTATATAACAGCCAGTTTATAACCTAGTTTTTAATACTATATATAAAAACTTTGCATTTACTATATTTTATTTACTAATAATAGAGTAATAACTCTGTAGTAGATTACTAGTAGATACTATTAAGCCTTATTAACTTTATAGCGCTAATAGATAATACTTATTAAGATATAACTACCTAAAATCTAGTATATATATACTAATATATAACGCAAAAGTTTGCGAGGTAGACTGTTGGAGGGAGTTAACGCGCGGAGGTGGCTACCAGACATCGACCGAGTTACCGACGCAGGTGCAACCCAGCATCAACAGGGGGGAGGCGCTTATTGGTGTGATGTTGTCACGGCGGGGAACGATCAAGGCATGCTTGAATATATGTACGAATTGATGGGAGGATAAGTCACCGCAAGCTCAACAAGGTCGACGTAGACAAGGTTCTATTGCTCTCGAACTATCATGGAAAGACTTTACGTCCTACATAGCCCATGTAGCTGTTGTTGTTAATCTTTTACAAAGAAAGTCTATCCCATATGCCCCCGATGAGGTCTCCGAATCCTTGACATCCCTTTCGCGCAGTGCAGCTCCACTTCTGCAAGCGGTAAGCTGTCCTCGCACAACCAACTATCAGCGCATCCCTGAGGATGTTTAGGGCTTGTAAATGAGCACACCGTCCTTGCCGTATCTAGTAATGTCAGTGTTAGATGTACTGATCCTTAGGCTCGTCAATAAGGTGCATACCTGAATCCATCTTTACCGTCGAGCTCCTGGCAGAAGGAGACGATGTCCTGTCGGCCAAAGGCAATTTGAATACTCGAATTAAGGCCTTGCCACTCTTCCAGCGTAGTATCGACTAGTTCCTCAACCGTAACGGATGATTCGCTCTTGTACTGGAACCAGTCGACTATGGTGACTTTGAACTGTTCGAAAAGGTTGATGCGGGATGCAGCCGTAGAACTAGTAGGAGCTGTGGAAGCTTTGTTGACTATGCTGCGCATGGCAGCTTCTTGAAGTATCAGGATCGCCTGGTTGAACCGAACTCGCATATGCTCTGGTATGTGCGACTGGCAATCGAAAAGGAAGTTGGCCGCTGCATTATTGGCAGAACGCTCGTCCTCTCGATCAACTCCCGCCGTTCCGGGCAGTTGGCTATCATTAACAGTGCTTGCTTGTTCTCCACCTCCTGACATTTTCTCCATATCCTCTTCTTCACCTTCCTCGTCTCCGGCGATGATTTCTTCTAGGCCCTCATTATCTTCCTCATCTTGTCCCACTGGCACAGTGCCCATAACAAGTGCCTCGTCGTCTTCCTCTTCCATATCGTCGAGAGGTTTGTCCGTGATATCGGTAGCTCCAAGCGCAGATCCCCGTCCTTGCCAAATCTTCGGGAACTGTAGTTGAGCGTCCGTATATTGGGCGGGGTGGCCCTCCCAGAAAGGGCTGTCCATGTTGATATCTCGGAGCAAGTCGGTGAAGAGCACGATGTTCTCCGGTGTACATGGGAAGTTGGACTTTGCTCGATTCATAAACCAGCTCTCCATCGTAATCGTACGCAACGCGTCATTGTACTGCGACAAAGAGCTGGGGTACTTGACGGTCCAGCCCGTTCTCATGATGGATCCAGGCTCTACGTGTAAGGCACGCCCAATAGAGAACCGTAGGGCATGACGCGAAAAGACTGTCATGTGTAGGCCGAGGATCTCATCTTTGCCACCATAACGAAACCACAAGATTACACACGTAAGAAACAGAGTCTCTGAGCACTCATTACGGTGGTCGTTTGCTAGATCGCAATGCCTATCCAGGCGTCTGAACCTCTCCGAGAACAAACGGCCAAGGTAGTCCCAGTCGAGATTGTCGAACATGTGAGCCTCGTTCCACAGCCAAGGGGCAGAATTTCTGCTTGCCTGGCCTCGAGGGAGCTGAAGACCCTGGGGGTTGCAATCGGGACTTTGTTCAATCTCGAGACATATCCTCTTGAGTCGTGTAATTGAGTCGAAATCCCAGGAACTGCCTTCGCGAGTACCAAAGTCGACTTTAAAATTGTGAACCGGGTTCATTCCATCATACACCCCAGTCTTCATCATCCTATAAAAACCGTCCCACCATTCCTTTCCCAGCATGCTGGCAAGCTCTCTACGCAGCTTGATACTACGCGGCAAAACGCACCTAATGCGAAAGCAATGGTCAAAAGCAAGTTCGAGCTGGGAGATCTTGGCATTATCCGTGCGGTCTGTTTTCACTGCATCGGAAGCAATGGCCAGTACTATGGGTATGTCGTCCTGCTTCGCAGCGTTCAAGAAGTGAGATGTTAAACCGACGTTGTCTTTGTGATGTACAAACGCCTCATCATTGGCGAACCATAGGGGGAATGTTGCGTCAAGGGTGTGTCTACGGGGATCATGACCTTCCGGTGTTAAGCGGTCGCCGTTGAATATGTCTTTATACCCTTTCGGTGTGAGCTGGGCAATGACCGCATCTGCGACCGCGCTTCGATGTTGGAATGATAAGCTGCCGTATATGGTCCCTCCCTCGCGTTTCAAGCAAGTTTTGCGTAGTCGTGCTTCGGGTCCTGGCGGTGGTGGTGAACTGTTCTCCTGTTTTGCGACAACTACAAGGTGCGAAGCGCAGATCAAGCGGTCATCCGTGTGGCGGATCATAGTGTAGCACGGAACTTGCTCAAGACACCACATACAGTAGTGCACCGTTTTCTGCTTTTGTACATGGTCCACGCACTGGCAATACAGTTCTTTGCTAAGCAGAGACTTCTTGCTATGTAGAAGTTCGTCTACAGAGACGTAGAACTCCTGCAAACACAGCAGTATTTGGCTAGTACGCACGAACACTCGATAGGCGCTTTCTGCCGCGAGAGCTACGACAGTTCTGCTACTGCGGGAAGAACCAACAGTGAGCGGTGGAATGAACCCGGATATCGATTGCTGTATGGCTTGTATGATGGCGAATCTCGTAGTGGTGTCTGCTTTGAAGAGTTTTCGACCGCTGTAAGGCCCAATGACAGACGGGTGAGCGGGCAAATTCGAGTGTATATAACGCAGGACAGTCACTTGCGCTTCTTTGAAAGCTAACTCACTTCCCACCAGGCCAAACATCTTCCAGCAGATGTAATCGATGACTTCCAATATAGTGGATTGTGGCACACTGGGACACCCTTGGATTCGTACTTCCTTGGTCGTTTTGGGTCCTTTAGATAGCGGGAGTATGCTTCCGGCATCAGCGCTGTTTTCGGCCGTGTGAGTAACCAAATCTTCTGGCACGGCGACATCTACCGAGGTGTTGACAGGTCTGGCCGTGTACACCGGTGGCAGTGCTCGGATCGCCCACCAGAGCGGCGGCGCAGGCGGCTTCGTGTACGATTCGAAGACGCTCCTAGAAATTGGAATGCTAGGCTGCCTCGAGTATCCAATTGGAAAAGAAGGAACTGGAACATGGTATCCGAAATTTCTCGTACTTGGCTTTATGCCTAAAGGATAATAGGCGTGATAATGCAGCGATGAAGCACATCGAAAGACGTAGCGAATACGCCGAAAGTCGAAGTCCTCCCTTATCGCCTGCAACGACATCAGCTCGAGTGTCGACCGCATTGGACATCGTCCATGGCCCACTTCATGCGGGAATTCGCTATCGGGTATGGCATCCGGGTATTTGTTGAGAAGTCTACATGCCTCCGCACCTACCTTGTCGACGTCTGCTGGGGAAGGGCATATGGTGTCATCCAGCGGCCCGCCTCGCTGTATGTACTTTTCGTTCTCAGGCGTTGTGGGTTTGGCACTGAGCTTCCCATTCCGCCAGATATTTGTTTCTTCCTGCTCATACTCGGGGAACAAACGCAGTCGTTTCTGTTCGGTCTTAGGAAGCGCACCGTCAAAGACAGTGACTCTCCAGGTCTTGATAGTCTTTCGATATTTGTCCATCAACGCACGACACTCCCCTGTCCTTTTGGGGGCAAGCAATTCGTCACTCTCATCGATCGGATCCCAGTTAACCTCAAGAAGTTCACTCTTGACTTCAAATTTGAAGTCTCGGCCTGGCACATCGGGCAGGTCTCGCAACGATATTAACGGTTGATGGGTTACTGGTGTATGCACTATCGGCTTCTGTACGACGAGTTCGTCACGAACGGCGAGCCATGCGTTCAGATTTGTTGTGGCTGGCGACGCAAGAAGTCGTACAGGACCGAGAGGAGTACCAGCCGAAAGGTCGCCCCGCGCCTGCTCTGGGTCTGGGTTTGGCTTTCGGGGCTTTCGCGCCGGCTTCTTCCGCGGGCCAGTCTTTTCGGTTTTCTTGACCGTACGCTTACGTGTAGCTGGGTCGGGCTCATCCGCGGCGGAGAATCCATCGTCAGGACCAGGCTCGACGAGAGTCTCTTTCGATTTCTTGCGAGGTGGCATCACAGCGGGCGGCACAAAGGCGAGTCGGAAAGAGATATAACACTCAACCTGGCGCTGGACTGTTAAAGTCCCAACAATATTAGCGATAGATGTGATATGCGCGAGAAGTAACTTACGGCGCAGTTGGTGATACGATTACTGGATATTGCAGACGCGACTGAGATCCCGAACGAAATTTGCAGAAATCAAGTAGAGGGGTATCACGTTGTAAAGTGAAACGGAGAACGGAAAATCTATGCCTGCTCGCATAGCAAACAAGTTGGTTGTTGTCGCACACGCAATGCTTGGCATACAAGCTCTGGTGTTTGCATCGTAGCGTTTGCTCTCCCTTACACCTTTGCTGACCCAATACTGAAATTCCCACCAATCTGCGCACAACAAAGGCGAAAATGTCCGATCCATACGCAGCATCAAGACTGTATCGAAAGAACTTCGAGGACGCAGAAGCGCTCTTCGACAGCGGCGATGTAGCTGGTTGCATATCGGCAGCTCAGTACAACTTAACGTAAGTGGCAGCAACAGAACAACCACCAGAATTAGTATCGCGACTGATTGTTCCCAGCGATACAAGCCTCCCCCCGTTCTACATTATTAGAAACTGCATACTTCTGGTTGGCGCTATGGATAACTGGGACGATGGAAATGAATGGAGGCTTGCCGCGGTAAGATGTCCAGTGTACAAACCGGATGTGAGACATACGCTGACTTCGACCGTGGCAATTCAGGAGAGCACCTACAGTGATGCGTTACGACGATCAAGGGAAATGAACGATACGAATTCGCTCGCCGCCCTACAAGATCTCCGTGAGGAGCTTGACGAGTGGGCTAGGCAGCGAGACCGGGATCTCCAGGAACACATGCTTGAACAAGAGGAAGAGGACGATGACGACGAGATGGACTTGGAAGCATATGGAGTTGAGCTAGACAACAGCGAGGAGGAGGCGGAGATGGAAGCCGAGGGCGTTGAGTTGGGCGAGGGTGACGAGCTGATGAGAGGTGTAGATGGTGAGGACACTCAACTTCTTCCAATCCGCGGACACCAAGCTTCCACAGCAGGCCCCGTTGAACCGGCCATCGAAGCAGCTACCGTAGTATCCACGCCCAGCATCGTCGTCGAATCGCCTACCGAGCCTACAGCGCTTGTGCAAGATGATGACCAGCCCGCTCGCAGTCTGCGGAAGAAGAAGAGTAGGAAATTTGGCGGTGGTGCAGCTAATATGCATGCATTTAACAAGTCATTGGGCAGGAGTAGTGGCAAATTGGTGTTCCACAACTTCGCGGAAGATGAGGATGAGGATGACAACAGGGAAGATAAGGGCGGCAAGGATAAGGATAGCAAGCGTGTTTGAAGTGCGACGTACGAAGCACGGTGTCACGCAGCGCCCGCCTAGGCAGCGTGTATTGACTGTGCATCTTGAATTTTGGACGATGCACGTCAGTCGCAAGAGCCTAGCCCACAAGTTTTCCCACGCTAAAATAACCGAAACTTAAGTCAACCATATCCACGACTCTTCAATCTACCTTGTACACGCGCAACCTTTTACCTATGACTGCAATCAAAAATATGAACGTGATCGGATACCAAGCTCTGCTTTCACCAGGCGTCTTGAACGGATGCTTTGACGCCGCCTATACTCTGCACTATGCTAATGTCTCTCAACATTCGCCTTGCGCTCAGGGCGCAAGTGTATTCACTAAACGGAACTGCATCTTCATCGACCACACGCGCGTTTGACCACAATTCGCTCTATTTCACCCTCCAACGGTCAGCATACCTGGTTTCTCTGTGAAGCATCGCAGCAAGCTACCTTCACACATGAATACCGCTGCTCTCATAGTATATCAGCTATGCCTTACCCACTCCTACACTCTCATCTACCACACACAGCAGGTCAGCTCAACGCACGACCTACAACAGTCAAGTTGAGAAAAAAGACGAACACAACGACATTCTTACGCCTTGAACTCGTCGCCAACGAAATCTTTCCCAATCCAAATCTTTCCAATACTCGGTAAGATGAATCCCTTCGGCGGCTCAAGCGGTGACGATTTCTTTGGTGGTGGCAGCGACTTCTTCGGTGGTATGGGTGGCGGCATGGGACGCGGTGGCCCAATGGGAGGCCTGATGGGAGGTATGGGTGGCACGGGTGGTCCGATGAGAGGGCCGATGGGTGGTGGTGGTGAGATGGGACGTGGAGGTCCTATGGGTCCGATGGGCGGGATGAGCGGTGGCAACCCTCGCCGAGGGGGCTACTCATCTTTCTCCTCCTACGATTCCTCGCGTCCAGAAGGTCAACAGTATCAGGAACATCATGAGCCTTTCGGCGACAATGCTCAAAGCGGGTATAGCCACCAACGAGCTCCACGCAGTGGGGGTGGCGGTAGAGGCTTCTTGTTCTCTGGCCTAACAAGCGCAGACAATCCCTTCCGCCGTCAAGTTGGCGGCAATCCAGCTGGTGGATACAACGCGTCTGCACGAGAGGAGTCTAGCTACCCACACATGGGCCGTGAGGGTCCCCAGTACGCTTCGCGGTACGAAGAGTACCCACGTAGTCATGGTTCGTCTCGTCGCCAACCACCACAGCAAGCCTACTACGATGATGAGTCGGACCCCGACGAAGACCCTCGACAGCGTCAGTATTATGCTCCTCAGCACCCGTACGGTGGTGGCGGTGCGCGTGGTGGTGGGGATGGTGGTAGACCAAGTGGTGGACGGCTGTTCAACTATGATCATTCCGGCCGTCGTAACTAAATGCGGCGAATAGCCAAGGACGTAGGAGCTGTGCTACTATCGCGGTTCCCTTCTTTTCGTTGCATGCTTCAAAGCAGTGTAGCTTCATGGCGTTTAGACATTGTTCTTCTCTTTTCACGCAGCCTCAGAGCGATTTCTCGAGAATAATGCAAATTTGTATTATGAGCTATGTTGCCATCGACGGTGATGATAGCAAACCAAAATTATGAGATGAAAACCTACTATGTCTCACCATGAACAAGTCTATGTATAGGACAATGACAGTCCTATTTTCGACAAGTTCAATGTCCCTCAAATGCAGCGCGATGAATCAAGCTTTGTGTACGCCATGCATGAGTTCGGCGAGTCGAATGAAAAGTGGCTGGTAATTCTTACCGGGCAGGCAAATCATAACTTATTGCTGATCTAGATGCGACGTTGCGAGAGATCAGAAAGAGAAGTCATGGCGAGGCTGCGCGGAACCCCTGCCGCACCCATCTACCAATCAGCTTCTATTGGTTGCTGCTGACACGTTAAAAACACCCCTTTCTACGCAAAACTACCGATTCGTGACTTGGACTAGAGATGTCGTGACCAACTGCTCACCAATGCGCTGTTGGGCGCCAAGACACGTGCCCCATATTCCGGTAAAAGCCTCTACCGTGGCAGGGCAGCAGCTCGCGCGTACTCGCACGACTGTGGTGTGATCTGGATCGCCCAGACCGGAAGGGATTCTCGAAGCCTTAGGCGCAATCGTGTTATGGAGCATTCCGCACAAACATCAATAAGAAGACACTAATATTACTTGAAAATTGTCTATGACCGTCTCATCCATCTTCTCGACGTGCCTCAGTATATTGGAAAGACGTTTGTAAGCCGGGACCGGAAGCACGCTTTCAAAGCAACATCTAAGCACGCAAACAATTCCTAGCGTCGAGGCAGCCTTAACCGCACTCCACAAAAGCCTACCCACACTTGACGTCGCTTGCATACAGCGCTCATCTCCACGTGAAGTCCAGCCGCGGCCGTAGTGTGAGTACCTTTTGTTCCCCCTTGCTGAGGCCTTGCAAACGAGGCCCTACTAGGCAGCCACGTTGAGACATATTTATATCCCCAACACTGCCGAGTCATCTTCTCTCAAGCTTTGCTAACTCTCTGATGACGAAAAAAGTGTGTTAGACACATAGTTCAAAGCAAGCACGCGACCAAGACCCCACCGAAGCCGAAACCACCGAACCACATCGCGGCCCCACATCGGTCTTCATAAGGCTGATCAACCAGCTACAAACCACGAAACAAAGACACTGCCGGGCTACAACACTTTACACATCGTTCTCTATTGAGTCTGAACACTTTTCTCCGTCTTTTGTTCTTCATATTATACAACATGGCCATCTCAACACACGCGCTCTCCCAGATTCGGCAATACTCCACACGCGTACCTCGCGATCCGCACTATAAAATCAAGGCTGCCCTCGCAACGAGCTACGTAGTATCTGCTCTTGCACTTCCCTTTGTGCCACCGCTTCTGGAGACTAGGAGAGCCAAGGCAGATGGAAGTTATCTGACAAGGTACGTTAGGGCACAAGCATGTGGCTGGGGATGTTGTTAGGTGGTAAGGCAGGGCGGGATACCGGATTAGGAAAGAAGGAATTAGACCATGAATAGAATGCTAACGATTCAAATAGGGAAAACGCGTATTGCTCATCACAGTATCTCGGGTGCGCACGATGAGGATTCTTTCTAGGTAAGTTTGATCTGTTCTTGAGAGATCGCGATTGAAAGCTAATATATCGTAACAGGTTCTGATTCTCCCTTCTATCCTGACGCCCCGGCAGCGCATAATTTTCCTACGATCTATTCATACATACCCGGCGTTTATTCATTTACAGAGGACATTACATAGAATTATAGCTACAGACGCTCCCACAGCAACGTCTTAGTCTACATCATCATTGGCAGGCTGCTGTTGACTTTCCACCGCGTCATGCATCTCATCATCATCTTCGTCTTCAGTCTCGTCCATCTCGTCCTCACTAGCTGTCTCCCACACTGTAACATAGAGCTCTCCGTCTTCTTCAAACACGTGATTGCCGTCTTCATCGACAAAGTGTCCGTCGTTGTCTAGCTCAAGATCAAGCTCCATGTCGTCCTCCTCGTCAAGATCGTCAACCTCAAAGTCGTCGTCACTACCAACGTGCTCCACACTTTCATCATCGGAATCGAACATGTCCATGAACGCGAGTCGGCGACCAGGCTTTACGAACCTGTGCTTGAGGACGTGCAGAGTGCGTCGCGTCTCTCCCCGTAATCTATTGATGTCCGCGTCACCAAGTTGATCCGTCTCGGGTGCTTCGCTTATAGACTCTGGTGCTATCCGCGCGCCTTCTTCTGCCTCTTCGTGAACTATGTGGCGGTGGAAGCCGACAACGCTCGCATCGTACACGCATTCGACGATTGGGATGGGCTCGTCATGAAGATATGGTGGTATCAGGCTAGGGCTTTTGTGCAGCTCTATTGACATCTTGAGATTGATGCCAGCCTTGAATAGCTTGTATGCTTTTGCATGACGATTGCGGAGGCGCTCATCGTCGCAGATGTAATCAGTGTCGGACAGGTCGAGCCTGAGTAAAGTCAGTGCATGATCTGGAACGAACTTTGAGTGATTCTGTTAAACTTACCAGAGATAGGACGATTGCAACAATTCTAGTGTGTTGAGAGACGGTAGCGCAGCGTAGTGATCAAAGTCAGGCGGCTGATCCCAGAAGTCGATAGGAACGTCCCAATGCCGGCGAACGCGAAGTGTTTCCAGACCGGGTGGCGCTAGGTCGCGGTTCATTACGATAGCCTGATGTAGAAAGGAGTTTGTATCGCATTCCATATATGTGAGAAGGTGGAAATCACGCATGCCATCACCAGGTGGTCGTATGCTGCGGAGCACGTGGGGGCTTCTATCGATGCGCCAGCCGGGATTAAGGTGCGTGAGGCTTTCTAGCGAATGTGCAACTGCGGAGAGAGCTTGCAGCGATCCGCACGGATCTTTGGTTAGTACGGGCTTGACTTGTCTAGATCGGTTGACGTTGAAGACGTTTTCACCGAGAGTCAGCGTCTTCAGCCGTGCCGGTGTACGCAATATGCTCAGCAAGCTTTTGGGCTGCAGCACGCACTCGTCAAAGACAAGAGAAGTCAGAGGGGTTTGTCGGGTATGCGACGCAAGTTCAGGGATGTCAGAAGCCGGGAAGGCAACACAGGAGACGTGAAGGTGTTTGAGCGCAGGGTGTCGGAAGAGACAATGGAAGCCTTCGAGGTTCCAAAAGTCAGTATCAGCGCCGTGTGAATGGATGGTCAAGCTCTCAAGAAGACCTAGGCCAACCGTCCGCTCGACATGTTTTCCCAACCGTCGCTCCGCCATGATCTTATCCGCCTCGACTGGACCATCGACGCAAGCTGTGTCAAGCGCGCGGCGAAAACGTTGCATGTCTCCATGAACCCAAGCCTCGCCACCAGCTCCCTCCCAATGGAAGTTGTCGTAAGGGCTCTCAATGTGCCACTCCCTCAGATTGACCATGCGAGCTACGCACTCGTTGAAGGTTGTCCTTATTTCGTCACTGTCCTTCAAACTGTTGTCCTTGTATTGATACAGAATCTTGAGTGTTTGCACGGCGCGCACGCGTTCATGACGCAATGTGAAGGCCTCGATGATGGCGTGAAGGTTCTTTACGGAGAGAAGCTCGATTCGCTTGTAGAGTCGCTCTTCGGCCAGATGTTGCATACCGCGACAAGTGCGAGCAAGAGCGCATAGTGTTTTGTTGTTGTCTTCGAGATGGTCGATGACTAGGAGAGCGAGTTCGTTGGGCAGCGTCGATTTCGCAGTGCCCAAAAGGTTGGACGCCATGGCGAGCGCGGTACTATGAAATGGCAAAGCTTTTCGTATGTGGCAATGCAGATGGCTCGCTGCTACGGGAAGTACTCGCGTCGGTTCGGTCGACAGATCGTTGTTGCCTGAGCGGTCCTGGATACCCTCAATCAATACCTGCTGGGGCAACAAAGCGTGTGGTTGAAGGGATGTTGGGAGATAATGCTGGCGGACGTACTTGTTCGTATTTGGCGACTGTGAATTAACGTCGTGAGATCTGGCGAGATGGTTGCTGTGTTACGTGAGAAACGCGATTTCACCTAGACCAACTAAATTATCAGAATATGCAGGGACAATAACGAGGGGCCGAGGCGGGGGTCGAACAAAGCACGAGCCAACCAATGACGTCGACGCGTGGCCGCTTCATCCCTGTCGAGTCCATCGCCCGTCTCTCATTCCTTTACCACATCAATGTGTTCCCTCCTTCCTCCTGTCAAAGTACAACTTCACACTCACCTAAGTCTTGTGTTGATTTCCGCACAGCATTCATGGATTATGATGATAGGAGTCGCCATAGAAGAGAGGAGCTCAACACGCGTGCTAGCAACAGTGCGACGGGACTGCATGCATCGAGAGCGCTCTGGGAGACCATTACATGTATCCAAGCTCCAAGGAAGGCAATACGATTTTCAGTTTCACCTTCACTCATTCTCACAAGATGACTTATTTGATGGTTGCCTGAGGCCTACTATTGTTTCCATGTGTAGAGTGACTTCGTATTCTCCACTGTCACTACGCTAGCAGTTACTATGGTGAGCACATCGCTATCCTTATAGAGCTGACCTACCCAAGGTGGGTACAACTTCTTGCTTGCTTCATGCTCAACGCTATCTGAGTATGGCCTTTTCTAGCCTCTGCAAGTAGCAGCACAACTCCCCTACGGCCATGCAGCGTCCACCGAGCCCAATGTCGATGTATACTGGCTCGCCGAGCTCGAAAGGCAAGAACAAGCGCGCAATAGACGAAAGTCCTCCAGCTACCGACCGACCCCAACAGCCATCCAAGATCGACAGTAATGCGCCCCGCATCCTCCGCCGCTATCAACACCGCCGTCGCAATGTCGCTACTGAGGTATGGGGCCCCGAAATACCTTCTACAACCTCACCCCGAGCCTTCGCCGATGCACCAGCCCCAAAACAGCCTTTCAGCGTCTACAAGGCTATCCTTCGACATCCGAACCTCTTCTTCCAGTTTGCGCTCCGCCTGCCTTACCCTTCCATCATCGACCTCTATGCCATCGACAAAGAGTTTCATTATCGCTTAAATCTATACAGTGTCTCCCTGATACACGACTATGCTCGCTACCATGCACCGCTCGCAGGTTACATCTTCAGCTGGGTACTGTATCCACGACTATGCATTTCAGACCCTATGCTCAGACCCATGGACGGACGAGAGTGGCTGGCGCGCGATGTACCGGGTTTTCGCTGGGTGGGCATGATACTCTGGCGCCAAAAGATTGTACGCAGTATTCTCACAACACTAGGTTTGGAAGGTCATCGCGTACCGGCCAGCTGCGAGGGTGCGCTGATGAAGTTCTGGGGTCTGATGGAGTTAAACACCACGAAACTGCGCCTTTCCTTCCTCGATGACGCGGATATCTGGACAGACATCGATATCATCAGCATTCAGCTCTTCTTCGTCAAACTCGACATGCGCTTCTCCGACCCAATTCTCGGGAACGGCGTCTGTCAGCTAGGATCGCTGCTGCTTGGCCAGAGAAGTTTGGAAACGCTGTGGAAAGTGTTGAGCGGAAAGTTGAAGTTGGACTATGACAACACGAGCGACATCGTCGTGAAGACGTACCTCAACGAAGATCTTGACGTCGAAGCACATCCCTGGCTCGAAGACGAAGGCGATACTGGCGTTCCAGAGGAGCTGTGGGGTCTGCTGAGTCTTGAAGGCTGGCACGAGGACGGCGTACAAATGATGCATGCCGTAGATATGGTCATCACTGAGGGTGTGAGAAGAGGGCTCAATGTGCAGCAGCACTACCTAGACTTTGTCCTTTACGGTTGGGTAGATGAGAAAACTGGGGAGAATGTCCCGATACCAAGGCAGTTGAGGAAGGACAAAAAAGTAATAATGCCGAGTAAAGGCTGGCCGTCAAAAGAATTACGACAGGATATGATCGAGAAGCTGGACGTGCGCTTTGGGTTGAGGGGAGGAGACGATGGCAATGCGATAGACCTGAGCACTTGAAAGGGTACCGAATTTTGACAAACTGACACAACCTTCAATCCACTTACTTACTTAGTATGTCTACAAGCTCACTACGTCGCTCAAATCAGGGTCTTCATGTTATGGTTACTTGATTTTCTTCTCCAACTATCTGGAGAATCTGCGATGACTGCGGCCTTTCAACGTAACTGAGCAGCTTCGTTTTCGCTTCGAAGTCCTGCAATCTCATTGGCCCTTCGTTTCAGTACTGTCCTCCGATTGACTGCGAACATGGTGGATGCCGACGTATCTCGACTAGTTCTCGCCTCTTGCGCGCTTGTCACTTCTTTGCCATGTTGAGAGCTGTGTCCATGATGTCCTGCCGCTTGACCTTGCCTCCGTAGCCTTTAGATACCATCTGAGTACACATGTCCTTCGCACTGTTGATGATCTTTCGCTTCTTCTCGTTGATGTCTGAGGGACTGAATTTGAAGAAGGCCTTGTCGGTGTGGGCCTCAATGATGGCGACGTACTTGAGGGTTGGTGGAGGACTCATCTAGTCTTAATCAGCGCCCTGAAAACTCGAGGGGAGTTTGTTGCACTTACCAACAGCGCTCAGGCTCTCGGCCTGTCGCAACACGTCTCTACTCTCTGTATCTAAGGTACGTTCCTGATACTTTCCACTAAACTCCTTGGCGAACATCCTTTTTGGGGCGTTTTCTCGCATCCACATGAATTGAGTCAAGAACCGGCGATATTGTAGCTTGTTTCCCTCTGAATTCTTAAGTAATTCCATCTGATGACACGAAGAATCATACCAGCGCCTTCTGTCGTCCTGCTCGAGGAGGACGATCCAGGGATTCCCCATAGTCCCGTTTTCTATCACCTTTATGCCGTTGATGGAGAAGCCAGGTAGCAACTCTAAATATTCTCCGAGTTCATCAAGATCTGATCGGAACAGAGGAGAACGCTCTAGCCAAGATGAAGCGACTTCATGTAATTCACTGACTGTGCGGTGCTTGAGAGAATTCTCTTGTACCACAAGAGGCCATCGTGCGATGTCGCTAATCAAGCTTCTGCCATTGGCAATGAGCGTTTGAAGGCACTGAGCGTCCTAATGGTCCTGATGAGTATCTAGTACATCGGTAGGAAGGAATGAGACGATGTTGTCCGGTACGTAGATGCAAGCCACTACAGTTTCGACCGGAACGACGACGAAGTGGATCAATTCGGAGGATGTTTCGTCCATACTGGCGTTTGTGCGTCTAACCTAGGTTTTGCCGGCGCAGAAGAGAATTTGGGAGATGGAAACACGCGTTGGGAAGTCCCAGTGTTTTTTGAGCTCAGACAGAAGCCCCACTAGAGCAAACGGCAGTAGCGACCGTACGATGGTAACTCGTTTGATAGTGAACGATAAAGAAAATTGCAGCATCCTAATCGGTTCACTGGCTGAAATGGGGAGATGAGAGGTGAAGGTGAAGAACAGTGATTTCGAGCCACTAGTAACTCGCTACATCACAAGACGAAGAACAAATAGTCCGCGCGAGAGATCAACGATCGTTTGAAACACGGTAGTCTGCGACAATCAAAGAGCTTTCAAACAGAGTCATATTCAACATATATCACCATAGCATCATTACACTGAAACCTCCTGACCAGAGAAGACATATTGTTTACGTGTATAACAATCGTGCCTCTTCGAAAGTTTGACAAGCGCCATACCCATCAGATCTTACACACTGAACAAACCAACTCCCATGTTCCCCAATCTTACGATTGATCGCTAGCACAAGCCATGTTGTTCCCTGATATCCTTGTTGATTTCCTTAACGATCTGGTCTAAGCGCGTCTTATAGAAATCCAAACCCCTATCATCTTCTTGGAACTTCTCAATTTTCCCCGCAAGGAATACCGCCTCCCAGAACCGAGGATGTTGACGGATATGTTCACGGATGTGAGGATAGCGCTCTGCGACATCATCGTTGTGTTTGGGTATGGTCGTAGTGTTCTGAGGTACGTTGACACTGTGGCTGGGGCTAGGGACGGTGCTCCGGCGCCCATTGTGACCATGATTAGAGGCAGCTGGAGTGGTGGAGTTCCGGGACAGGCTGGCGCTCCGAGAGTGACCCTCTTGGTGGGGGTATTCGACTGCAGAATATTGTTCATGATATCCAAAATCGTAAGGAGTTAGTTGGGGATATCTAGACCAAGCTACAACGCGAAGATTATATGCGCAGTCTTCTAAGTAGAATGCGGCGGCCAGAACACGTAGTTGATCTTGCCGAAGCATGTTGTCTGTGTAGTCGGGGTCGTAAATGGAATGTCCCATGGGCGAAGGTTGATGACCATGGCCATGAGAGCGACTTCTCCGTCGAATCCAATTCCAACCATTGTTCCGGCGAACAAGCTCATATCGAGGATCATAGCCGCCACGCATAGGCATCGTGATTGGTTTAAGTCCGTGACGGGATTCAATGGTTAAGGTCGAGGTCGTAAGCGGTTGACCCTGGGTACTCAAGTAGTGTTCGCGCGAAGGAAGAGTATTTGGAAGAGAAGAGGGTCTGTGAGGTGTTTATCGTACAGTAGTGAGCCAACCCTTGAAATAAACCTATTCGCTCAAGGACTAATGGCAGCTGCTGCCTAGTAAGTGACAACAAGGAGAATAGCAATGGAATAATTAGACTCTAGCACTGGAAATGCAAACGGAGGCGAAGTGTGTGCCAAGTAGCACAGGGAATATGTGAAAAAAAAAGAAGCACACGGTTCAGTGTTTCACGGAGACTATGAGCAACGATAATATGATGAAGATTGAGTATATACGGAGGAAAGGTCTTCTCATGTCATCCTGTGACTCTTTCAACAATGCAGAGACCATCATGGATATTCAAGCACCCGAAAACGCCGTGCAATATGCAGAGAACAGCAACGATACATCCGTGCAAACATGACATAGCATCAACGTAGCATGTAACTCAAGTCCGGCAGCCCTGCTACAATGTTTTGAATTACCTGCTCTTCCTCGTTCTTCCTTCGTTGTGCAGAGTTTGTAGCTCCAGTCAGCGGTTGAATCGACGGGGGAGTTACATTCCGTGGGGGTGAAGATCGTGTGAAAGTTTTCGCTGAAGACGCGACACTGGAAGGCCTTGGAGGGGTTTCGAAGACTGAGAAAGGATCTGATGGATCGCGCGTGGCCTGCGCAGGCGCTCTTGACGCTGGTGCCGATTCAAAGAAAGAGAAATCAGCATCCGCCCATGCATCTACAGTAGACTCATTTGGCATCGCCGGGAATGGAGGCGGCGTGCTCGGCCGGACGGGTTCTGGTTCTAAGGTACTAGATGCGAATGCAGAGAAATCGTCGTCTTGCGTGTCATTAGTCTCCGCAATCTTGACTTCGCTAGAAACAACTTCATTCGCATCGGGCGTGTCATGTGCTGGTGATGTATCAACTTGGACTTGGTCCTGTTGAATAGTCTCTCGAACTGGCTTCGACGAAACCTCGATCTTGATCTTTTCAGGTGTGACAGTGGTAGACCGCTTAGCGGATTTCAAGCGTCCAGGTCCAATAGGCCCTTGTTCAGCATTGAATGGAACAAAACTTTTCGGACCAAAGATCGCCGACGTAGGCGATATGGTGCTTCGTAGGCGCACGATATGCATTGCGTCAGCTGAACGATCCTGGGTCGGTGGAGTCGTTGGAAGTGGCGCAGAAGTTGACACAGTGCTGTCTAGCGTCGCTGGTATCGAACTTGGGAAGGCTGAAGGTGGAGTAGACACTGTAGGGCTTGATATCATCTCACCCCAATCATCTTCATCATCTGTAGGGACATCGGTACGTTGTTCTTGATTGAGAGTGTTGGTGTGAGGAGTGCTGAGCTCTTCCCAGGGACTTGCTAAGGTCGTGGTTGGCGCAGGAGGTGGGATTGCTTTCGTTGCGACAGCCGGCGTTTCAGTCGACGTTTGCCCTTGTGTAACCCCAACGTCGCGTGCAAGGTCGATCGAAACCGCACGAAGCTCCTGTGTCTGGGCATTGACTACAGCTGTAGGCTTCGGCACGACAGGTGGAGATATGGAGCGCAGGCTAGGACTGTCCTGCTTCCAAGGGTCTGTTGTGGTTGTCGTGGAACTCCAGTTGAAAGCGATCTGAGTGTCAGCAGACACAGGAGGAAGGCTTTGTCTTGCCGGTGCAGCTTCGATTACTCGCGGTGTGGGAACGGACGTCTTCGTGCGCAAATGTCCTCTTGGGTTTATAGGTTCTGGAGGTGCTGGTGTGTCCCAGTAGAACGAAGCTCTAGCCCCTGGACCTGTGCCAGAAAGACGGTCCTCACGAGCCCATCTTGCTACCGTCTTGTTTACTTCGGATCTGACCTCAGAACCCGCCCATGTGACCCGAATATAATTGTCGTCCCCGTTCCCGCTATTGAATTCTCTCATGGTTTGCTTACGCGTCAACCTGTACCAAGCCTTGCGCCCAGACGTTGAGTATACCGGGTCGTCTGGAGCTTCTTCTGGCTCCTCTGCAGCGCCATCAGGAGGAAAGAGTTCGTCAAGAAGTGTTTTGTCGAGTTCGTATGCACCGGCGTTATGCGAGGCGGCGGCGGCGGCGCTCGAGGAGGCTGCAGGCGAACCAGGGCGAGACGTAGAACGCTCTGATAAGGCCTCTTTTGTATCACCCGCAGCGTCTTGTGTGATCTTTGACTGACCAGAAGGAGCTTCTGTCAATAGAGTATCTTCTGTGGAGGTTCCAAACTCCTCGTCTGCACTATCGTTGCTCGAGCTTTCGACCTCGGCTTCGCTATCCTCGTCATTGGTTATTTGTGACTGGACCTCCTTCTCAGGTTCTGTTGCTTCTGCAGTCTGTTTCTTATTTACAGCCTCTTCCTCGAACGAGGTTCGCGGCGACTCGGGAGGTGCCTCGTGACGGCTCGCTTCAGACGGGGACGTAGAGGGTCGTGCAGAAGAGTCGTCATCGGGCTGTAATCGGTTCGAAGGAGCGACTGGAGCTTGATCAGAAGCCTTATCCAGCTGTATCGTGGTCGACGTGTCCGAAGTATCCGAAGCTACGTTGTCCGCATCAGAAGTGT